AGGGATAAAAATTTATTGGTACCTTGTAATGCCTGCAACCCCTTATTTTGCTTAATGTTTGGAGACATTCTGTGTGTCCTTGAATGGGTTTCATTATATGGATTGTTGCACTTTGGTTTAATTCTCAGCAGACTTGTGCCGTATATTCTGTCAAAGTTTGTTTGTATGTCATACTTTGAAGACCAAGAGTGATTGGGAGCTGAGCTCTGAGGGTTGCCACTTGTACCATTTTGCGTGATGGTGTTGTTGGCATAGTATGCGTGCAAGCTCCGTCGTTATCGTCCGCGGACAGTGTGGCCTTATTTCCGCTTTTGATGTGGTTCTTAGCTCAGTTTTGTGTATTATTTACCTTACGGCGTGGATTCTTCTTGGGAGTTTGAAAATGTTGGAGATTTTTCCTTACGAGTAGTGTATTTCATCATGTTTTGTTACCGAATTCCATTTGAATTCTCACGTTATGGCTAGGAGATGGTGGTGTTGACTTGTGAGAGGCAGTGGTTTCTGTCTTAGGGCTTTCCAGAGACGTATCCAGATCCACTGTAGAGGGTGGAGGGGGTAATTTGGGAGTAAGATTATAATTTACTTGTCTTTCGGTTGCTATCGTGTTTTGTGGAGCTATTCTTGTGAGATGTGAGAGGGGGGGGATGCTGTGAGTACTACCGTGTTGACCATGCGTATATTTATTTCGGTAACTTGCGGTGTCTTGCTCTTCTTGTCATTAGGTTTAGTAAGGTGGTTGTAAGCATGCCTTTCAACCACTGTCTTATCTGCTACAACTTTTATTTGCTTGTAGATAGTATCCTGTAATAGGATAGGTCGTGAATTGATGAATTTCTTAGCCTCTGTTTGTTTCAAACTGAAGGCGTATAGGGCAGGAGTGGTCGTATTGTTATTATTATTTCCTTTAATTCCTAGAGGAACATAGGGCTTCAGCCACGCATCTCCATTGCGTTCGGTTCTCTGCTAGAGTTTTCACCTGGCTCCAAGTCTGCCCACACGCTTTCAGTTCCTCTTCAAATGTCCTCCTCCAAGTCACCCTTGGTCGAATAACTCGCCGCTTCCCTTTCGGGTTCCACTCGAGGGCTAGTCTAGTGATGTCACTTGATGGCTTCCTTAGAGTATGGCCAATCCATCTCCATTTCTTCCTGCCTATTTGTTGCAAAGCAGTGGTCGTGCTGGCTCTTTTTCAGTCTGCGACACTTTGTTTGGGGGTTAGGTATTTTCGCCTCCCTAAACAAGATACTTTGAACCTTTTTCAACCCCTCATTATCTGCTTTATTATAGGCTGTCACATTTAGTTTAGTATCTAGTCTTCTGATAACCTCTGTTGTGATGAAGTTTATCAAGGTGTCTACCTTAGTTACCGATTCTGTGTGAAGTTCGCCAGGGTTTATGATTCTGGTCAGGATGCCCAGAGGTGAAAGCTCACAGACCTGCGATTTCATGTGACTAATCTGCCCTCATAGTTCAGATATGCTGGCCAAATTTTCCGGGTGACTCTAAACTTTAGGAACCCAAAACAACCTTGAGAACGGATGACCTTGGTAAATGACTTTGAGCAGGCAATCATCTAACTTGCAATGGATGCTGTGCATCGTTTGCGTTTGCTTTTGATTACTGTTTAGAGAACGGGCTGATAGCGAGATCTAAAACTTGCCAGTGCGGAGGTGTTATGCATATACAAAGATACACGAAATGTATAGATGGTTATGTTTACCGTTGCAGGGAGTGCAGATGCAGAAAATCGGTACGAGGGGGTATGTAGTTATTTTTTAATTTATAGATTACTTAGATACATTTTTCTCGAAATCTCATTTACCTCTAACGAAGATACTGATGATGTGTCACAACTGGGTTATAAGAAGACCAGTAACAGCAACGGCATATGAGACTGAAATGCCAGAAGTTTCTGCAGTACAGTGGTACCAATATTGCAGAGACGTGGCCATCTCAAAAAACTGATAAGATCGGTCAACGGATCAAGAAATCCAATGATTTACAGTTATCTCGACGAGTTTATGTATAGGACTTTGTTTAACATGACTTTAATGACTCCTATGTCTAATTAGGACTTTTTTTGCAACATATACGAGAACGCTATCCTTTGTAACTATATTTTAACATTGCTTTACTTGTATATAAACGGTTTATTAAAATTATGCGCCGTTCATTTTGAGCCTTCTGATTGGTTAAAATTGTCCTTGTCAAGGTTATTTGTCCGTTCGTTCGTTTGGGTTCCTAAAGTTTAGAGTCACCATTTTCCGAACATCCTACATTCATAGCCTTACTACACCTGAAATCCCGTGTCTCAGTCTTCAGCTCTTCTACAGCTTTAGTCGTTCAATTTCTGAAGTGCTGAAGCTGAACTTGGTGTCTGAAGTTTTGTGACATGTACATAAGGTGTAGTGAAGAGGTCTATGTCAGGGCCAGGTGATGAGTTTGTAGAAGCGGTGCTACTACCAGTTGTCAGAATATTTGTGCTGTCAGTTCCATCCACAGTAGATGGTAGTGACACAGGAGCTCGACGCCTGCGGCGTATTGGCAAGCTGTGCGTCTCACTTCCATATTTTGTGAGAGTTGTGTTGCTCGATGTTGCAAGCATATATGTGCTATCACTCATCAGGTCAACAGGTGACCTGATTAACCATAACTAATTAGTGAAAGAGTTATTGGTTACAATTACAAAACTGGAGAAACACTTGTGCGACTCTCATAGCAAAAATAGAAATAAATAGCGAATCAAGCTAAAGTGCGACGCAAACGATGAACGTACCAGTTACAGTCCTAGCAACATTGTTGGACTGGGCTGAAAACTCATTAATTAAAATCTGTCTTCAACTAATTTGGTTGAACCTGGATCTTAGCCGTTGCTTTGTTAACCTTCATTTCATCCCACAAGGACAAATTTTGATATTCTTAACCATGACACTCTGTGTTTGATTGAGAACAGTACTCCTTTCTTCTCACTCTCCATTACTGTCTTTGGTTACCTGTGACAGCTGTCATTAGTTCCCCTGTTGCGCTATCAGTCTCTGGTGTATGTGCCATTAGTTGTTCATAAAAGTTTACGTACAACTATTTATGCCGTTTCCGCTCCATGTACATGTTGCACCTCTGGGTCTTAAACTACCGATTTTCCATATTCCAGATAATTATTCCGAATACAGAAATGGACGGTCTAGATTCTTCATTAACTGGCTTGAAAACCTCGCCATTATTAACTATGTTTGTTCTCCATTTTCTCTCCTTACTGTTATGGAAAAGGAGTTTGAGTTCCATACACTTCATTTGATTTGGCCATAAATAGCACATATGAGCTGATAACTAGTTAGTATGCACTGCTTCTTAGTCTCCTTGTCAGTCCACCTTTCTTTACCGGCATTATTTACTCTCTTAGTTTTCCTCTAATGATAGCCTGCGAGATACGCGTCTGTGTACACACTGATATTACGCTCACGATTGCCCTACACGCCTTTGATTTATGATAAGCGCTATTGCCAGTGTAACTAGTTTAGACGGTAATAAAGGGAGCCTGATCATCAGGTTGAAACAGGCTAGACCAAGGAGTCATCTAATCATGTGGCCTGGGTTGAGGTATTGCAAGATATGTGGTCGCATAAGTGTTACTCCTAGTTGGAGTCGAAGTCATTCAATAAGTGTCAAAAACTGGTCTTATAAATGAGCTAAGCATGACTTGGTTTTGCAACCATTTTAATAGTAAGCTGATGTTGACGGGAGATTATATGGTATATCCTCTTCATGAAGCAGCGTCGCCTTTATCCGATGGCTATTTGAGTGTTCTTATAAATAGGCCAAAATATACCAGCATGACTTCACGAAAATTCATTGATATTCGTTTAAATAATAATAATCACTTTGACTACCTCCTTTGATCCATTACGCTTCGCAGAAAGCAGGTAATATGTACATCAGAAAAAATTGCATTGAGACATTTCATTTAGAAAGCATACAACAAATATACCTTTTCGTTAAACCATCATAACAACTGGCTGCGATGCTACAGTTAGCGGAAATATGCGACAAACCACTCAGTACTGACCGTAGCTGAATGTGTGTTTGTGCGGAATATACCAAAACAATGTGATATTTGGCATAAGTGTTCGTGTTTTGCACTTGACATATAAATACCAGGAAGATATTGCAGGCTTTATCAGGTGCCTTCCACTGCTAAGCAGTAGTGACCACACAGTTAACTCGTGGCTTTACTCCTAAGTCAACAAATTGTTCTTTAGACACTATGGGAGAAGATAGGTCAGCAATAAAAATGCAGGAGTCTTCAACTGGCTGGTCTGTCAGCTCCAACCGCACAGCTGGAAGTGCTGGGATGAAAATCTATAAATACTTCTGAGTTTGTAAGTTCATCTCTTTTGACTTATTCTTTAGGCCCCCATTTTTCCTCACTGCGAGTTTGCCGCCCCTGGAACCCTCTACTAGCAGATGCGTCTACTCTACCGTTCATGGAGAGCCTTAAGCGGAGACGACAATCATGCAGCGACACATAGACTGTGACCTAGAGGCCTATCCCCTTAATGCTCATACACTATTAATGGGTATACACCTAAACTCGTCTGTTTACTACTTAACATTCTCTCTCACCTTACTCTTCTGACTGCTCTATCTGTTAATTCCCTTATATATATATATATATAAGTCTACATAACCTACAGTAATTATGTCCATTATCCCTGTTTTTGACCTTACCGGAAGATTAACGGTGAAACGATCAACTCCACTCACAGTAGTCACATGGTCGTAACACACCGCATTCCAATAAACCACATTGTGAATCCCAACACCACTCCTATGGAATCAAACGAAGCTATGACAATCAAGTGGTGGGACGAACCACATAAAAGTTTACTGAAGACCATGAACCTTTACCTTACAACCAAGAAGCGAGCACAAAGAAATCAATTTGGTTTACACTAGTTGGTATATATTCAATATTGGAGTTTGCCAGTAAGCACGTGCGCGCTTCTCAAGAATTGAAGCGGTACGGTTGCTGAAAATGTTTTATAGTTTAGACATATTTTGAGATTTATAGTTTCTTACTGAGGAACATATCCTGTGGTGAGTGAATGCATTACATCGTTCTTGCCGCAGCAAACTAATTTGTCAAATACAACGGACATATTTTGTAGATATGCTCGGAAATAATGTCTTAAGACATTATTTTTTTGAGCGGAGTTGTTCTCGTTCTCACACTTTCACAATTAATGAATGAAATATCTCACAAGTAGATGTTGTACTGGGATCGTCGTCGTGTTACTCTTTTTTGAATTGATTAATCACGCTTGAGAAGTCTAAGTGGTCGTAAGTGATGCATCGCTGATAGCCATATGACTATAGACATCGCTAGATATGTATAGCTAGTTTGTTTTCAAGACGAACTTATATCGACTTCCATATAAAGAGCAAAGTTATCATTGCTACTGCATGTAAGCTTACATGCATGTAAGCTCACCATTGGATATTGGAACCTAGGTTGGTGAAGGAATCACTGTAAGGATAAATATTGAGTTTGAAGTTCGGCATGGTTATATTAAGGCTGTGGTCTTCGTTGGATTATACTTCTTGTCAGGATCAACATTTCCAATCTAATACTGTATGTCTCCTTCTGCATCAAGGAATAGCTGTAACTAGTTAAAGTCATTACCAAGACATTAAAGTAAATTCACTGTTAACTGTTTAAAATTCAGATTTATAAAAATAGAAGGTTCTTGTTGCCTATGTTAATCTTTTCGATATATATCTCTGCGGAGGTCTAATTTCTCTTTGAAAGCGTTCACCAATGGAGCTGCTACTACTGAATCAGGTATGAGTTCCAATCGTTGACCACTCTATGAGGGAATCTAAATTCCACACGTATTTCATTCGACCTCGGTTTGAGCACTTTCTTGTGGTGACTTCGTAAATGTATACTAGAGGGAGAGAAAAGGTTTGAAAGGTCAATCCCTAAATCACCCTTTAATATGCGGTAAGTCAAAATTAAGTCGCCTCTCCTTCGGTATGATAATAGGAAGAGATTTAAATGCTCCATCCTCTTATCATAAGGAAGGTGTGAGATACCACTAACTAATTTCGATCCTGCCCTCTGTACTCTTTCAAGGATATGTGTCTCCTTTTTGAAGCATGGACTCACCGCTTGTATGCACTATTCTAGATGAGTTCTGACATATGTTGCATAGAGTACTTGGAACATACCCTCATCTAATCGTTTGAAAGCCCTTCGAAGTGCCCATAGCACTCAAAAAGCCTTGGCTGCGGCTCCATTACAATATGCTGTTGTTTTTAAGTTATGGCTTACATTAATACCTCAGCCCTTTTGTCCCTTAACATCTGGCAGTTCTGTGTCCCCCAGGGAGTACGACTTCTGAGACCACTGACTTAGATGCATTACCGCACTTTTCTCGGAATTAATCTCCAAACTCCCGAGGTTAGCTGATTCAGCTAATTTATGTAGATCGTTTTGTAGCACCAACCTTTCATCATTATTATTTATAGTTTAACATATTTTAATATCATCCGCAAATAATAAGAAAGATGAGGTAAGAATTTTCGGCAGTTTATTTACGTATAATTCCGAAAAGTGCTTAGATTTCCGTAAGCAGCTGAGTTCACTTGTTTTTTTACATTGGTGTAGAATACATCCATCTATTCAGAACGTACCAGGTTGCTGTTAACTTGTGCTTCTGTCGTAAGACCTGCAACGACCACTTCTTACGTAATGCATTCCACAATTCCTATCTATAAAAAGTGGAGAAACCTGAGATGTATTCTTGGACGTTCTGGACCATTTCAGCGGTCAGAATTCGAACCATCAGATGAAGTTTGTATGCCTTTTTTTACCTAATATACTTTTAAGCTTTTAAGCATGGTCAAAGAACACGTGAAAATTCTTGTCATTGGCGCTGGCGGTTTAGGTTGCGAGCTTCTGAAAGACCTTGTATGTTTATTCATACGTTTATAATATATAATCCAGGCGATGATGGGGTTTTGTCATCTAGAAGTCATAGATATGGATACAATTGACATTTCCAATTTGAACAGACAATTCTTGTTTCGATCACATGATGTTGGCAAACCTAAGGCTAATGTTGCTGCTGAGTTTATTATGCGTCGAGTTCCTACTTGCAAAGTGGTGCCACATTACAAAAAAATTCAAGACTTTGATGAATCTTTTTATCAGCAGTTTAATGCAGTTGTCTGTGGTTTGGATTCAATAGTAGCTCGGCGGTGGATTAATTCATTGCTGGTAAGTGTGCGTTTCTACTTTGTCTTCTACATTTGTCTTCTCGACTTGTTACCAGGGAAGTCTTATGGACTTAGAATATGCAGATGACATAGTCCTGTTAGGGAAGGATGCTGACAAAATACAGAGTCTTCCGAACACCTTGGGCAGCAATCTTCGTATGTTTGGCATGCGATTCGCCCCTGTAAAATGTAAGATGCTGCTACAGGACTGGACTACGTCTACCCCTAGCTTAGTGATAGGGAGTGAAGTGATAGAACATGTTGACCACTTCACCTATTTGGGAAGTTGTAACAGCACCAACGGATTGATTGGTGACGAAATCTCAGCACGGATCCAAAAAGCTCGGGTCGCTTTCGCTAACTTACACCGTCTCTGGCGTAGGCGTGACATTCGGCTATCAACCAAGGGACGTGTATACTGCTCAGCAGTTCACTCCGTCCTTCTCTTTGGTAGTGAGACGTGGCCATTGAGAGCGGAAGACATGAAGAGATTGTCTGTTTTTGACCACAGATGTTTACGATCTCTTTCTCGCGTTAGGTGGTATAATAGGGTAAGTAATGTTGACGTTAGGCGTAGAGTGTTGGGCAAAGAGGGAAAATTAATCGACCAGGCTATAAAGTTACATAGATTGAGATGGCTGGGTCACGTGCTGCGCATGCCTAACCATCGCCTCCCCCGACGGACGGGCATTACTAGCTGATATAGGTGCAAGTTGGAAAAGAGTAAGTGGTGGCCAAACAAAAACATGGCCTCATCAATCCATGAAATCCTTGACAGTTAAACTGAGTCAGGTAGGGAGGGAGATGCAGACTTCCGGGTTGGGGCCCTCGGGACTCTAAGAATCAATGGCTGGAGACAATAGGTGACACGGCTCAAAATCGTTGTCAATGGCTTACGCAGATGTATTCAGTCTCTGTAATCTTCCATATTCCTTTCTACAATTACTCACTCTGTTTCACTCTTATACTTGTCAAAACTTTATTGATTCTCTTCACTCATTTTCTTGTCTACCTTTGTATGCTATTTGGAACGTGGCAACTCGAACTGCTGCACTTCGGTGCGAAGTTCTATGTTGAATCCAGCCAGTCAGCCTTCACACGGTAAAGAGACTTTTTGTGAGAAACATGAAATGTCCTCATCACGATTTTTCTTCTTAAACTACTGAACTACTGAAAGTACTTTGTAACAACGGAACATAAGTAATAGATTCACTTCACTTGGATAAGTTAATTTGACATAAGTAACTGGTTAGTTTAGTGATAATATCAACGTCAAAAAAATCTAAAATCGTTAAACTTGGTTTTAGAAATTATATGTAGTATCCCATCTATTCTTCTCTTCAAGACAATATCCAGGAAGTTGAATCTCGCACAGTCTTTATGTCCCATTATGAAAATGATGCTTTCATATACATTGTTGAATAACTCAAGCAGATACGAAGCATGACTCAGATCATTGCACACAATGAATGTGTCGTTTGTGTATCTCTATCTATAGTAGGCTATTGTTCCATCAGTTACACACTTAAACGTTGTATGTTCAAGATTAACCGTAAAAGTATCTGCCAATGCAGGATCCAACTGACTATCCGTTTCCACTCCATCAATTCGATAATACATTTTGTTGCCGAACTGGAATTGTGTATTTGTGATACATAATAACAGAAGTTGCTTGAATTCAAGTTTCGGTAGAAAGAGGAGATCAGCGTGTGGACCGATAATGTCTAAGGTTTCATGAAGGAGAAGCTGTGTGAACAGGGTCACACCGAAGGATACCATAAATCTACTACACACACACACACACTAAGTTGCCTTACCTTTATATCGAATTAGAACGTGTCATTCAGAGTATGTTTAGCCAGCCGTTGTCGAATTGGTTCCACCTTTTTATCTAACCAACAAGCAACTTTGTGTAAGGGTGGACTTACGATTGATGTTGTCGGTCTCATTGGACAATTCGATTTATGTACCTTTGGTGAGCTATACATAGATTTCAATTCATTATACGTGATACTGTCAGTCATTTTGTTTTTCAAAAGTTCTCTAAGTACTGTTTTAATCTTTCCTGTAGAATCTGCCATATCTTTCTTGTGGGTGTCAATCTTTAATTTTGATGCATCGTTAAGAGTGAATCCATTTCCTTGGTATAATCAGTCTTATTCATCACTACGACACCTGAACCTTTATCCGGTCGTAATATGATGGCATTGTCATCACTTATCAAAGGTTTTATTGGTCTTCCTTGAAATCCCCACTCGTCGTTTCCCATGCATGTTCCACTTGGGAATGTGTCTGGCGCGTGATGTTACTCGACGGTCTCCTCAGCGTATGTCAGACCCATCTCTATTTGCTTCGGCATATTTGTTGGGCAATGGGCTCTTGATTGGTTGATTCACTGCCAGAGTTCTTTGATTCTGATCCTTTCTGGTTGGTTATCTGATCTTCAGTATGGATTGGAAGAGACAGCTGTTGATGAACGTCTTCAGCAGTCTGTCGGAAGTGCTTTGGTGATGCGCCCACAGAGCCTCTAAAGCGAATAGCAGCACTGACTGACTTGACATTAATGTTGAAAATTCGAATCTTGTTTTTGGATAAAATCGACCAGCTGTCCGTCAGTTTAACTGCTAGTTAGAGTTAACATAGATTATATGTGTATAAATGAATGAAAACGTCAATTTTACAGTGGAATATGAACGTAATAACCTATTTCACTTCATTGCTCTTGCAATTAAAAGACGAAATGATAACGCATTGCTATTACTTCCCCTTTTCTAAAAGCTATGGAAAAGTTACTCTTAATTAATTTTCAACCTTCACTTAAAGCCTTTAACGATCCTAAACAATTCGCCTATGAACACAGTAGAAGTACTTTAGATGCAGTTGCAGTCTTGTATCATAACATTGTCTTTAGCTTAGACAAGGGGGCTAAATTTGTTCGCTGCACCTTCCTAGATTACACATCTGCTTTCGACTAGGGACATTTTGTTAAACAAGCTTGCTGAAACTCAAACTGACTGTTGGGTTGTCAAATGGCTCCATTCTTATTTCTCAGAAAGAAAGCAGTACACTGTATGTCAGGGAAAGTCGTCCACTTCGTTGCTTATTGAGGCTGGTGTCCCTCAAGGCGCTGTCCTTTCTCCTTTTCTGTTTTCTTTCTTTTTGCATGACTTGCCTCATTCTGATGAAATGAACTTTGTTAAGTATGCCGATGATCTAACTATTTCAATGTCTGTTAACTCCCAGCTTGACTGTACTAAGATGAACAGCTTTGTATCAGGAATTAGCAAATGGTCTTCGTCTAACGGCCTTAAACTTGATCCTTCCAAATGTCAGACTGTTAATTTCACTTTCTGATGTAAACGAAAGTTAAATGAAGCCGTTGGTTCCTATGACCGTTGCAAAATTGATGATACTGATATAGAAACCAAGTCTGAAGTTAAGTATCTTGGATTAATTCTCTCTTCTGACCTATCCTGGTTCTCCCATATCTTAGCGATTTCTAAAAGAATATTTCGTTGACTTTTTACATTAAGAAGTTAAGGCATTCAGGCATAACTCAACCACTCCTCTTACAGTTTGTCAACTCGTTTATTTTACCTATTCTTCTTTACTGTTCACCCTCATTCTTTCCTGGATTTCTTAAAAAAGACTATGTCATACGTCGTAGAACTCTAAAGACTGTCAGTAGGACGAGTGGTATCCCATTAGGCCATATCGGTGACATTGTCACTGATAGGCACTTGATGTCATGCGAAAAATTCGCTAAAGGAATTTTGTCAGACTCTGAGCACCCACTCTATCCGCAGCTCCAACCTTGCGTCTTCTCAGGTAAAACAAGAAGTCTTTTCAGAAGAATTTATGCACGTACGTCTGAGTATAAAAATTCCACTATAACATATTTGGCATGTACTTTATGTGATGAAAATAGTGTTAGGCATAAACTAATTAACCTTCTTTGCACCACTAAATAAACCATTTCCTCCATCTTTAAAGCATCAAACTTTATTGTTATTGTATTTCTTATATTTATAATTCTCTCAATTTCTTGTTTTTGTTTATTTTTTTTCATAAGTGTGGACATAATTTAAGCTGAGTTATAACCGTTAATTTTGTATTTCCCCTCACCATACTATCTCAACAGAACATTAGATTCAATAATCTATAACATGCTAAAGTTTCCAAACTGAATCGACAAGACCGTTTGAAACAAACTCACTGTTATTATTATATCTAATAATTATGTCGTAAATGTGGACAAATTCCTCTGGTTAATTTTGTTTTAATTCCTAATTTTATTTATATTTTGAGTAAATCAGATGCAATATTGTGACAAATACTGAGAATTCCATTCTGTATAATAAGTACTGTTTTTGGAATAAAGTAGATTATTATTATTATTATTATTATTATTATAGGCATTCATAAATGGTTAGACGTAAACTGTGAGTAGTGGTTAACTGTTAAGTTCAACATGAGAATCAAACTCAGCACTGTCTTAGAAGAATCTATCATCCTAAGTTTAGCTAAATTTACTGTGTTTTCGAAAAAGTAAGTGACTCCAAATGACCGATTTGACCAACGTTGTGAAATACGTCTGATATAGTTTTCTAGAACTGAACCGTAGATTAAAATAACCTGTAGTTTGATTTACATTAGAAGAGAAATATTCAAGTAGTGTGCTACTACATGTCAGATTTTTTTAAACTTTCAATTATATCTGTATTTTAGGCAAGTTTAGTACGTTATGATACAAATGGTCAACCAGATCCTAACACTGTCATCCCACTTGTTGATGGTGGGACAGAAGGATTCAAAGGACATGTTCTTGTTGTTCTCTATGGTTTAACTGGATGTCTAGAGTGTACACTAGATCTTTACCCGCCTCCAGTGAATTTCCCTTTATGCACGATTGCGCATACTCCTCGACTTCCAGAACACTGTATAGAATATGTGAGAATACTGTTATGGCCTAAAGAAATCCCTTTCGGAGGTAAGTAAGAGCAGTACAAGTGGTTGGGAATGATTTTTCGTTCTTTTTCGCTGTTACAATGAAGTGGTTATTGCTTCTTAATGTTTTATTTCAAAGGTAACCTTTTAATTATATAGCTAGAAACAATGGTCCTACTGCTTTTTATTTCTGAGATATTGTCTTATTATCGCTTAAAATATGGGATTATACTCAGTTTGTTAAACACTTAATTTTCATGTATAGGATAGAAATTTGAACATTGTTTCACTTATGAGGTCTTGAGCAAGCAATTGACATTATATTGGCCTGTCTGTAACAGTTATCGATAGTAGTCAGTGTGTGTACTGCTCATCAGTCCCCTCCGTCCTCCTTCATGGCTGTGAGACCTGGCCATTGAGAGTGGAAGACATGAAAAGATTAGCTGTCTTTGATCATAGGTGTCTGCGTTCTACGTTAGGCGTCGAGTGCTAGGTAAGGAGGGGAAATCAATCGACGAGGCTGTGAAATTACATTGACTGAGATGGTCAGGACATGTGTTACGTATGCCTAGTCATCGCCTTCCTCGACAATGGGCAATGTTAGCTGACATGGGGTCAGGCTGGAAAAGAGCAAGCGGCGGTCAAACCAAAACATGGCACCAGTCAACGAAATCTACAACAGTTAGCCTAGGCCACGTAGGAAGGTGTAGACTTTCTGGTTGGGGTCCTCGGAACGGTAAAAACCAATGGTTAGAAACAATTGGTGACATGGCTCAAAGTTATCGTTCTCAATGGCTGGTGCAGATGCATCCACCCCTTGTGACTTATGATTTCCAATGAAACTTTTGTTCTTCGTTATTACTATTCGTTTGTCTCACACCTCTGTTTGCTGTCTCTTATATGCATTTCTCCTACTTTCTCCTCTTCCTTTGTGTGCTACAAGAAGGGAGTGTGACGACTTGAACTGCCGCACATATGTGCAAAGTTCTATGTCGAAAACAGACAGACAGTCAGTGTGTAGGCTAGCGTTTGTATTATTATTATTATTGCTATTATGAAATTGCTGTTACTCTGTCAGACTAGTTAGTGGTTTTTATTGACTTTCAGCTTCCTCCTTCCATAGATTTATGCTTGAAGACTTACGAAGACATTTGTTAAAACTTACTGCCTGTGTCTAAGGATATTTAGCTTTGGCTATTTGATTATCGACTATGAAATTTATAGTGAGTTGATAAATTGGTCGTAAACCTTAAGCTTTAGAATTCGACCAAATCCACCCTTTTGAATTCTGAGTCTAATGTATAGCCTTGTTTTAGTGACAGTAGTAGTGGTATTTAGCCAATAGATGTCAAATACTTGGAGCCTTCACAAATCTGCCTTTGGTGATGGTACTTTGAGGCCGACTAGCGGAACGGAACGGCGTTTAGTTCAACGCATAATAGACAAGTGTAAATGTCATCTGCGTCATAAATGCCGTAACTTAGTGAAAGCAAATTATGATGTTTTTCGCTGGTGTAATAACAGTGGGCAAGTACGTATTCAATACATCCACAGTTAAGTTCGAATCTAGTCTGGTTTCCTCAAGTTTGCTGTTCTCTACGGTTATCACAAAAAGGTTTTCCAAGCTTCTTTTTGAACGGGTTGATTTTGTCATCTATCCTATTCTGGTACTTCACGATCCAGTTGTGCGCCTCTTTTAGATTACCACACAAAGCATTCCTCATCGATTTTTTTTCTCCTGCCTCGTGGTCAAGTTTTACCGACTACTAATGGCTTGTATCTACAATCAGTTGGTATTTCCTATTTCATTTGTTACTTGTAAATTTGATGATTTACCACTTACACTGGGATCGGATGTTGGATTCAATTTTATTCACTAGAAAAATAATTCATTTTGATCCGATCATATTCTCTGAACTGTACAGTTTCATCACGAATGAAGCTTTCATTGTGATGGCATTTCAGACGATATCATTATGATTAACTTTAGAAAGTAGTTAGCTGTGTATTTTTCTTCACAGGGAGAGTAATAGTTTATTCTAACTGACTGACTGGTTTCGACGTAGGATTTTGCACAGATTTGCAGCAGTCTGAGTCGCACACTTCATGTAGCACACAAAGCAAGAGAAGAGAGTAAAGAGAGATTCAAAAGAAAGAGATAATAAACAGAAATATGAAGCAAGAAGAATAGTAATACCGAAGAATAATAGAATTTTATTGGATATTTTAAATCTCAAAGAGTGAATGCATCTGCGCCAGCCGTTGAGGACGATTTTGAGCCATATCACCAATTTTCTCCAGCCAATGGTTTTTACTATCCCAAGGACCCTATCCAGATAGCTGTCTACATCTCCCTACGTGGCTGGCTTAAACCAAGCCATGTTTTGGCTCGACCACTGTTAGCTAGCTCTTTTCCAACCTGTTCCATTGTATGTCAGCTAACATTTCCCGTCAGTCGAGGAAGGCGATGGCTAGGCAGGCAGGCAGGCAAGCGTAACACATGTCCTAACCATCTTAATCGGTGTAACTTCACAACCTCTTCGATTGATTTCTGTCAACTTTGGATAGTGCTAAGTTGTTTCTGCAGTCATGGACTGGTGTCGTCTCCCTTAACTCTCACCAATATTTGTTATTTCTTGTAATTTTCATTGGATGGTAGATCCGATAACTGTCAGTGTGTTAGAGAGAAGCTGCTAAACCAGAATGGGCAGAAGTTCACACAGTTCATTATTTCTTTTTATAGTAGTAAGCTGAGATTTTGTCATCTTGAATGATGAATAAAAGCTTCATAGTTAAGTGATCCAGTTCAGAGAACGCACCCATTTGCATCATTTTAGGGTTACAGTTGACTGAGTTTAAACATGGGACTTTGCACAACAGTCAACCTTGCCACACTCCATATATAGCACCCAATTTGAGTGAAGACAAGGAGCAAAGGGATTCAAAAGAACTTTAATGAGCAGAAATATGTACACAGGAGAGAAAATATTGAAATGGAAAAAGATATGAGACTTAAATGTATATGGGAGATTACAAGGAGTGAATGCGCATCTGTATCATTGAGAATAATTTTGAGCCATATCACTTATAGCCTTCAGCCATTGATTTATTGCATCCGGAGGACTCCAAGCAGATTGTCAGCACCTCCCTGGCTGAAACTGGATGAAACCAACAGTCAAATACTTCATGGATTGGATTGTTGCCAGCCTTTAGTTTGGCCACGCCTAGAAGATCTGGATTTCGTGGATGATTTATGTCTAGTGTCACATAAATTTCAAGACTTACAGGCGAAAACCAAGAAACTAATAGAAGAGGTGGGCAGCAAAGACAGGAATTCAAGTGAACATAGAGCAAACGGGGATGATAAGATACCCACCCAATCAGCAACAACAACATGCACCAATCACTACCAATGGAAGAAATTTGAGAGAGGTCACTTCTTTCGCTTATCCGGGGGGGATGAGGATGTCTAAACCAGAGTAAGAAGAGTAACACAGACCTTCATCACTCTGAGGTCATTTTTAGAAATCTTCTGCACTCAGCCAACATACACACCAATGTTAAGTCAGTTCTTCTACATGGGTCAGAAACCTAGCGCGTCATGAAAAGAATTTCCACCAGCCTGCTTCAGACTTTTATCAACAGCTACCTTCACTGGCTCCATATTGAAGATCAAGTGGCCAGAAAGGATTTGCGACAAGGTACTCAGGGAACAAACCAACCAGGAACGTGTTGCTCAACAAACATGTGGAAGAAAATGTAGATGGATCGGCCACGTGCTGGAGAGATAATCGACTGAAATCTCGCGCCAGGCCCTCGAGTGGAACTTGAATGGGAAACCACGAATGGTTCGTCTGAGAGTGACATGGAGGAAACGGTGTGAGGAGAAGATCAGAGGCTTTGGGAAATCGTGTGTTCAGCTAGGGAGGACCTCAGGGAATAGGACTAAGTGAAGATGTGCTGTTAAGGCTATATGTTTCAGTTGGGACCCATGAGAACAATAATAATAAATAATAAAGTAATTTCCAAGATAATCCTCTGTCAGCTGACACTGTTTGTCCAGTAAAGCGATGGTCCAGCATGCTATCTCAATTGGGGGTTAAAAAATTGTTTTCCACTAAATTTCATATTATCTATCATCGTTCTTTTGTTCAGATGGCGTTGCCATTGACGGTGATTCACCTGAACACATACAATGGATATATGAAAAGTCGTGTGAAAGAGCTAAACACTATGGTATATCTGGTGTTACGCTACGCCTTGTACAAGGTGTTGTAAAACGAATCATCCCGGCTGTCGCATCGACAAATGCTGTGATTGCTGCTGCCTGTGCAACTGAGGTGAGTGCCTTTGTTTTAAAGGGAAACCGTGGTTATTTTTTTTGTTTTTTATGTATATTCCTTCACGTTCCTAGTGGAACATAGGGCTTCAAGCTGGAGGCTTGAGGTTTGGGTAGCAGTGGTGATTATTTTTACGGGATGGGGTTGCTAGCCTCATGACCAACCTTCCCTCTTCAGCAGTCTTATTACTGGCTTAGTGAGGTAAAGGAGTGCGTCAGTGGTCGGGGGATCGAATCCCGGACAACATGTGTAGTCAGCAAGCATTCTACCGATGTGACACCGACGCACTTTTATAATTTTATAGACTTGTCAAATTCAAAAATCTACACATAGCTTTGCGTAAGGATCTAGACTTCGCCGATGATATATGTCTGATTTCCCACAAACTGGAAGATATGCAAGCGAAAAGCAACAAGTTGACAGAAGAAGCATCAAAGATAGGACTTCAGGTAAACATAGAGAAAACAGAAGTGATGAAGATTCCTGGGCAACACCACCAACAGCAACAACAACAACAGACAACAATCAGCATAAATGGGAGGAACCTGAAAGAAACAACCTCTTTTACCTACCTGGGAAGCATCGTTTCAACTACAGGCCGACGGAACTGACGAGGATATCAAAGCAAGAATCGGAAAAGCAATACAAGCCTTCACTACTCTCAAGTCTGTGTGGAGGTCAACAGCACTCAGCATCAAAAATAAGATCTGGATTTTCAACTCCAATGTGAAGTCAGTCAGTGCTACTCTATACGGATCAGAGACTTGCACTGCGCGTCATAAAGAGCATCTCAAACAAACTACAGACCTTCATTACCAGTTGTCTTCGCTCAATACTCAAGATCAGATGCCCAGAAAAGATCAGCAACAGGGATCTCTGGCAATGAGCGAACCAACCCAGCAGGAACCGGTTGTGAAACAAATAGGCAGGGAGAAATATAGATGGATTGGCCATAATCTGAGGAAACAGTGCATCAAGTGACATCACTAGACAAGCCATTGCTCGAGTGGAACCCGAAAGGGATGTGGCGAGTTGGTCGTCAGTGCAAGGGTGACTTGGAGGAGGTCATGTGAAGAGGAGATGAAAACGTGTGGGCAGACTTGGAGCCAGGTGAAGACTCTATCAGAGAACGGAAGGCAATGGAGACGCACGGCTGAAGCCCTATATTCCTCTAGGAATTAAAGGAAACAAATAATAATAATATGTAGGCTGAGATTTTGTAAACTCTGGTTTAATAATACTACTTTAGTAAAAGCTATTAGCAGCATTAAATAACGAAAAGTCAGTAAACACAATAATATCCTTTTGTTTTTCATTCATTCATTGACTCATTGGGAGATACAAAAACTTTTATAATAATGCTTATCACATATATTACCCAATTCCCGAATTTCTTTAAATTGTTAAAAGTGAACTTGATTTGGACATATTTTCAAATGAAGTAATTTAGTTATCCATGCTGGCAATGTAGATTGTCTCTGTTGGACAAAATAAATGGGGATAATTTGTAAAGAAAGAAAAAATATGCCTTCATGGATGTGCCTTTCATTGTTTTCTTCCTTCCTCTTTCCTTGCTTTTTTTCTTCTCACAGGTTTTCAAATTGATCACATTCTGTTATAATTATTTAGATAGTTATATGAATTTCAGTGATATTGATGGAGTGTACACATACGGTTTTTCTGTTGAACGTAAAGTAAGTAGTCGTTGCCCGTCACCACTGTGATAATTGTTATTGCGTGTTCTGTTTTTTTGATTATTATTATTTATTTTTTTGGAAGGAGGGGTGGGGAATGGTATGACGTGACATGTGACATGTCTAGTTCTTTCTTTGGTGCAGACTGAATTCTATCAGTCAGTCAGGTATTTGCAATGTGGCCAACATACCACTAGGTGGCTCGCCATCACGGTGCACATTGATTTGATGATATATTAGATAGTTGGAGGCGATCGGCCTCAGGAAGCCTTGCACACCACCTGGGTTTCGTGCTAGTTGGCACTCATCAGTCAACAAGGCGTATCTACAACCTTGAAAAAACTCATGTCCCTTCTGAGATTCGAACCGACGGCGTCACCCAGTGACTGCTGTAGTCAGAGACGTTACCACCTACCTAGCTACCTAGAATGGTGGCCACATTGCAAATACCTGACTGATAGAATTCAGTCTGCACCAAAGAAAGGACTAGTTAGACACGTCACACTAGTTACTAGTGTCCAATCAAACTACCCACTACAGTCCTACAGGAGGTCGATCGCGAGCCCGAATAGCTGGCTCAGTGGTAACGTCTCTAACTGCAGCACTGGGTGACGCGGGTTCCAATCTCAGAAGGGACATGAGTTCCTTCAAGCTGGTTGCAGATACGTCTTGCTGACTGGTGAGTGCCAACTAGCACGAAACCTAGGTCCAGGCAAGGCTTCCTGCCAATTGCCTCCAACTATCTAATATCATAATTCATGTGTATTTTGTGATCAGTAGAACTGTAGTTTGTTAGCTGGCTGAAGGCGACCAGCAGAGAGAGCTATGTTTATTGCGACTATTTAGCAAGGTGTGTGTATCATCGTCCCCAAGAAACTAATGTTTTATGGGAGATTCACCGAGTGTTGCATACACAAACCTTGCCGACTGGGCTATTCAAGCCCGAGATCATGGGTACACATTTGGCTAGCGAGTGCCGATAAGCATGCAATATAGTTCCATGGCTTCTCATGGATCGTCTACAACCACTGCGCTTGTCAACTGCCTATTTTCGTGATCAGTTAACACTCGGAACTGGACTACATAGTAGAGAGATGTGCCTCATTAGCGGCGCTGATAACACTTGACTTTCAACTAATGCGTCTTGGGTTATAAATAATTGAATTGCGCTGAATTCTGTTGTATAAGAGTAAATATTTTTTTCAGTGGTGGTAAGTTTTTTTTGACAATTAGTAGTCATTATCAGAATGTCAAAAAGGGAGTTATGTTTAACCAAGAAAATTAGTGGAACAATTAAAGGGTAGAAGTATTTGCAGAAATTAAACAAGCAGATTACATAATGCGTAATTTTGAAAGAAATGCGAAGTGAGTACTCGAATCGATTACGCAATAAGCAATTAAATATGAAGTAGTCAGGACGATAAAATAGGTGGGACAACAATGACTTCATTTGATGGAGGATTTCATCATGGGCTGACACCAGTTAGAGAACCACTGGAAAACCTACAGGGAGTACTGGACAGCTGTTTCGTCCTAGTTTGGGACTCTTCATAAGTACGCACCCATCACAACTGGGTTCGAACCGAGGACCTTCTGGTTACAAGGCGAGCTCGTATACCATTAAGCCACTGGGACCCTTTCCAATGGCCAATGCATGAATTCTAACTTTTGCCAATTCACGACATATCGTGACCATTTCGCAGTGTCTTTTTCGATGAGTTACTGCCTCATCTTCAACCTGCTGTACCCTACTGGTCATGGATTCCCACTAGAACTCCAGGTCACTGCCTTTACTTATAAATGGCTTAGGAGATTGAATAATTGTTAAATGTTTATAATAATGTTATAATGGTCAAGGCGGGGAAGGTGTTGGCTGCACAGATTTCTTTTAAACACATCTTTGGCTTCTTCACGTGGAATCCGATAGCCTCAGTTCTCTATGTAGAAGCTGAACTGATAAAGTAAAAGTAGGATTAGTTGAAATGGGATCGGTCAAGATCGAGCTTTTGCTCAGTATCTATAAGGTGTGTTTAAGTAGGGCTACAAATAAACCTTGTTTTTCCCTTGCTTAGCCATGCAGGATGATGTTTGGATATCCGATGATGAACTTGCCTAATTCTACGCGCAATGTAATTGACTTCAAAGGAGCAGTCAAACTGGTAGATACATACAGAGATGGTGAAATTAGGTAGTTTAGGCTTATTTCTCGAACGTGAAATTGGATTGGTTGTGTACTTCTCCTACATTGAATACTCCTTTTACTGGATTCTTAAGGCATTGTGTTATTATTTCACTAGTGTCATCACCAAGAAACTGCAGTTTTAAAAGCAAGGGCTTTTTTGGAGTTATAGTCTTACTAACTTGGTGGTAAATTCATATTTTTATCAATGAACTTCTGTGGATAACTAACCAGAGAGGGAGTCGGGAAATACCAACTTATGCTGACCAAACACATATATCCTTCATCTTACAGTGCCACATTATAGGCTGACTACGTCTCCACCTTTTCCATCCAATCTCAGCGTTTGCGACTAGAAATCGGTAGGGAAGCCTGTGAGATGACGTTCCATAGCAAATATGCAAGCCACCAAAGGCTATGTTTCCAGATGACTACACTCAGTGAGTGGGTGACCTGCACTGTGTTCAAACACACGCTGACGGACCTCTGTATTACTTACATGATGGTGCTGTCGGACCCAAGCAGTTCTACGGAGGCAGTGGTTACCATTGAATACGCAGTGATATCTACTGTCGGACTGATTCCTAAAATTACGAACTCCACTTAACCCGTCCATTTACCATCTATTTTTCAAGACTGATTATGAGCTGGTTTTAATTAGAGAGCTGTTGAAAACCAGGGAGTACTGGACAGCCAGCTGTTTCGTCGTAGCTTCGTACTCACCGGCGGTACTCACCCACGGGGTTTTGGAATTCAGGACCTTCGGGTTACCAGGCAAGCTCGTAGACTATTCATCCACTGGGATCCGACTGAATGAATTCTAACTTCTACTAGTTCGTGATTTTAGCGCTACTGGTACTGGCCAATGTCACCGGTGAGTAGTTATCCTCACTGGTCCTGACTTCTCACTAGAAACAAATAAAATCCTTATAAACAAACTCATAAAGATTAATCTAATGCTGGCTGGTGAGAAGTCGTGACCAGTGGAGTCTGGGGGGTCGGGAGTGAGGACAGATACTCGCCGATGATATTGGCTAGTGTCAGTGGCGCTAAAATTACAAATTGGTAGAAGTTCGAATTCATTGAGTCGGGTCTCAGTGGTTAAATAGTCTACGAGCTTGCCTGGTAATCCGAAGGTCCTGAATTCGAAACCCCGTGGGTGAGTACCGCCGGTGAGTCCGAAACTAGGATGAAACAGCTGGCTGTCCAGTACTTCGTGCTGGTTTTCAATGGTTCACTAACTGATATCAATTCATGTTGTTTTATGTACTTCTTTTCTTTTTTCCAGCCTGACTGTCTTGCATGTAACAATGTACCGCGGAAAATTTCATTTCAGACTACATCTAAACTGAAAGATGTTATAGAGTATTTGAAAACAAATCCTGAATTGTATGTCTTCTTGTTCATATTGTCATTTTATTATCATTATTATTATTATTGTTATCGTGTTTTAAATGTTCAATAGTTTGTTTTATTTTGAATGGTGTTATGAGACACCTGAAATACCCGCAGTTTGAATAAGTGTTACTTGGTTAGACGTTAAAAGGAAGCATTGCCTATGCAATAAACGGCATGTAGGTAGCATGAAATCAGGAAAATGCAATTTTGTATCGTTTAACTTTGAAGCCTGAAGCCGAGATATGAATACGAAGCAACATTTAGTGTCACAGACTTCACTGCCCTCACGCAGCACTGAGGGGGGGGGGGCTGTTCCTCGCCAAAGTGAAAGGGCGAATGCGAACGCCTGGTGCTTATAACTAGACTGGTTAACATATAGGGTCTACCTAGGGCAGCTGGAAGACCCTGATTCCATACCTATGGTGTACATGGGATCGAAAATTCGAAAGGATCAAATGGTGGTGTAGGAACCTGTTTGGGTCACTGGAAACCATGGGAACGTGTGGCTTCTGACGCTGCTCCACTGCCTTGTAGATTAGACTTCAAGCTATCTCCATGAGACAAAACTACCTGCTTCGATGTGGATGTCCGGACAGTATTCCAGATAGACCTGGAACAAACTAATAAGCGTATATATACCTCATAAAAATTGTTCCAATTCATAATTTACAATGGAATTGATGAATCTTTTGGCGTTATTTATCTACAATTTGTTTACTTTTCCACATCTTCCTTAGTTAACAAAAGAAGGTAAAAATGTGGTGTTAATTTCGACCACTGATAAACGTAACACACTTTGTGTGTTCTAGACTTTTAAGACATCAAGCAAGTTAAGTAATTCAAAGGAAATAAATATATAGGAATTATTGTCTTCATTTGCATGAACAATCGTCAAGGTGATGACAAAATACACGTGTTACAATAAAACATGAACATCTCATTAACTCAATTGTCTGCAGAAGTGTAAAAGTTGGGTTAATTCTCTGAACAGCCTAAAAATCAGAGGACTGTTAGTTTAAGCCAATCAATTACAAAAAAAAAACGAATTAACCAATTAGAATACAGCTAGCCAATATTTAAAATGTTACACTGGGAAAAATTGATTTTTAATGCGATAAAACAAAGTTAAATAAACAATAAAATTAAGCGGAATTAAATTGATATTCGTAGTAGTAAAATAACCATAGACTTCAATAACTTGGATAATCTTATTGGCAGGCGGAGTTTACCTGACTACTAATCCATAATTTACTGTATAGATAATAATTCCAATAAAAATACCCCTTCTTATAGTTCTGCTGTTGTTTGTGAACCCGCATATCCAGTTGCCAATGTGCTTCGGATACCTGAAATAGAAAGTGTGTTAGAGTTGCGTGACCGCAGAGCCCAAGGGACAACTGCTTGAAGGGGACCGGTCACACACAGCCTGTATGAACTGGTTTCTTGCTTTGGCTCCGTATTAGTAAACTTACCGCCGGTTACGGACCACCGTAGGGTAAGTCGGGATGTACAATTTTTGGGGTTGACCTTTTCTAACCCCCTCTCTCCAGAGTGGAGAGACAGCATAGTTGGCTGGCATGCTGGTCATCTGAGGGGATCACCTCGCTGCTGTTACATCCCTGTTCCCCAGAAGTACGACTTCGCCCACAGACCCCCAGCATAGTGTAAAGAAAAATTCTTACACTATTCCGGTAACTGCTTTTTGTCTAATCGTTATCATAACAACCTTCCTGTCATGGTGGGACCTGCAGGAACAATAGTTCCAGCCCGTGTAGCTTGTTGGTTCATTGCGATATGCAAGCCCGACCACCACGTCAAGGTAGCAGCTATCGGTTGGGCTGACGTAGGGTCGGGCTGGAAGCAGCTAGCGGTGGTCAAACCAAAACATGGCTTCACCAGTCAATGAAATCCACAACAGTCAGTTTAGGCTGCGTAGGGAGGTGTAGACTTCCTGACTGGTTGGGGTCCTCGGGACGGTAAAAACCAATGGCTGGAAACAATTAGTGATATGGCTCACAATCGTTGTCAATGGCTGATGCAGATGCATCCACTCCTCGTGACTTATAATTCCCAATGAAACAATATTGTTCTTCGTTATTACCATTCCCTTTGTCTCAAATCCCTGTCTACTGTCTCTATTTTGCATTTGTTCTACTTTCTTCTCTTGCTTTGTGTGCTACATGGAGGGAGTGTGGCAACTGGAACTGTTGCACACCGGTGCAAAGTTCTACGTTGAAACAGACAGACAGACCAGTGTGCTAAATCTCAGAGAATACTAAATATATATGCATAATATTAATATATATTGATGTATTTTATTCAATATAGACTTTCTCGTTTATTGATTGGATCAACAGAGGCTGACCACTTCGGTCCAATCAGTCAACGGGAAAGACTGAACTGAATGAACTGACTGACTGACTGGTTTCAACGTAGAACTTTGCACAGATGGGCCGAAATGAATTAAATAATAACTAATACCCCTTGCACAAGAGGTGGCTAGCTGTCGTGTCCAAAGTGGTCTATCGGATAACACCTTGGCGTTTGTTAAGATAGATACTGGGTTTGAGCCTCAAGGGGGGAGGACGCCATCACTCATTGGGGAATCCAAAATTGTCCAGTTGATGAGTCCCAAGTAGGACGAAACGCTCATCCTGTTAGTCAACATCCACCAATTTACTTCAAATACTGATGTTCTATTGTTTTTAGAACAAGACAATATTTTAAATGGGAATATTTAAAGATCTATTGTTTTTGTTATTTCAGTCAAATGCAATCACCCAGTATTACAACTATGTGTAATGATGAACACCGTTCATTGTTTGTTGATCTCCCAGAATTGGCTGATACACTCAGACCGAATTTATCTAAAACTCTTAAAGGTATGTCTATCACTTCTTTTTCTTTGTTTTATTTATACAATCGTATAAAGACGTTTGTCACGCAGTGTCAAGTTGAAGTATGCATATCCAATTGACTATGTAGCACGCATGTTGTGCTAAGGTTGGTGAGACTATCCAATCTTTTCAGGTTGAAGAAAAGATGGAGTACTAATTGATTCAGTGACCCATTGACTGATAGTCGAGTACTTAAGCTGGAAAGCTTGTATGGGTTGCTGGACGGACAGTGATGTGCTCAAAACTTTATACAGTTCTTCCTGTTAATCAACTTGAGCAAAGCAAGAACGATAAATGTGTACCAGGATAATATGAGTTCATCTCCAATTATTTGAAGGATTCTTCTCAACTATCTACCAACCGAAATATACACAAAAGTATAAATCACATTAAAGATTTGAACATACGTTTTCCACGATGACAAGGGGTACTAATACATGTGCAGAACTTGGGCACTGTGGTAGTATGTAATTCCATTTAAACTTGTTTAATAGATATATCGCAGTGAAACAGTATTATTTACTGGATGACAAGGTTTCGAACACAATTTATTGCTGTTCATAATCATATCAATTATAATCACACGACTTCGAAACTTGAGTTTTATAGTTTCCTTTGTTCTCTCCTATTTGTCGTCGTTGGGGTAGTAGAATTTTGTAGATGTCCAGCTGCACAGGTGTTGAATCATTCCTATTGCACGTATTTGCAGTTGATTCGACAAATAAAACTTCCGTTATCAGTCTCTCCCTTCACCCTGCTACATTAGATTTTAAAACTGTCATCTCATCCCATCATCCTGTTGTATGGTCGTGTGTAATTGCATGTAGTGAGTGGTATAGCTGAACTATTCTCTAGATTTCTTATCTTATTCGGGTCGACTAACCTAGATTTTGCTAGGTTTTTATGTCCAGCTAGTCTGACTGCCACTATTCCATTACTTTCACTTATGCATTTGACCTGACAATCATCTCAGGCAGGGTATTAGATAAACTAAATTGTTTTGTTTAATTGGCTTCACAGTATCCTTTAACCGACAAAGTTTGTTTGTAATTGAGTTTGTGGGTTTGAATGTCAGCCACTTTTATTCCTGCCTTGTTAAGAATTCTGAGTAAGGTTTCCGAGCTTCCTTCTTTGTATGTAAGTACTACTGATGATTTAGATTCCCTATTGCTGGTGGTGTCATTATCCTGTACACGTTTGACATGCATGTCGTCATTAATATTATTATTATTATCACTATATCTATTTCCATTTTATTTTTACAGTTCCGTTCATACTTCCTGATTAATTTATCAGGGTGATTATTAAGTTTCAAGGCTTCTGTTATATGTCTTAGATTTTTCTTGGTACTACTTAGCTTTTGTGCCCTATTACTTAAACATTTCACCAATTCTATTTTTACTGACATAGCGTGGGATGATCGTAAATTTAAATATTTGTTTGGATGTGTGGGTTTCCTGTAAACACTAGTGTTTAACTGCCCACCTTCTCTCCTTTCTTCGCTATAATCTAATATTGGAAGCTCCCCTTCGTGGCTTTCCAATTCATAAGTGAATTGCCTCCACCTATGAGTTGATTTATTCGAAAAATCTATCTATATCCTGTGTTCTAAGTACACTGAATGTGTCATCCACATACATCCACCGTACATCACATCCAGTAAATAATATTGTTACACTGTGCAATATATCTAATAAACAAATTAATATGGAATGACAAGGAGTAATTGACAGAAGGAAATAAGAGTAACACAAACCAGGAATGATGTAAGTTGTCAAATAATTTAGAGTTAAGAGAATTGACTATTTATGGGATGATTAGACGTGTGTACTGCTCATCAGTTCGCTCCGTCCTTCTCTATGGCTCTGAAACATGGCCAATACGAGTTAAAGACATGAAATGGTTGACTGTTTTTGATCATAGATGTCTATGATCTCTTTCTCACGTTAGGTGGTATAATAAGGGAAGTAGTGTTGACGTTAGGCGTAGAGTGTTAGGCAAAGAGGGAAAATCAATCGACGAGGCTATAAAGTTACATAGATTGAGATGGCTAGGTGACGATCCGCGCATGCCTAACCATCGCCTCCCCCGACGGGCATTACTAGCTGATATAGGTGCAAGTTGGAAAAGAGTAAGTGGTGGCCAAACAAAAACATGGCCTCATCAATCCATGAAATCCCTGACAGTTAAAGTGAGTCAAGTAGGGAGATGCAGACTTCCGGGTTGGGGCCCACCCTCGGGACTCTAAGAATCAATGGCTGGAGGGAATAGGTGACATGGCTCAAAATCGTTGTCAATGGCTTATGCAGATGTATTCAGTCTCTGTAATCTTTCATATTCCTTTCCACCATTACTCATTCTGTTTCACTCTTATACTTGTCAAAACTCTATTGATTCTCTTCACTCATTTACTTGTCTACCTTTGTGTGGTATTTGCAACGTGGCAACTGGGACTGCTGCACTCCGGTGCCAAGTTCTATGTTGAATCCAGACAGACAGACAGATTAGACGAATAAGCTTGGTAACAAAAAGACAAAATAAGCAAAGTTTAACTGGAAAAAGTATAGCAATGTGATGAATCACGTAACTACATGAAATATGTTTTTATAAAATAGCAAGTGAATTGTAGCCAAGTAGAGAGAAAGTCTATCTTTCTGCGGCTTGCTTTCAAAGGTGATGATACTGCCCGTAGAATAAGATGCAGACTGAACGCCACACTGAAAAGAAAATATCCCCAACCGCCAAACTTGTGCGTGCTTATCAAACGACCAGTTGTTGAAGACAATCAAAAGTGGACAAACTCCCACCTCATTTCACCTCCAACTATGTCTACCGATTGACATGTGTGTGACAAAGCACATACATTGAGTAAACAGAGAGAAGGGTGATTGTCCTCATTTCTCGGCGCATACCAAAGAACCAGAGACTAAAGGACTCACAAGCGCTAAACAGTGCGATTACGTGACATTTACTAGACATTGGTCATATTGTGGACAATATGAAGGTGTTCAAAATAATCAACAGGCAAAAGAAACCTAACCTGTTAGGTTGTTCTGAGGCGATCGCTGTCAAATGACTGAACCATTTCGGTGTTCGCAGAAGGAGACATTGGTGAATCTTGCAGTACTTTGGTGATTTAAGTTACATAACATTGTGCACAATTATATAAAGTCATGCATACTCCTGTATTTTCTGTCTTGATTAAAAAATGTTATTGTTTCATCTGAAACTTACTCATCCTAGAAGTTTTTTGCTGTTTTATAAAAAATATTTTCTGGAGTTACGTAACATACTTTGTTTGTTTTGTCTTTTTGTTTCCAAGAATATTCGTCTAATTATCCTATTAATAGTTGATCCTTTGAACTCTTAACTATTTGACAACTTATATCATTCCAGATTTGTGTTACTCTTATTTCCTTCTGTCAATTACTGATTGTCATCATGGAAAAGTATGTTCAAATCTTTAATGTGATTTATACTTTCAACTCAATTTTAGATTTTCCAGTCGATTGATTGGACCGAAGTGCTCGGTCTCAGGTTGACATGTCTGTTGGCTTCTTGTGTAGATGCTTCGACGATGTCTGGGCATGTAATTAGTAGTTAATTGGTGGATGGTGACTACCACTGGAATCCAGGGTGTGCATTTCGGCTGTCCTATTTGGAACTCGTCGACTAACTGGATGTACCTGCATTCCCCTGTGAATCAGTGATGATTTTCCCACCGTGGCTCGAACCCAGTGCCCAAAGTTTTAAACGCCAAACAGGACGAAATACGCATCCTGGATTCCACTGCTAGTCACCATCCACCAATTAACTTCTAATTGCATGCCCAGAAATCGTCGAAGCATCTATACAAGAAGCCGACATGTCAACCTGAGACCAAGCACTTCGGTCCAATCAATCAACGGGATAATCTAAAATTTGAATAAAATAGTTAAAATGACTCGTTGCACAAGAGGTGGCTTTCGTGGTCCAAATGGTCTAGTGGATAACGCTTTGGCGTTTGTAACTATGGACACTGGGTTCGAGCCTCGGTAGGGACATCACCACTGACTCACAGAGGAATGCAGGCACATCCAGCTGACGAGTCCCGAATATGTCAGCCGAAATGCGCATCCTGGATTCCACTGCTAGTCACCATCAACCAATTAACTTCTGATTTATACTTTTGTGTATAGTTCAGTTCGTAGACAGGTGCGAATAGTCTTCGAAACAATGAGAGATGAACTCATGTTGTTCAAGTTATGCATTATTATTATGTCTGCGATAACTGGGCATTAACTATGATGATTCCACTTAAACGATCATCTGGTTAACAGATGCGTCTCGTAGCTTGACTAGTGGATTGACGGATTAGTAATCCTGAAGACCACTTAGTTCGAGTCCTATCGCGAACCGTAGCTTTCGATGTCCCCCTTTTCTGATCTTCAGTCATCATGTATTACATTATTATTATTATCGATGAAGCACAAATGTCCTTGGTTCGACCCTTGGTAATGTTATGGGTTCGTGCTGCCGAAGAGCCTCAAACGAGGACGAAACAATTCTCCTCGTTTCCGATAGTTCTCTAACTGAAAGTCAGTCACCCTGTGATTGAACTTGAAATCAGTCAAATCCCCACAAGTCAACAATTCGAAATTAATCATAATTTCCCAACTCTTTTGTTTTCCCACTCACGGTTATTGATTGTTTCTACTCTCTCTGTCTCTCTCTTTCTCCTTCTCTCCTTAGATCTCGGTCTTATAGACGGTCAGTTAATTCATGTTAGTGATGTAACCACGCCTAGGACACTTTCTTTCCAACTTCAACTGGATTCTACATCTAATACTACTGGAGATGTGATAATAAACAGTCAATGATGTTTCCAGATTGAATTTACATGCATTGAATAGTGTATAATCATTGGGGATTTGCTTACATCAGTGCAGTGATGAACATATCTCTACAGGATATACGATCGTCATTATGGTTTTCACTGTCTTTCTTTTCGTGTTGAGGAGTTGTTTGTATTACGCAACCATATTGTTCTTTGTTTTGTGTATTACCCTAATAAATCTGTATTATACTTGTATTAATTCTTCTTTTATTTTTGTCGAAAATTTCTACCCCGATGAATGTTTGGTTGTGTTCTTTCCCGTGTATGATGCTTATTAATATTATTCCTTGTACTGCATGTGTTTTTAGTACTTGATAATTTAAAACATTCTTGTGTGCTTTGGCGCAAAATACAATCAAGAGAAAAATATTGATTGGTCAATATGATGGGGGGTTTTAGTCCTTTGTATTGGTGCTGTCGGGATTTTCTACCCGTCAAGTTCTTAAATGTTGGGTCACCAAGCTAGATAGAATGACTCGTCAACACGTTACATAGTTTGAGGCAATCGATAGAAAGGTCATGGACCTAGATTTCATACTTGCTGGCACTCCTTGACAAGACGTACCTACTTGTTGTTAACGTTGAAGGAAATAATTCCCATTCTGAGATCCGAACCCTACAAACATCACAAACGAAGCTATTTAGGCCCATGAAGGACTGTTAAGGATATATTGATTGGCGGCTTCGGAGTGGCCAATGTCATATGCCTATTCCGTGGTTTTATGGAACATTATCTCCTTCTAGGTTGCAGATACACCTTACTAATGAGTGTCAACAATCATGAAATCTGGGTTCTAACCATCCTGTTGTTTGCCTCTAACCTTGTAATATCAATCAAAGCATCTACGAACTCAAAACCTTTATATGCATGTTATCTCTTATGTAGATCTGTTAAATTCTCCATATTTAGCCTTTTCTCTATGGACTAATGTGGCGAAGTCAACTTAAGAAAAAGCTATTCGACTGAAGTTTTATTGTAACGGCAGAACACAAAGGTGGTTGGTAACAAGATGTTTGTTTGCAGTTTGATCTATACATATGGGGAGATTATGCATATCATATATTATAAAATCGTTATTTGCACAGATCTTCCGTGGTGTTGTGTTACTTCTGCTCTTCCTATTGTGTTTCTTTGCCTTCTTTCCATGTCTTCTATGTTGTTTTGCCATAATACTGGTTCCATATTAGTTTGTTTATTAGATATATGACACAGTGTGAAGCAGTATTATTTACTGGATGATGTTTTGGACAAAATTTATTCGTGTTCATAATCATATCATCAATTATAATCACACAACTTCGAAACTTGAGTTTTATAGTTTTCTTTGTTCTTTCCTATTCGTCATCAGGGTAGTAGAATTTTCTAGATGTCCAGGACAAGTATCAAATCATTCCTGCAGTACGTATTTTCAGTTGATTCGATAAATGAAGCTTCCGTTATCAATCTCTCCCTCCCTCCACCCTGTTACATTAGATTTCAAAACTGTCATCTTATCCCATCCTATTGTATGGTTGTGTGTAGTTGCATGTAGTGAGTGGTATAGCTGAACTATTCTCTAGATTTCTTATCTTATTTGGATCAACCAATCTAGATTTTGTTAGGTTTTATGTTCGGCTAGTTTGACTGCCCCTGTTCTACTAGTTTGACCTATGCATTTGACCTGACAATCATTGCAGAGTATTAGATATTGTTGGAACAATAAGGAATCTAAATCATCAGTAGTAATTCCAGAAGGAACCTCGGAAACCTTACGCAGAATTCTTAACAAGGCAGGAATAAAAGTGGCTGGCGTTCAAACCCACAAACTTAATTAGAAACAAACTTTGTCGGTTAAAGGATCCTGTAGAGCCTTTAAAACAAAACAATTTAGTTTATCTAATACCCTGTCGGAATGATTGTCGGGCCAAATACATAAGTCAAACTAGTAGAACAGGGGCAGTCAGACAAGCCGAACATGAAAACCTAGCAGAAAAATCTAGATTGGTTGACCCGAATAAGATAAGAAATCTAGAGAATAGTTCAGCTATACCACTCACTACATGCAATTACACACAACCATACGATAGGATGGATGGGATAAGATGACAGTTTTAAAATCTAATGTAATAGGGTTTAGAGAGGGAGAGATTGATAACAGACGCTTTGTTTATTGAATCAACTGCAAACACGTGTAATAGGAGTGATTTAACACCAATCCACCCTCCCAGTTATCTGGAAAATTCTACTACCCCTACGATGACGAATAGGAGAAGACAAAGAAAACTATAAAACTGAAGTTTCGAAGTCGTGTGATTATAATTGATATGATTATGAACAGCAATAAATTGTTTGAAACATTGTCATCCAGTAAATAATACTGTTTCACTGTATGATATATCTTATAAACAAACTAATATAGAATCACTTAACACCACGGTGCCCAAGTCTTACACATATATATGAATAATACTGGTTCATTCCCTGTCTTTGTCGTCAAATCCATCTCTCTGCTATTTGGTATTTTTATGCCGATGAATTTCTCTTTATATACTACTGATAAATGTTGTCAATAGCACACGTGACAGTATGACTTTTAATATCACACATAGTGACACAGTATTGTTTACTGGATGTCTGTAAGGAGTTTTCAATGTGATTAATGTTGTTGAATTTTGATTATGAACATTTTCGTTCTGATTGTGTTTTTTCTCTGTGGTAGTTGATTTAATTGCGAAGCTTTCATTATCTTTCTAGTCAACATCTTCAGCGCAAATTTTGATATGCAGTGAAATTATTTGACACTGGGTGATTATTACTTCTGTGGAATTGAATTGTACTGTTGGAGGGGTGGGGTCACGACTACAGAGGACACAATTCAAAATGGTGAGTATGCATTTTCATCTCTTTTGTTAAATAATAGGATGGTACTATTTCACTAGTTTATGTGAGTTTTTAGTTTATCAACCATCGGAAATAAATTGTTGGATTGTTTCGACGACTACACTTTCTTACAAAGCTGCACATCCTGCCTGTGGCACTGGTTCCTGAGACAATTTTAGCAGGGATATCTAGCGTAGACGTGATATCCGACTATCGACCAAAGGGCGTGTGTACTGCTCAGCAGTTCGCTCCGTCCTCCTTTACGGCGGTGAGACCTGGCCATTGAGAGCGGAAGACATGAAAAGCCTGGTTAGCTGTCTTTGATCATAGGTGTCTGCGTTCTATCTCCCGTGTGAAGTGGTACAACAGGGGGAATATTATTGAGGCTAGCTATCAGTTGAGTGCTAGGTAAGGCGGGGAAATCAATCGACGAGGCTGTGAAATTACACCGACTGAGATGGTTAGGACATGTGTCACGTATGCCTGCCTAGTCTTCGCCTTCCTCGACAATGGGCAATGTTAGCTGATATAGGGTCAGGCTAGAAAAGAGCTCGGGGCGGTCAAACCAAAACATGACTTCATCAGTCAATGAAATCCACAACAGTTAGTTTAAGCCACGTAGGAAGGTGTAGACTTCCTGACTGGTTGGGGGTCCTCGGGACGGTAAAAACCAATGGTTGGAAAAATTGGTGACATGGTTCAAAATTGTTGTCACTGGCTGGTGCAGATGCGTCCACTCCTTGTGACTTATGATTTCCAATGAAACTGTTTTGTTCTTCGTTATTACTATTCCTTTGTCTCACACCTCTGTTTACTGTCTCTAATATGCATTTCTCGTACTTTCTTCTCTTGCTTTGTGTGCTACAAGGAGTGGAGTGTGGCGACTTGAACTGCCGCACATATGTGCAAAGTTCTATTTCGAGAACAGACAGACAGGGATATCTAAAGCCCACTTACCCGACCAGTGGCTGCTACCTGAACGTGGTTTTCGGGCTCGCATATCTTAATTACACAACGAGTCTAACTAGCTTGAACCAATATCCCTAGAGGTCCTGCCATTCCAGAACGGTTGTTAGGATAGCCATTAGACTAAAAGCAGTTACTGTCATAATAAAAGTGGTTTACACTATGCTGGGGGTCTGGGAGAAGTCGTACTGCTGGGAGACAGAGAGGTAAAATCAGTTAAACGTTTCCCTCAGATGCCCAGCATGCCAGATATACTGTCTCGTCTCTGGAGAAAGTGCGTGGGGGGGAGGTTGAATAGGTCGACCCTGAAAATTGTTCATCCCGGTAGTAAGATACGAGCACAACTCTAAAGACGAGTTAAAACAGACCGTGTATAACCGGCCTCAAGCTGTTGTCCCCTTGGGCTCTGGGATCATGTAACACTAGTTCTCTGTGTGCTTCAGGTATTCCAGCCAAAAGAAGTCAACTTCCATGGTCTGGGCAGTCAGGAGGTAGCATTCACTTCCAAAAGACCACAAAACTAGGAGTGTAGCAACTAGAACTGCTACAATTGTGTGCTGAGTTCTATGTTGAAATTCACTCAGTCAGCCGGTCAGTCATTTGGGATTTGACAATTTTGGTCATTTTAAGCACAGATGGGATATTAAACTACTAATCGAAGGGAATAAATGGTGTGCGTTAGTTCGCCTTACCACCTACATTACATCTATGATGCATTGTATATGAAAGTATAATATGTGAAAATGTGATATATATATATGTTTTAACCACACGTTTGCTCACAGTAATACTTTCCTTTGGAGGCACAGCGGTTAGGACTCTCGCCGATCATGCACATGGTCCGAGGTTCGATCCCCCGCCGACGCACACCTGATATCTATGGTCGGCCTGTTAAATTTGGGCTACCGATATCACACGCTGAAAATTTCATACTTGTACGAAAAGATACGGTGTGGAATCAAGCTATAATAAAATAAAAAAATTAAATTAAATTAGTGTGGATATTCTATGTGAAGTGTTAGTTGTTAAAAATAATTAGACCCGACGATTTTATGAATTTTTATCTGTTGTCTTGCCTCCCACCCTACCTCACTAGTGGGGTGGGTGGTCATAGCAATACATCACACTATTTTAGGAAGTTATTGACTGCTGGTTTCAAACATGTGACCTGGCTGTGGTTATATGATCAATAGTCGGGAACTGTTTTTTTCCTTCACGTTCCCCAGTGGAACATATGGCTTCCAGCTAGTGGCTTGAAGTTTCTGTAGCCGTGTTTATTTTTACAGGATGGGGTTGCTAACCTCATGCCCAACCTTTCCTCTTCACCAGCATTATTTCTGGCTTAGTGAGGTAAAGGAGTGCGTCGGTGGCCGGGGATCGAACCCCGGACCATGTGCATGGTCGGCGAGCGTCCTAACCGCTATGCCACCGACGCACTGTCGGTGAGTTATTATTCACAATAGTGAGATGTATTCACTCCTTATGGTAACTAGCCGATTCTGAATATCTTTAATAGTCTCCATTAAACAACACTCTTCATGACACATGTTTAACCTTTTAGTCACTTGACCAACTCACCAGCCACCACTTACAATTAATTCCATGCAAGCGTGGAGTGGGGTTTGAACCCGTGACCACCGTTTGGAAGTTGAACGCTTAAACAAACGTATGAGCCACAGCTCCATTGTATTTTAGTGATTTGACTTCTGTATTTGTTTTATTTTTCGAAGTGTGTCAACTTTAGTTCATGACATTTTATACAAGATTTTGCATTACTCCACCTGTGTGTATCTGTTTACTAGAGGTCATCTTGAGAAGAATTTATGTCCCATTGTCATGTTTACAGGAAATTTATAACACGAGCATCAAATGTCTACTTAATATGTGTACTTGTGTTTTGCATCATCTAATTATGCATTGACTAGTCACAAGGCTGTAACCACTGGCATGTTATTTCTAGTCCTTCATGTTGGCACTGATTGATTCCATTATGGGTAAAATTTATTTTGATAAAGTCTCACAGTTTTATACAGTAATATTTACTGATGACCATGTTTCGAGCACAATTTATTGCTCATAATCATATCACTTTATCAAAATAAAATCTTATGTTTAATGGAGTTATACTCTACCATCGCAGTGCGCAAGTTTTTGCACTTATATCAATGGCACTGATTGAATTCTGTTAGTCAAGTTGGATGCTTTTTTTTTAAAACATCAGGAATTTCTAAAATATACTGATATGTTAGTCATATTGAATAAATATGAAAACTTTATGTGTTTGAATTGAATACATATCAGTTACTTTGGATGAGATCTTTAGTAGTTAGAATTACAGGGATTGAAAGTCCATTTGTAACTGTTATTTTGTGCTGTTTAACTACCATTAGTGTTGATTCACATTCGAAGAGTTTGTAACTATTGTAATATTGATCCTGAATGTCAGACTGTTTTTTTCCCTTCACGTTACCAGTGGAGCATAGGGCTGCAAGCTAGTGGCTTGAAGTTTCTATAGCAGGGTTTATTTTACACGATGGGGTTGCTAGCCTCATGACCAACCTTTCCTCTTCACCAGCCAGCATTATTTCTGGCTTAGCGAGGTAAAGGAGTGCGTCGTTGGCCGGGAATCGGACTCCGGACCTTGTGCATGGTCGGCGAGCGTCCTAACCGCTATTCCACCGACGCACAGATTGTATTTTAGGCATTGTAATTTTCATTATTGTAACTTTGAATGAAAGGTATAAATTATAACAAGTAATAATAGTTGTAATAATTGTAATAATAAGCATAGCGGAAACAAAAACAAACCAAGAGAGATAAAGGGAAAGTACACTCTTGATGAGAAGAAGAAACAATGATCCGAATTCGGCCACGGTAGGAACAGCGTCGGGATGCGTTCTTTTTGGATACAAAGTTTCAGTTTAATCGATCTTATTGCAACAGCTTCAGCTATATCTAGGAGACGTAGGTGAACTGTATGTGATAATGACCTCCGAATTTGGTATGTAACCTTGAAGGCTGTGTGTTGTATACCGAATTTCGAGGTCGTTGTCACGTCCACCAGACACTGTTCCTACCGTGGCCAAATTTTAATTAATGTTTCTTCGTATTCTTCTTCTTCTCACTAAGAGTGCCTTATCCCTCTTCGTTTGTTTTTGTTTTTGCTTTGCTTACTATTACAATTTCCTGTAACTTTGTCAACAGAGTTCTTACAATCAATGAACATAATACAGTCTGGCTATTATTGTTAACATTACTGAATTTCATCATTTCATCAACATCATCATGATCATCATGGAATGCAGTTAGATTAGCAGAATACAAGGATTTTATCCAGATCTAGAATGATACACTCCATCAGGTCATGTGATGTGTGAAAAAACTACCAGTCACACAATACGTTGGCATACGTACGCTATAGTTATCAATTAGTAGCCTAATGCAGTGCAAAGGAGGGTTAACCATTAAATCAGCAACTAAAATGTAGAGCAGGAATGATGAGTCCATCATTCCCGGATCTATGAAAAAAAATTATCAAAAGTAGAAGAACGTAGAACTGTCTAAATTAAGTTAGAAATTTATATGAATACATTGATATGACTCTAATCAATAAATTATGCTCTAAATATCATTAATTTAGGTAAGGATGGGAAGTCAGTGGAGGAGATTTGCAGCCATATCGATTGAAATGGCTAGAATATGTGTTACACACGCGAAACCAACTCCTTTCTACTCGAGCAATGTAAGCTGACATAAAATTAGGTTGGAAAACAGTTAGGGGTGGTTAAATCTAAATCTGTTAATAGTTCATGGGATCTTTGAGTGTTGCTTTGCGCCATGTAGGCGGGTGTACACTGTATGAATGGGATCCTAACGACGTTATTAATTCATTGACTTGATAAGATTGGTGATGTAACTTAAAATCGTTCTTAGTGGCTCAAATGCATCCACTGCTTGTGGTCTCCAGTATGCATTAAATCCATATTATTCTCTGCAAACTTGTTCTTTTTCCGGTACATTTCTGTTGATTATATTTCTTTTGATTGTTTTTTTTGTTGTTGTCTACTTGTGTGTACTGTATGGAGTGTTTGACAGCATGAACTGGTGCGCCTCTGTACGAAGTTCCACTTTGAATACTCAGTCAACTGACTCAGTTATTAATACCGTATCAATCTGTGTCATGGCATAGAAGCTTATCTTATACGGTACAAGTTCGTATGTTAGAGCTAATATCGACAGGAACCCAGTTACTCGGTCCTTCATTCGTTCATTGCCTATTATACTAAGATAACGGTTACATAAAATTTCATCATTTATTGAAATTATCTTTTTATCATAAAGTGATTATAACAATATACAAAAGTTATCATCTCATTCCTTTGGGTTCTGAGTGAAACATGGGGCTTCGGCAGCATATCACCATATCACTCTGTTCTCTGAAGTTTTTTTTCGCTGTACAGCTGGCTCTGTGACTGCCCACAAGCTCTCCTCTCCTCCTCCATGTCATATACTCTGACGTCAAACTCATAGCTTCCCATTGAAGTTCCATCTGATGGTCTGCCTGGGGAGTGATATCATCCTCAACGGCCTCCTCAGCATATGTTTCATCCATCTACATATTTATCGGGAAACAAGTTCCTAGTTGTTTGTTTGCCAGAGTTCCGTTTTGTCTAACCTTTCTACTCTGTCATCTGATCTTGAATATATGGAACTAAGGCAGTTGTTGGTAAAAGTCTAATGTATTGGTAGCCAAGCGGAAATGCTTTTGTTGACGCCTTCCCCAAATCTCTTCAGCAATATAGAAGCACTGAGTGTCTTGACATTAGTGTTAAAAATGCGGATCTTGTTTCTTGTACTGAGTGCTGCAGAGGTCTTCACACTGCTTTCAGAATAGCTAACCCCAGTCTTACTGAACTGATCCCATCCTGGCTTTGATATCTTCATCTGTGGTGCGTTTAGTTGAAACAATGCTCCCTGGATCATGTAAGTTGAAGGTTTCCCCCTTTGAAGCTGATTGGTGCTTGCTGTTGTTGTTGTTGTTGTCACCGTCGATTGGGTACCTTCATCGCCCCTATCTTCTCCATATTCACTTGAAGTCCTGTCTTTGATGCCTATCCTGTCAACTCGTCGGTTTACGCCTTCGACTTTGCACGACATTAGGCACATAAATCATTCTCCATAATATGTGATGGTTATGAATCTTAAATTAGACAACTCTCTAGTAAGTTGTAATTTCCACTCTTTCTTTAGTTGGGTAGTTCTAAGAGTTTTTTTAATTTTTAATAATAGTAATTTGCTTTATTCCAGAAACAGTACTAGTGGTACAGTGTGGAATTTTCAGCACATATCTACAATATTTACATCTAATTTTTTCAAACATTTAAAAGGAGTATTTCAAAAAAAATGAATATAAAGACACCAACAGCAAAAAAAATACAAACAGGAAAAACACAAAATAATTTTTTAAAAATGCAAAAAAAAATACCAAGAAGTAGGAAGGAAAATAAACATCCTATAATAATAACTCAGTATTGGGTAGTGGAAGCTATGATATGATTATGCATGGTGACAGTAAAGCTATAGTCATACAAGAAGTTATGAAATGATATTAAAGAATGTTTATCGCCAAGATGATCAGTTAATTTGGTTGAAACAACTCTAAATACTCATAAAATAACATTTCAGGGTTGTTGTTTTGCTTTTCGTTGTCAGGTCTAATACAGTGTTTGTAGTAGTAGTGTGAGTAATCCTGCATAATACAACATTTTAAGGTGGTGATAATGGCGTTCACAACCAATAGTTGTCAGTTAATATTGCCGAAAAAAATTGAATTAAATTAAAAAACAACCACAAAACTAATAATTACATTATGGTTAATGACAGGACAATTTTGTACTACTCATAGTGCTAATATAGTCGGAACCAGTAAAATACACGAAAGAAGGAATACAGTAAAGTACAAAAAGTAAGCCAAATGTTAATAATTTAGGTAGGTAAGTATGTTTGAGAAGGAGTTCACTATAGAATACAAAATAAGAGAGAAATAAAAGAGCCTAAAATTATGTTATTAACAACAAAGCAAGTCATAGGTTTCGCACTTAACTTTGTCTCTGTCACTTAGAACACGGGCCAAGTTTTTTTTAAATTTTTGATACTTGTAAGATTTTTGTACACCTATTTTAATGTATCATTTTCATTTCTGTCTTAGGCACTTCTATCTAATTGTATTCGATTGTGTTCATATTATAAATTATCACATTACGGATATCGAATCATCCACCCACTGAGAATTAATCATCAATTACAATTATGCCTTAGTAGTAGTAGTAGTACAACTACCTCTGGTAAATTTCAAAAGAAACCATTCAAATTAGTATCTTTAATCCATGAGTCGTATGCTACAGAAGAAGCCTGGCATTCAACTATCCCACCATCTCCAGAGTCGAATCCTTCAGCGTGTTGTTCATGGTCTGACTTATTCACTAGGCCTAATTTACAACCGATTATTGTTGATGTACGCAGCCCGAAAGAATTCGCTGAAGACCATATACACGGTGCAATAAATGTACCAGTGTTAAATGATGAGGAAAGGGAGTTTGTTGGTCGTTTATATTCACAAGGTAAGCTGTATCATTCAGGTATGTATTTAATTGTTATTTGATTTCTGTTCTAATTTTGTAGTTCTATGAGTTGTATATTCACTCATTTTTTTCATGGTTTATGTGGTTTAGGCTCACGGATATATGATTTCTGGGAAGTGTTGTGCTTGTGTCAATGGTGACTTAAGAGTTGGTTGTAACATGGAAAATGATGCTCGGGGAGGCTTCGTATCCTCTTGGAAGTGTGTGAGCGGTTGTTACTTCCCGGCTGTTCATACTATGGAAGTTGATTGATTCTTCGGGTACCTGTAACAGAAAGAGGATTAGTGTTGCGTGACCGCAGAGCCCAGGGGACAACTGCTTGAAGGCGGCCAGTCACACACGGCCTGTATGAACTGGTTTCTTGCTTTGGTTCCGTATTAGTAAACTTACCGCCGATTACGGACCTCCGTAGGGTAAGTCGACCTTTTCTAACCCCCTCTCTCCAGAGTGGATAGACAACATAGCTGGCTGGCATGCTGGTCATCTGAGGGAATCACCTCACTGCTGTTACATCCTTGTTCCCCAGAAGTACGACTTCGTCCACAGACACCCAGCATAGTGTAGAGAAAAATTCTTACACTATTCCAGTAACTGCTTTTTGTCTAATCGCTATCGTAACAACCTTCCTGGTATGGTAGGATCTGGAGGAACAATAGTTCCAGCCAGTGTAGCTTGTTGGTTCATTGTGATGTGCAAGCCTGACTACCGCTTCAAGGTAGCAGCTATCGGTCGGGATCGGTTGTATCACCGTTAGCCGGAACGCATCATTCTATATACGACGCTGCAAGCCACTCTCATGGTTTAGGTGACCTGTTTCAAACCTGGGCTACCAAAATAGTCCATCCTCATATTCCATATAATCTTCCTTGTTCAGTTTTGTTTTAATGTATTAAAATATGACCTCTAATGGTATTGTTTACTCCCGTGAGTGTTTAAATTTTCTACTGAACTCGAGAAAAGCAAGCTCGTAGGTGGCAGCTTATTACACTAAATGAGATAACTGTCCCTAAGATTTCTTACACGACTGCCTGAGAAGTAAAACTAATTTCCTGTAGTGTTCAATTATTCATCTGTTATTATGTAACGACAGAGGACAAGGGCCAGGCAACACATCGTTTATCGAGGAAATCAAGAGATATTTAGTGCATGGAGGATTTCATCATGAGCTGACATCATTTAGAGAACCATTGAGAACCAGGGAGTACTGGACAGCTGTTTCGTCCTAGTGTGGGACTCTTCAACAGTACGCACCCACCGGGATTCGTAACGCAGGACCTTCTGGTTACAAAGCCAGCTCGTAGACCATGGAGCCACTGGGATCCGATCCAATGGCCAATGCATGAAGTCTAATTTCTGCCAATTCACAACATAGCGCAACCATTTCGCAATGTCTTTTTCGAAGAGTTACTGCCTCATCTTCAACGTGCTGTACCCTACTGGTCACGGCTTCTCACTAGAACCCCAGGTTAAATACCTGAATAGGGCCAGTCGCTAGTGAGCATTTTGGTGAAGAGTCCCAAACTAGGACGGAGGAAACAGCTGTCCAGTACCCGCAGGTTTTCCAATGGTTCTCTAACTGATGTCAGCTGATGATGAAATACTCCATCCAATCAAACAAAATCCCTACAAAACTAATGCTTGAAGATATTTAGTGATTTTTATGTACATTATTGTCAGTGGAGAAGCAACGTCCTCTAATTGATTGTTCTCTTGCTCAAGGTTATTCTGTACTGCTTGTGACCATTTCTTAGAAAGTTAAGCCATATATCTGCGAATCGTATTTGCACACGTTAAGTCTGCTGTGATTGGTTGTTGAGTTCCTCAAGGTTAAGCCTTGTTATTTTTTTTTCTCATGACCCTGATTCGGGACGTAACATTGACGTAAATTGTTGTCTACAATTTTGGCTAGCAGACAGCTCTCACCACAACTATATCCTTGAGTCAAGATGTGTACTGTTGCACCTTTCTAAATTGGTTTCCAACCAATTATTGTGCATTTGGTTTTTGCTTCAAGTCAGACAGCGCTGTGTCACGTGGTCTATGCTGCGAATTACTATTATACTTGAAGATCTGGGACGGACAAAAACTATTGTGTAGCAATTTCCGCTGAAAATTCTGCACATCATATATTATTATTATTATCAGTCAGTGAGTTAGTCGATGTGACGTAGGTGGAATGGGATTCGAACCCGTTACCCATTATTTGAAATCCAGTTGTTAAGTCGGGTGAGCCGCATCTCCACATTTTGAATTAGATAGAAATCAAAAGTATCTTTTTAAAAGAAACATTAGCAGAATGTTCCTATGAACTAATTGGTAATCTGACGTTATATAGGAGATCAACTGCAGCTATGAATGTCTCTTACCACAGTAGAAACTGAACTTTGATTTGATATTGCTATCCTTTGATGGTCACATTGTAACGACAGAATACCCAGGGGCCAGGCAACAGATCGTTTATTGAGAAAATCAAGAGATATTTAGTAATTTTTATGTACATTATTGTCAGTGGAGAAGCAACGTCTTCTGCTTGGCTCTTTTTTCTTGATGAAGGCTATTCTGTACTGCTTGTGACCGTTTCTTAGAAAGTTAAGCCATAAATCTGCGAATCGTATTGGCACACGTTAAGACCGTTGTGATTGGTTGTTGAGTTCCTCAAGGTTAGGCTTTGTTATTGCTTTTTCTCATGACCCAGATTCGGGACGAAAACAGTGACGTAAATTGCTGTCTACAGTTTTTGGCTAGCAGACAGCTCTTACCACAGTGTGATTTATTATTGCTTTTAATCTAATATTAATGTTCAACTGATTTGTCTCATTCAAATGAATTCAGGCTGATTGAGTTTCATCATAGAAGAACGTTGCACAGAAGTGCAGCAGTTCAACGTGACACATTTCATGTAGCACACAAAGGTAAAGAAAAGAGGACAAAAACACCGAAGAACTGTAATGAACAGAAATGTCCTGGAGGGAGAAAAAATAGTAACATGGAAAACATCAGGGTTAAATGTATAAAGGAGTTAACTAGGAATGAATGCGTGTGCATCAATGAAAATGGTTTAGACCCATATCATCTATAATAGTCTCGAGTCATTGGTGCTTAGCAATCTGAGCACCCCGAACACCAACCTACGTGGCTGGCTAGCTTAAACCAACAATAAAAGACATCAGGGATTGACTCCAGGTAATCCTGTGTCAGTAAACCTTGTCTGTTGAGGAGGGTGGTGGCTGGGCATACTCAACACTTATCCTAGCCACCTCATTGAATGCAGTTTCATAACCCCATCGATTGACCTACCCTATTTACGTAGCACTCTACGCCTAACTTCAATATTACTCGCCATATTCGAAAACTTAATGCAGAAGATAGAACGCAAATATCTGCTTTCTCATGTCGTCCGCTTTTATTGGCCATGTCTCACAGCGAGTCCTTCTATTGATAGCCGGATATCACGTCTACGCAAAAGATGACGTATTCTGGCAAATGTCATATGAGCTTTTTTGTATCCTAGCTGGGATTTAGTGCTGGTCAGCTTAACGTATGCAGTATTTATGGTTCCAGGAACCTCAGTAATGAGTAGATCGCGCACTGATCGAGGAAGCCCTCGCCCTGTCCTTCTCTATGGATATGAGACATGGCTATTGAAAGTGAAACGGATATGAAAAGATCAAATATATTTACCTCCTATCTTCCGGCTTAAGTGATACGATTTGGTAAAAACAGTCTTTAGGTTAGCTTCAGTGTTAGATAAGGAAGCGGTTGTTATTGATGCAGTTGTTAGGCATCATCGACTAGACCGAGCCACAGCCTTTCTTGACGAGCAAAGTTAGCTGACATTAAATTGTCAAGTATTGGTTTTGTAGGGAGTTTTGTTTGATTGGATGGAGGATTTTATCATGAGCTGACGTCAGTTAGAGAACCACTGGAAAACCTGGGAGTACTGGACAGCTGTGTCCTCCGTCCTAGTTCAGGACTCTTCATCAGTACGCACCCAGCGGGGTTCGAACCCAGAACCTTCTGGTTACAAGGCGAGCTCGTAGACCATTGAGCCACTGCGTACTGAATGTAGAGTCCCAAACTAGGACGGAGGAGACAGCTGTTCAGTACTCTCTGCAGATTTTCCAGTGGTTCTCCAACTGATGTCAGCTCATGATGAAATCCTCCATCCAATCAAACAAAATCCCTACGAAACCAATAATTGAAAACTAATCTGATGCTCATTAGTGACCGGCCCCATTCAGGCGGTGACCTGGGGTTCCAGCGGGAAGCTGTGACTAGTAGGATACATCAGGTTAAAGGTGAGGCAGTAACTCATCGAAAGAGACATTGCGAAATGGTCGTGCTATGTCGTGAATTGGTAGAAGTTAGAATTCATGGACTGGCCATTTGATTGGTTCCCAATGGCTCAAGGGTCCACGAGCTAGCTCGCCTTGTAACCAGAAGGTCGTGGATTCGAACTGTGGTGATGGGTGCGTACTACTGAAGAGTCCCGAACTGGGACGAAACAGCTGTCCAGTACTGTCAGCTAGGTTTTCAGTGGTTCTCTAAATGATGTCATCTCATGATGACGTTGAATTAGTTGGAAAAAAGTGAGAGGTGGTGATTACACTAAAACATGGTGTCAAGAGTCCGTGAAGTCTTTGACAGTTTTTTAAGCAAGTTATGTATAGGGAAGTGTTGACTGTCTAGTTGGGTTCCTCGGGATGTTAAACACCAAATGGTTGGAGACTATTGGTGGTATAACTCAAAAACGGTTGTCAATCGTGCAGATACATTCACTGTTTGGGATCTTTCCGATGCATTAAGTTTTCATGTATTTTTTTACCAGTTGATCGCGGATTGATATCAGTTAGAGAAGCATTGAAAACCAGGGAGTACTGGAATCATCAGCAGTACGCATCCACTAGGGTTCGAACCCAGGAACTTCCGGTTACAAGGTAAGCTAACTCGTATACCATTCAGCCAATAAGACCCGACTCTTCAATGACCAGCCCATGAATTCTAACTTCTACCAATTCGTGATTTAGCGCGACTCGAACCATTGTCGTTGGTGGGACATCCATCCTCACACGTGACATCTGGATGAACCTCACTGGTCACGACTTCTCACTAGAACTCCAGGAAACTGGAGGAAACCTCTGTAGCAAGTCACTAGCGAGCATCAGATTAATTTTCTATAGTTTGTCTTGAAAGGGTTAGTTTTGTTTTTATGAGTTGATATCAGTTAGAGAAGCATTGAACACCAGGGAGTACTGGACAGCTGTTTCCTACGTCCTGGTTTGGAAATCATCGGCAGTACGCACCCACTGGGGTTTTTTTCCATGTTACTATTCTTTCTCTTCCTCCCGTACATTCCTGCTCATTACTATTATTCTTTTGTGCCTCTTTTTTCCTCTCTTTCTTTTCTATACTTTTTTGTGCTAAATGGAGTGTGGAAACTTGAAGTGTTTCACTTCTTTACAAAGCCAGTTGGACCACAGTGCCTAAATTCCTGAAATTGCACTAATTTTTGAAACGAAAAATGCCTTTCAATTGTACATTTTTATAAGATTTTATAAACTATTGAACCAGATCACTGACGCCGTTTGTTTTTTATCAACATACATGCAGGTGATCTTGTTCGTGCTCGTCTGCATGGTGCATCTTTAGTCTGTGCAAATATTAGTCGGTGTTTAAAACAACTTGCTGATGAATATGAATCCCAGCTGAATAGTTCAACGAGCGCTAATCATCATCATCAAATCGTCAATGGGAGGCGGAAAACTATATTTCCAAATTTTTTAATTTATTGTTGGCGTGGTGGTCAGCGGTCAGCTTCACTAGCTACAATCTTATCTGAAATTGGTTGGCCGGGTGATATTTATATTCTTGTCGGTGGATATCGTTCATGGCGTCGACTGCTATTACGACAATTAGATGCATGGCCTCGTTGGTCTATGCCTAATCCATTTTGGATGATTTCTGGTCTAACGGGTTAGTTTGTTGTAAAAAATTATTCATTTATGCGGTTTAATATTAATGACTGTGTTGTTGTTTGTCTGAGCTTTACTCAACCTGCTTTATTATTTCTGTTTACTTATTTATTTATATACAACAAATCTGGTAGGAAGAGATGCAGTATACTTTTCGTCACTGATGATTACAATTTTCAGTCATAAATGATAACACCTTGAACCACTGATTTGGGTTATCCATCGTACCCCACACAGGAATTCTTAATGCACTAACAGATGCTAACTCCCAATACAATACAGTCATCCTTTACCCCAAGGTACCACGTTATGAGGTGGTTTCTTGCCCACTTCTGAGACGACTGGCAGATAGTAGGAGCCGTGGGGATAACATTCGCAGCATTATGCCCAAGCTTCTGAAGCTGGTTGTCATAACATGACACCATTTTATTGGAAGACGATCTTCACCATGTCGAAACATGCGCTGATGGAGTTCAGAATTATTCTTTACCCTAGTTAAGCATATGATGGTTTGCACAGGTTTTGTCTTTTAAATGGCTTTTTAGTTTTTGTAGGGCGATTATCATGATTATGATGAAAGTAATGATGACATACTCGTTCTTACATTCAACAACTTACTCAACAACTACTTGCATCTTGATGCAGTTGACGATAAGCAATGCCTTTTGCGTGAGGCATACGGATACTGTCTAGTGGTACAAACCTCGATCTGTAGAGCTGGACAAATTGCCAAAAAGCAACTAAAGTTCGAATTCAATTGGTGGATGGCGGCTAGCAGTAGAATCCAGGATGCGCATTTCGGCTGTCCTATTGGGGACTCGTCAGCTGGGTGTGCCTGGATTCCCCTGTGAGTCAGTGATGATGTTCCCACCGAGGCTCAAACCCAGTTCCCATAGTTGCAAACGCCAAAGCGTGATCTACTAGACCACTTGGGCCATGAGAGTCACCTCTTGTGCAACGGGTCATATTAATTATTTAATTCAATTTTAGATTTTCCCGTCGATTGATTGGACCGAAGTGGTTGGTCTTAGGTTGACATGTCAGCTTCTTGTGTAGATGCTTCGACGATGTCTAGGCATGTACTTAGAAGTTAATTGGTGCATAAGGTGTCTCTCATGGCTCAAGTGGTCTAGTGGATAAAGTTTTGGAGTATGAAACTATGGGCACTGGGTTCGAGCCTCGGTGGGAACATCATCACTGACTCACAGGGGAATTCAGGCACATCCAGCTGACGAGTCCCAAATAGGACGGCTGAAATGCACATCCTGGATTCCAGTGCTAGTCACCATCCACCAATTAACTTCTAATTACATACCCAGATATCGTCGAAGCATCTACACAAGAAGCCGACGTCTCAACCTGAGACCGAGCACTTCTGCTGGAAAATCTAAAATTGAATTAAGTAACTAAAGTTGCTTCTGAGTTGGACGTCGTCAGTAGGTAAAGAGTTTTCGAGAATGATATTTCGTGATTTTCTTAGTACTACTAATTAAGAATAGTATAGGTATTCAGGTATTTATTTTCAGGAAGAAAATTTACCATAAGGCTGTATTAAGTTTTTTTCTGATATTGGGTTTTTGTAGGGATTTTGTTTGATTGGATGGAGGATTTCATCATGAGGTGACATCAGTTAGAGAACCACTGGAAAACCTGGGAGTACTGGACAGTTGTTTCGTCCTAGTTTGGGACTCTTCATCAGTACGCACCCAGCGGGGTTCGAACCCAGGACCTTCTGGTTACAAGGCAACTTCGTAGACCAATGAACCACTGGGACCCTGACTTTTCTACCCTCATTCGTTTGATTTTCTTCCGTGTTTTTACTCATTGTCTTCAATATATTCAATGTTTATTATTCTTTGTTTTACTGATTGATTACATGTGCATTATTATTTAAAACAGGTTCCGGAAAGTCTTTAATTCTTCAAGAGTTACATGAATGTGGTGAGATTGTGTTAGATTTGGAGGCAATTGCTATGCATAAAGGTTCAATGTTTGGAAGTCTTGAAGTGGCTAATCCTCAGGTAACTGACAACAACAACAGCGATGACAATAATAATAATAGTAATAATAATGCTTCCATCAATTCTATTACACCAAAAAGATTTCAATCACGTCTCCATCAAGCGTTAATGATATCTAAGCATAGACTTGCATCACCGAAGAATATTTTATGGGTTGAGGGTGAATCACGACAAATTGGACCGTTGTGTAGTTTACCGGATAGTCTGTGGACAAGAATGCGATCAACTGACCCAATGGTTGGCACACATCATGTATGGATTGATGTAAGTGAAGAGGCGAGAATCGCGTGGATTGTAGAGAATTATGCTTCAGTTAGTCAAAATATTCCTCAAGTATTACATATTTTAAAAATGTAAGTAGTGGTAGCTTTATTATCATTATTGTTGTTGTCGTTGATTTTGTATTTTCATTCTTTAGCCTTCCGAGTGGAGCATAGGGCTTTAAGCGCTGTGAAGCTTCAATAGCAGAGTGCTGTTGCCATTCTCATAGCCTACCTCTTCTCTGTTTTTACCGGGCTTACTACTAGGTTTGGTGGGGTTTGGATTTGCGTCGACTGGGTGTTGAATCCAGGCGTGTCACGGCGTGGTTGGCAAATATCCTGCCTTTGATTATTATTATTATTATTGTTCCCTTGGGTTCCTAGTGGAACATAGGGCTTCAACTACATGTCTCCACTTGCTTCTGTCTTCTGCTGTACTTTTCACTTGCATCCATGTTAGTCCACACTGTTTCAACTCTTCTTCACACAATCTCCTCCATGTCACCCTTGCACTCACGTCCCACTCGCCGCTTCCCTTTTGGGTTCTACTCGAGCACTGGCCTGACGCGCGATTTCACCCAGCGGCCTCCTCAGCCAGTGAGTGTCCAATCCATCTCCACTTTCTCCTGCATGTTTGTTGGGCGATTGGTTCTTGTTCTGTTTGTTCGCATAGTTTCTTGTTGGTGATTCTTTCCGGCCATCTGATCTTCAGTATAGAACGAAGACAGTTGTTGATAAAGGTCTGCAAAAGGCTGTTGGAAATGCTCATTCTTTGTGACCCGCCAAGTTTCTGATCCATTCGTATAGAAGAACTGACTGACTTGACGTTTGTATTGAAAATTCGAATTTTGTTGTTGATGCTGAGTTGAGTGACGAAGATTTCCAGATTGGTTTCAGGTTGATGAATGTGTTTCTCGCCTTCCCGATTCTCGATTTGACATCCTCGTCCGTTCCTCCCGTAGTTGAGATAATGCTCCCTAGATAAGTGAATGCAGAAACCTCTTTCAAATCCCTCCTATTGATGGTGATTGGGGCTGGATGCTGCTGTTGTTGTTGTTGCCTTTGATGCATGTAATATATTGATGGTTAACTCAGCCTTTAAGGTCATCTATAAAAATGGTCAAGGGCGCTTATTGAAATACGCTGAGGCTATAGCTATTTATAAACTTATGCCCTCACCCGCACTCCCCGTGTGTATTCAAAAGTCATCATCTAGGTTGTACATTCGTGTATTTATATCAAATGGATGGGAAAGTTCCAGAATAATTTCCGGTTAAGGGTCAAATTAATAAAAATTACAATTAGGAATTAGTATGCCATAATAAACAGGGGGACGGATAAAACTCAAACAAAGTAGCATAATAACTAAGAAGGTTTACATTGTGCAATTGAGGGTTAGAAATGTAGAAATAACAAAATAGACGGGATGTTTGGATAAAAAACTAGTGTGATGAATAATTGTTTATGCGATCAGAGATTAAGTATGTAGAAATAGTAAAATGACAAAATAGACAGGAAGAGTGGGTATGAAAATATGGTAGTGTAGACAGGGATTAAGAAAACTTAAAATAACATGAATAAACAGGAAGTTTAGATAAGAAAGGCGATGGGATGGTCATTACTAAAAAAAATTTACCTGTTTATGATGGCCATGGCAGGGACAGGGGTTGGATACAAAGTGTGGGTTTGAACTTTTGGGTGGCTAGTGTCTCGGCTATGCCCAGATATCTTGATTTCACTCCCTTTGATAAGTTTGATTGAATCTTGTATATTACTTTGAAAAATCTTTCGAAAGGCGCTGAATGTCCTGAGTTGACTAGATGTTCTGTCACTGAAATGTATACACGTTTTTGGTCTCCTTTTACTATCCAGACTGGGTAGTGTTCGCGAGCGCGTTTTCCAAATCGGCTCATGGTACGGCCGATGTACCCAGGTCCACGTGAGCAAGTAAACTTGCATATGCATATTGAAGTGGCCCAATGCGACAGCTTGTATTTCGCGTTCTGGTTGAATAGTTTCTTGGAGGAAAACAACAGTCGTAAGCTTGCGGTGAAGTATGTCTCTCTTAGAGATTCGGAGAGGCGTTTACGGAGGATTTTGCTTCAACATCACCTTTGAATTCTAGATTAAGCAGAAGTATTTTCCTTGGAACGGACTGGACTTGTTCGGAAGTCTTCTTAGATTTGAGATTCTTGTCTATGAACCTGGGTGAGGAACCGTTTTCCATCAGGATTTTTCGGAGATTACGCAATTCTTCTTCAATCACTTCCTCGCTGCATATCTTCCGAATCCTCGAGGAAAGAGCGTATATCAGGTTCCTCTATCTGGTTAGGGGCACGAAGCTTTGAAAGTTGATGAATTGTCCATTCCATGCAGGCTTTTTGTATATTTTATTGTATTTATATATTTGATTGGATTATCAAACGTTGAGTTAATCATTCTGAAATCCTTTTTTTGTCACTTTGTTTAATTTAACATTTTCATATATATATATATATATATATATATATATATATATATATAATTTATAATTGTAAGAACCTGAAGAGAAATTAGTGAAAGGAATATTCTTCGCTTAGATTGACTTTTACTTCATGATATGGGAAGAATTCACACTGATCTCTCATGTTTCTTTTTTATTTCTTCCTTTTTATAATCAATCAAAAAAGGTTAGAAAAATATCAACCGGCAAAGTTAATTAACCAATGGATTGAAATGTTCAATTGTGGTGATTACACTGGTCTGGTTAGTGGATTAATTCGACAACATTATGATCCGCTGTATAGAAAAAATCTACATCAAACAATGCAAAATGCTAAAACCTCTGGTCTATTTCATTCTCTGCATTTGGACAGTGTTGACAAGTCGACTATACAGAAGAAGCTGATACCTCAGTTGCTGGATTTAGCCTACTCAACACCAACTACATCTGATCCTCATAGCCATCATCCTGAGGATGATAATTCTGTGAATGATCGCCGAAGTATTGCTGGCATTTAAATCTGTTTTTGTGTCTGCGTGTGTCTGTGTGGATGTATGTTAGCTTGACATTTGTCATCTAGTTACGTCATACTGTGATAGTATATTGTAGCATTCCCCCCCCCACACACAAACATACCTTATCTGTTAGGTGTACAGTTAGTACTGCATAGCCAGTTATTATGTAATCATTTTATAAGTAATAGGTACCTGTCTTCTCAATTCTCTCCTCCCCCTATATTATGTGCAATAGAATCGACTTCTGTGCATATCACATAATCGTGGTAGTAACTGTGATCCCCTGTGTGTATATATATTTAATTCAGTTAGTGTTGTTATATTATGTGAAAATAAAAATTAAAAAACAATGAAATTGATTTTTTTCTCTCCTTTATTTTGTTTTGTTTGAAGAATCATAATGTCAGTTTGTATGCTTGATATACAAAATATTTATTCACTTAATTTAGTGTTTATTATCTGCAAACATTGATCTTTGAATTGCAGTTGATTTCATTTTCAACCAATAAATAAAGTCAGAACTGTTGTTGTTGCTGTTGTTGCATAAAACGGTGGGTGTACTGCTCACCAGTGCGCTCCTTCCTACTTTATGGCTGTGAGACGCAACCATTGAAAGTGGAAGACATGAAAAGGCTGCCTGTCTTCGATCACAAGTGTCTGTGCTCTATCTCCCGTGTGAAGTGGTACAACAGGGTGAACAACATTGCGGTTAGGCATCGAGTAGTAGGTAAGGAGGGGAAATCAATTGACGAGAGCGTGAAGCTACATCGACTGAGATGTTTAGGACATGTGTTACGCATGCCTGCCTAGTCATCGCCTTCCTCGACGGGCAATGATAGCTGACATAGAATGGATCAGGTTGGAAAAGAGCCAGTGGTGGTCAAACCAAAACATGGCTTAAATAGTCAATGAAATCCACAACAGTTAGTTGAACCCAGCCAGCCACGTGGGAAGGTGTAGACTTCCTGACTGGTTGGGGTCCTCAGGACGGTAAACACCAATGGCTGGAGACAATCGGTGAAATGGCTCAAAATCATTGTCACTTGCTGGCGCAGATGCATCCACTCCTTGTGACTTACAATATCCAGTGAAACTATTTTGTTCTTCGTTATTGCTATTCCTTTTGTCTCATATCCCTGTCTACTGTCTCTATTATGCATTTCTTCTCTTGCTTTGTGTGCTACAAGGAGGGAGTGTGGCGACCTGAACTGTTACACATCGGTACAAAATTCTATGTCGGAAACACACATGCAGACAGGTAAAATGTTCTTAGAGGTCGATATTCTTTTCGTGATCGTTAATAATAGCAGTAGCAGTAGTCATGGAAACCACTTGTGGGACTACATGTTGTATTGTCAACTTATCGTTATTATTCCCTTGAGTTTTTAATGGTTCACATGGCTTCAACACCACATCGTCATTTCATCATTTTCTTTGTAGTTCTCCCATTTAGCTGGCTCCACGATTGTCAATAAACTCTTCTCATCTCCTCCTCATACAATCTCCTTCATATCACCTTTGGACCCACGCTCAACTCGTTTTACAATTTAAATTCCACTCGAGGGCCTGGTATGCGATTTCACTCGATGATCCTCTTGGTGTGTGTGTGTGTCCATTTCTTTCTGCATATATGTTGAGCAGTACGTTGTTTGGGTGTTGGTGGCACAGTGGTAGAATGCTCGCTAATCACTCAGGTGGCTTGGGGTTCGATCCCCGGCCGACGAGGCGCTTCTTTACCTCGCTAAGCCATTAGTGAGACCGGTAAAGAGGGAAGGTTGGCCATATGAGGTTAGCAACCCCACCCCGTAAAAATATGTGCTGCTGCTAGTGAAACTTTAGGCATCGAGCTTGAAGCCCTATGTTCCACTGAGAACGTAAAGGAATAAAATATGTTTGATATATATATATATATATGTGACGAGGTAAAGGAGCGCGTCAGTTGCCGGGAATAGAATCCCGGACCACATGCGTGGTTGGCGAGCATTCTACCGCTGTGCCACCGACGCACTAATTCAGGACTAGACAAGTGGTATTGTTTACTCCCCAATGACCAATCTATGTATAGCTCACTTAGTTTTGTAATTCTTTATCTCTTTTTTGGCACTCACTTTTTGATTGTAGTTTCTCCCGACTACTGTTGATTTCGTTATCCATGTGGCGGCGGTATTTCAATATATATGAGAGTTTTGAATTTATTCACATCTATGGCATTTAATTCCACACACCCCAACTTCTTTTTGTTTTTCTTCTCTGATTTTAGGTGTTTCAATGAATTTTTCCACGAATTTTAAGCATTTAAAAATATTATCTAATGTTATTAGAGGTTTCAACTTATTGAAACCATTAAATTCAACAGTAGTACAATCAAATACGTGAGTTGTACTTTTCATTTTTGGTTTTTATGAATGAAAAAAATATGAGAGGATTTTCTTAAGCAAATAATTCTTTTACATCACTGTTTATGGCCGATAGTATAGATTCACAACCATGCACGTGATCCGAGTTCGGGCCCCGGCCACTGACGCACTTCTGAACCTCACCTAGTCTATAGAAAAACCCGGTAAAGTAAGAGAGCTGGGCGTGAGGCTAGCAACCCCACCCTGTTAAAAAATTACCATGGCTACTGAAACTTCAGTGGTCAAATATGTAACTTCATGCATTTATTCCCCTTGATGAATTTGAATAAAGCAAGAACAACAGTTTGGTTTGTGCAGAATAATATAGTACCATCGTTGCTTATTTCGTTGGCTTCTCATCAACTGCTGCTTACAGTCTAAATAAATTATGTGGTTAATGTACAGAAAAGTTTTAATATACTTGCAAATTTTTTCATGATGTCAGTTGGCAGAAAGTTCCACAATTAGTGAACAGTGCTCAGAAAATTACGCTTATGTAGTTTTTACACAGGCAGTTTAAGTTTAAACAAAGTAAATGAATGCATACAGTGGTAAGAGAGTTGAGTAATAAGGATGGGAGATGCGTAAGATGCTGAATGACTAATAAATTAGATAACAATGTACTGAGTTCAACTCAAATCATAGAAGCAAGAGACGAGTAAAATCACAGTATGTCAAAGGGGTGAGGTTAAAGCCAAAGATTACGTAATCAAATGAAAGAAAGAATAAAGACATCCAGTTATCAAGCAGCAGGGCAAGGAGAGACTAACAACTGCTTCTTTCTGAACACATAAGTCTGGTTTCAAGAGTTTGACAGAAATTGCATCGGCAAACTTGAGCAGAATCGAGCTTCTTTGTCTGTTGATAATTTTAAAGGATTTTGTGATTTCCACCTCATGACCCGTGTCGAGGAGATATCTGGTAATAGCGCTATTATATGAGTTTGTTCCATTGAGACGTTGGCTTTACGGCACATTTTCAGAAAATCGGAGGTGTGCGCTTCTTTGTGTTCTCTTAATGTACCTGCTCCCACAAATACACGTCAATTTGTATACACAGTTGAAGTTAACATGAGAAGGGTATCTGTCGACTTCTGTACATAAACTTGATAATTTATTTAGGCTGTAAGCAGCAGTTGATGAGAAGGCAACGAAATAAACAATGATGTTACCATATTATTCTGCAAAAACCGCTGTTGTTCTTGCTTTAGTCAAATATGTAGCCGAATATTCTACTTGGGGCGCTAAGGAATTGGAAAAGAAGTGTTTAGATATGATGGAAAAGTTTTGTAGCTCAGGTGGATAATTTTACTGTAGTTGTGTTCTTCGAACTGGATGGTTGAATCGCGAAGCTTTCATTATCCCACTAGACAACGCCGTCAGCACGTGTTCCAATTTAAGGAGACTCTGAGAATGTTGTCCAGCAAGACAATTAAAGCTTTGCAACTAAACCAATCCAGCTTGAAGAATACAACCACACACAAAAATAAGAAGAGAAGTGTTCCTGTATGCTGTTTACTTCGTCTCAAGTGTTCACGTGTTTTGAGGCAACTTTGGAGTCAACATTTTGTGAAAGCATGTTAAAATCTTAAATTACGTAACTGTCCTCCCATAAGTTATTCTGTAAGTTATTTGTGGCAGCACAAAGTATTGTTCATTTTATGCAGTGTGAAATGTTTATTAAAAACCATCAAATTGTGTTCCAAATGTGGCTAACTGAATGTGTTATAACATTGAACTATGCTCAGAAGTGCAGCAGATCAAGTTGTCACACTCCATGCAGCACAGTGAATTAGACGAAGGAGAGAAGTAAGAAATTCAAAGGAACTATAGTGAGTATAAATGTGCAAGAGAAAGAATAGTAGTATGGGAAGAGTCGAGGAATTAATAGATATAAGAGGTCACTAAGAATGAATGCATCTGGGTCATTGGGAATGCTTTTGAACCATATCACCAATAGCCTCCAGTCACTGGTTCTTAGCAACCCGTGGACTTCAACCAGGCAGTCTGCACTTCCATTATGTAGCTGAAAGTAGTAGTCAAAGACTTCATGAATTGTCAAGTATTGGTTTTGTATGGATTTTGTTTGATTGGTTGGAGGATTTCATCATTATGAGCTGACATCAGTTAGAGAACCATTGGAAAACGTGCAGGGAGTACTGGACAGCTGTTTCCTCCGTCCTAGTGTGGGACTCTTCATCAGTACAATTCTAACTTCTGTCAGTTTAATGATATAGTGCGACCAAATCGCAGTGTTCTTCTTCGATGAGTTACTGCTTCACCACTCATCGAAGACATTGCGAAGTTCATACAACTGGTTCCCTTGGTAAATTTCGATAAAGAAAGGAAGACGAAATTTGCAGTATAAAATGATATCATTCTATTTCACAGGTTCTCATCAGCTGCATACTACCTGAAATTACAATGGTTATATAAATGATAATAACATACTTTAACGTTTCATTAGTAGTAGAGAAAAGATAAAATTGACGCATCCGAAAAAGAATGAAAGCATTACAGTTTTTAGTTTAAGTTATCATCATCAATTTATACACTTTCAGAGTTGAAAAGAGGGGGGAGGGGTAAGACAGAAAACAGAAAAATTGATTAACAGAAACATTGTTAGCTTGTAGGTTCACATGGCAACTCCAAAAACAAAAGCATTTACAGTTTATAAGATTGAGATTTGCTCAGTGAGTTGAGATCACTGAATTAGATGACTAATCAAAATCAAAATTCAGTTACCAAGGGAGTGAGAGGTTAATCACACTCTCTTTCTGTATGCATAAGTCTGGTTTATATTCGTTTGATTGCGATCGCTTCGGCAAATCGTAGTAAATTTGCTGTCCTTTGTCTATTTAATATTTTGAAGGACTTAGAAATCTCTACGAGATGTCTGGTATCAACAATATGTCTGGTCGCGCTATTTCATGAATTGGCAGGAGTAAAAATTCATGGACTGGCCATTGGATCGGGTCCCAGTGCCTTAATGGTCTACGAGCTCACCTTGTAACCAGAAGGTCCTGGGTTAGAACCCAGTTGTGGTGGGTGCGTACTACTGAGGAGTCCCAAATTGGGACGGACGAAACAGTTGCCCAGTACTCCTAGCTGGTTTTCCAATGGTTCTCCAACTGATGTTAGCTCATGATGAAATCCTCCAACTTCATGAATTGATCCCATATTTTAGTTTGATGACCTCTAACTCTTCTCCAGTCTAATCCTGTGTCAGCTTTCTTGAAATGTCATCCAGTCATTAACATGACATCATACTGTGTGCTGCGTTAAATAATCATAATAATAGCTCTCTTATGGACGGTATCTGTCATTTGTCCAGATCTGAAGATATCCTGAACCTAACGCTTATTCCAGAAGACTAGTCGGTGCCTCAGAATATTATGTACGGTACCTGACGCAAAAGCCACAGTAGACAGATTGACAATACGAGGCTTTTTTATTTCTACAGGATTAGAAACCATAAAGTCTGTGAATGAACGTCGCAATATAAATCACAACAGTGTACTGTTAACAGTTTTTCTCCAGTCTTGGCCAGGGAAGATGACCAATAAACCGGCGGAGGAAATTTAAAAACTCACATTGAATTGAAGTATGCTCTGAGGATGTTACCTAGTCATGCAACGAAACCCCCTCAAGTGAACTATCCAGCTCATAGAGCACAACTACATCAATATCATCCGTCAGAGCTATTAATCTACTCCATTATACAAGAATAACTCAACTTCATGACATGTTGAACTTATCGTTTACATCTTTCCTTTCTATAAAGGATAAAATCTGTGTTTACGAAAATGACTGAATTATTTTTTATTTTTTTTTTATCCTCTACGTTCCCCAGTGGAACATAGGGCTTCAAGCTAGTGGCTTGAAGTTTCTGTAGCAGTGTTTATTTTACAGGATGGGGTTGCTAACCTCATGCTCAACCTTTCCTCCTCACCAGTTTATTTCTGGCTTAGCGATGTAAAGGAGTGCGTCAATGGACGGGGATCGAATCCCGGAACATGTGCATGGTCGGTGAGCGTCCTAACAGCTATGCCACCGACGCCGTGTATTGACGATAAGGTTAATTGGCTCTTGAACAGTAGACTTTCAATCATTAGATTTCATGGTTTGAATCCCACCTGGTTCAAAAAATATGTTTTTCTCTTTTTTTTTAAATTAAATCCGCTTCTAAATGTATGCTAAAAATGAAATAATTTCCTTCTAATAAACTTGAATTTTGTCTCTTTTTCTGTTTTTTTATTTTCTTCTCCTCGTGTTTATTTATAAAAAAAACGTGTGTTTAGACTGAAGATTCTACAGACTGATAATAATAATAATAATGGTGTATGCCATTTATCGACAAGTTGCAGTTTAAATCGTCATCCTGGTATTACGTATCCTCGACCAGTTAGTCGTTATTGGGCAATATGTAAATTAAGAGATCCAAATCAATACACTGTGGATGCTTTACCATTGGTACGAACTGGAGGAAGAGGACCTGATGGTAGATATATGTATATGTGTATATGTTCATTTCGTTTTTCTCCTTCTCTTCTTCTCATGCGCATACATTTATTCAGTACTAGTATACGGGTCAGAAACTTGGCACAGCGCCGAGCCGTGTCACGAAGGGCACTTCGAACAAAATACACACCTACATCAACAGCTGTCTTCGTTCAAGATCAGATGGCCGGCCAGAAAAGATCGGCAACAGGGATCTCTGGCAATGAACCAGCCGAACAGGAACCTATTGTGCAACAGGTATGCAGGTGGAAATGGAGTTAGGTGGATTGGCCATACTCTGAGAAAACAAACCATCAAGTGAGTGATATCACACGTCAGGCAATCGCTCGAGTGGAACCCGAATAGGAAGCGGCGAGTTGGTCGTCAGTGCGAGGGTGACATGAAGGAGGAGGTTATGTGAAGAGGAGATGAAAGCATGTGGACAGACGTGGAGCCAGACGATGAAAACGTCGGGAGAGAACCGAGTGCAATGAGGATACGTGCGGCTGAAGCCCTACGTTCCTCTGGGAACTAAAGAATGTCACTCCTTAAACCATTTAAAAGTTCGAAAAGTAGATAATGACAGAAACTGAAGTTAACAAAACTGCTAATGTGGGTTATAATATTGCATAAGTGATTCTTAGAAATAACTAGCTGTCTTCAAGAGTTCGTTTGTAGGTATTTGATTTCTGTCAAGTTTGATCACGGATAGATATCAGCTAGAAAACCATTGAAAACCAGCATGGAGTGTACTGGACAGCTGTCTCATCCTAGTGTAACAGCAGAAGACAAGGGCCAGGCAACAGATCGTTTATTGAGAAAATCAACAGATATTCATGGATTTTCATGTACATTATTGTTAGCGTTGTTAGGAGAGAAGCAACGTCTTCGGATTGGTTGTTTTCTTGCTGAAAGTTATTGTGGCCGTTTCGTAGAAAGTCAGGCCATATATCTGCGAATCGTTTTTGCACACGTTAAGTGTGCCGCGATTGGTTGGTAATTTCCTCAAGATTAAGCTTTGTTCTTGTTTTTTCTCATGACTCCGATTTGGGACGTAAACATCGACGTAAATTGTTGTCTACAATTTTGGCTAGCAGACAGCTCTCACCATGCTAGTGCCTGGGACTAATCATTAGTATGCACCCACTGTGGCGCTCGAACTCAGGGCCCTTCACTTACAAGGTAAGCTGGTAGATTATTCGGCCATTAGGACCCGACTCAATGGCCACTTTATGAATTCCAATTTCTGCCCATTCGTGACTTTAGCTCGACCACTGCCAGCCAATTTCATTGGTGGCGAGTATTTATCCTTATTTCCTACTGTTTATATATAGATTACAAAAGTGGGTTTCTTAGTTGTTTTCTCTACACATTATCCGTGCAAAATACGGTATGGTTGAACTTTCGTACTTAGTAGCGCTGTAGAACCACAAATTCGAATGAAATCAATCCTAGTTTTTCCTTACTAAGCTAGACAAGTCTTCTTTGTTAACTGTGAAGTCGGTCGTTATTTATGCAAGCACTGATATCATAACCTGATCTGATTGGACAGTTTGTGATTCGTTTATTTTTGGCTTAATTTTCTGAGGGACTATGATATCATATAACCTATCAGATTTGTTTATTTATGGTATAAATTCGTGATGTTTTGTAAATATGATATACACCATGTATTTTGTCTAATAAACGTTATCGCGGTTGCTGTTTTTATCATCGGTCGTCGTCCTTTTTTCTAGTCTGACTTTTCGGTCGATCTCAGTGTGGTGGGCGATACTTCAAGATGATCATTTGGTTATAGTGTCGTGACTTAGGGTGCATTCTAGTCAAGTTGGACGATCCGACAACCCAGAAACACTCTATTACTAATATTCCTGAAGAGATACAAGGGAAAAGTTGCTAATAGAGAGGATGTTCAATATCCGATAGAATTACCTCTAGCCAACTGCTTACACAAACAACTGAGTCCGTTAACTGGTTCAAAGGTATGCCACCTACCGTGTTTATAGCTCTCAAAATCCTATGTAGTATGGGATAGTTTTTTCTGTCTGAGAAACACTAGGAAGAATAAGAGGGAACAATACAAAAGAATGGGTAGGATACATGTATTAATAGAATGTAAGACACAGGGGATAATTTATGCAAGAAAGTCTCCATTTCTTGCTTGTAGTAATTCAAGCAATTTGTGCGTGACACAGTGAATATGTATGATGTTCTTCGAATCTAAAGTCTCTCAACATAACTATTACAATTTACGTGTATTTGCTCTGTCTGTCTGTCTATATGTCAGGTTAGTTTCGGTTTCTTGATATATAGACTTTAATATACACTGAAATGTGATGTGGTTTAGTGCGTTGGAGTGCAGGATGCGCATTTCGTCCTGTCTTGGAATTGTTGGCCGAAGCTACGTGCTGCTTCCCGGGCGGCGGTGGTGGATGATGGTGTTGCAACCTATCACTTCAAAATATTATCGATTTGGCTGCGAGAGAGAGAGACAGTGGTTGCGAGCACTAGCGATTAATTATGTTGGTTTTATTTTTCCCTATACCAAAGGATTATTTGAGTAAGTAATACTAATAATATTCTTAAAGTAATTTAGTGGGCGCTGACTAGCAAGGGATCCAGGATGCACATTTCATTCTATGTGGGCCTCGTCGTCTGGATGTATCTGCACCCCATCCAGTATTTATTATTATTATTATTGTTCCCTTGGGTTCCTAGTGGAACATAGGGCTTCAACTGCACGTCTCCAATTGCTTCTGTCTTCTGCTGTACTTTTCACCTGCATCCATGTTAATTCCATACTGTTTCAATTCCTCTTCAAGGGATGTCCTCCATGTCACCCTTGGACGTCCCACTCGCCGCTTCCCTTTCGGGTTCCACTCGAGCTATGGCCTGACTGACGCGCGACGTCACCCAGCGGCCTCCTCAGCGAGTGTCCAATCCATCTCCACTTTCTCCTGCATATTTGTTGGGTGATTGGTTCTGGTTTTGTTTGTTCCCATAGTTTCTTGTTGGGGATTCTTTCCGGCCATCTGATCTTCAGTATAGAGCGAAGACAGCTGTTGATAAAGGTCTGCAACAGGCTGTTGGAAATATTCTTTGTGACCCGCCGCCAAGTTTCTGATCGGTATAGAAGAACTGACTTGACGTTTGTATTGAAAATCCGAATTTTGTTGTTGATGCAGGCTGAGTGACGAGGATTTCCGGATTCGTGGTTTCAGGTTGGTGAATGTGTTTCTCGCCTTCCCGATTCTCGATTTGACATCCTCGTCCGTCGGTTTCTCGTGTAGTTGAGACAATGCTCCCTACCTAGATAAGTGAATGAAGTAACCTCTCAAATCCCTCCCGTTAATGGTGATTGGCGCTGGGTGTTGCTGTTGTTGTTGTTGTTGGTTGGTTATTTTCATAACCTCCATCTTGTCTATGCTCACCTGGAGTCCTGTCTTTGTTGCTTCTTCGACCAGTTTGTCGGTTTTCGCTTGTAAGTCTTCGATTAACCCCATCCAGTAAGTGATCGTATCTACACTGATACTTAGATATCGTCGAAGCTATCCGCGCAAGGACCTGGCATGTCAACAGAGGCCAGACACTTTGGTCCAATCACTCTACGGGAAAATACAAATTGAATTGAAGAATATTTATAGTAATAATAATTTTTATATCTTATTTTCCTATTCAGGTAAGATTCAATATAAACATGTTACAACTGGATTAAATCGTCCTTGGTTTATGGTGGATCATAATCGTTCAAGGCATTTACCGACTAAAAAAGTCTTTGAAGAAATAGTATTACAAGTAAGTGTTCTGTGGGATAATGAAAGATGATGGATTCCGATTCGGTCTATGCTGTTATCATTATTATTATTACTTTTTTGGGTGCCGATTGGAATTTTTATACTTCAGCGGGGCATTCCGCTTCCACCCTCATCTCTGCAATCCTCTTCAGCTGGCTTCCATCTCCTCCTCACACTATCTCCCATTTGGGCTGCTGCCTAGAGCCTGGTGCTACTCAACTGTCTAACTGTTTGCCCAGGCCGTCTCCAGTCCCCTCTGCGTATTTGTTGGACTATAGGTTCACGGTTGGTTGACTGCCAGTGCTTCTTCTTGGCTTATCTCTTCTGGCCGGCCATCTATCTGTCTGTTTTCGACATAGAACTTTGCACCGATGTGCAGCAGTTCAATTCGCCACACTCCATGTAGCACACAAAAGAAGAGAAGAAAGTAGGAGAAGTGCATATTAGAGACAGTAAACAGAGGTGTGAGACAAAGGAATAGTAATAACGAAGAACAAAACAGTTTCATTGGAAATCATAAGTCACAAGGAGTGGATGCATCTGCACCAGCCAGTGACAACGATTTTTAGCCATATCACCAATTGTTTCCAACCATTGGTTTTTACCATTCCGAAGACCCCAACCAGAAAGTCTACATCTTCCTACATGGCTTAGACTAACTGTTGTAGATTTCATTGACTTGTGCCATGTTTTGGTTTGACCGCCGCTGGCTCTTTTCCAGCCTGACCCTATGTCAGCTAACATTGCCCATTGTTGAGGAAGGTGATCGCTAGGCAGGCATACGTAACACATGTCCTAACCATCTCAGTCGATGTAATTTCACAGCCATGTCGACTGATTTCCCCTCCTTACCTAACATTCGACGCCTAACCTCAATATTGCTCACCTTATTATACCACTTCACACGGTAGATAGAACGCATATTTGTTGGTTGGTTCACTGTCAGTGCTGCTTCTTGCTTATCTCTTCTACCCGGCCAACTGATCCTAATAATGTTGCTCTTCATACTGATTGTAACAGATTTCCACACTGATTTCTGATTAATGAAAGCCTACTTGGCTTTGACATCGTCATCCGTGCTGGCAGTTGTATTTGATACTATGCTGCCTAGATAAGTGAAAGAGGTTGACTTCCTTTAGATTTCTCCGGTTGATAGTGATTGCTGCTTACTGTTGGTTGGTACTTGAGTGTATCTTCTTCACCTCTACTCTGTCTCCTTTATTTTCACGTGAAGTCCTTGCTTTTCCTTGTTTTCCAGTGGATTTCGTCAGTCCGCATCATTTTATCTCTCCGATCCTAGAGAGGAATAAGTTTATTTTCTATGTTTTGAAGTTTCGGTAGCTGTTGGATTGTTTTTGTCTTTTTTGGCGGAGGGGGGGGGGCGGGAGGGTCGCTAATTCCACTCCCAACCTTACCTCTTTTCTCCGGCTCATGACCGCCTAGTGATCTCGTGAACTAGACAAGATTTTCTATGCTGTTACACCTGCTTATTCTGGTTTATTCCTTTCTACACTTTTATTATTTATTATAATATACAATAATTACAACAGCAGCAGGACGCTGACAAAACGCCGAGTCTACTGAACACCTTGAGCAACAATCTTCGTATGTTTGGCATGCGATTCGTCCCTGTAAAATGTAAGATGATGCTGCAGGATTGGACTTCACCGACCCCTAGATTAGAAATAGGAAGTGAAGTGGTAGAGCACGTTGACCGCTTCACTTACTTTGGAAGTGCCATCAGCAACAACGGGTTGATCTCTGACGAAATCTCAGCACGGATACTGAGGGCTAGTTTCGCATATGCCAGTTTACGCCGTCTCTGGAGTAGACGTGATATCCGACTATCGACCAATGGGCGTGTGTACTGCTCTGCAGTCCGCTGCGTCCTCCTTTATAGCTGTGAGACCTGGCCATTGAAAGTGGAAGACATGAAAAGATTAGCTGTCTTCGATCATAGGTGCCTGCGTTCTATCTCCCTTGTGTGTGAAGTGGTATAATAAGGTGAGCAATAATGAGGTTAGGCGTCGAGTGCTAGGTAAGGAGGGGAAATCAATCGATGAGACTGTGAAATTACATCGACTGAGATGGTTAGGACATGTGTTACGTATGCCTAATCATCGCCTTCCTCGACGGCCAATGTTAGCTGATATAGGGCCAGACTGGAAAAGAGCTAGCGGCGGTCAAACGAAGACATGACACCAGTCAATGAAATCCACAACAGTTAGTCTAAGCCACGTAGGAAGATGTAGACTTCCTGACTGGTTGGGGTCCTCGGGACGGTAAAAACCAATGGTTGGAAACAATTGGTAATATGGCTCAAAATCGTTGTCACTGGCTGGTGCAGATGCATCCACTCCTTGTGACTTATGATTTCCAATGAAACTGTTTTGTTCTTCGTTATTACTATTCCTTTGTCTCACACCTCAACTTTCTGTCTATATTATGCATTTCTCCCACTTTCTTCTTTTGCTTTGTGTGCCACATGGAGTGTGGCGAGTTGAACTGCCGCACATCGATGCAAAGTTCTATGTCGAAAACCGACCGACCGACAGCAGTTTATGTTAGATAGTTGGAGCCATTTGGAAAGTGGCCGTTGGACTCAGGTTTCCTGCTTGTTTGCAGTTGTTAGTTGTAAGGCATATCTGCAGCACTGAAGGAACCGACATCTCCTTTGGAATTCAAACCCGCATCAAGTAGTACTTGCTGCATTCTGAGACATCACCACTGAGGTATTTGGGTTCACCACTATCCTCCTTTTTAAATTCTGTCTTTAGTCGGTATATATGGTATTCAAATGATATCTAGCCTTACCGCTTATTGGTCCATGTGAACACACCTCAGATAAATTATTAAAAAAAATTGCAAAATAAGTGGAGATAATATGGTCAGAAGTGGAAAAGTGATATATAAGAGCCCGGCTGATAGCTGCTACACCTTGTAACGGTGGTCGAGCTCGCTTATCTCAATGACTCTGCGAGTTACACCATATGGATGAAACGTTCCCTCACGTCCTACAGTACTGTAAAAGGTTGCTTAGATAAGAAGCAGTTACCATCATAGTGTAAGTTTTTTGCACTATGTTGGAGATGTAAGCATGGAGACGTCCAATTGGAGAATAGTGATAAGTTGTTTCCGTCGGACGACTAGCAGTAAGCCAGTTTATACTGCCTCTCTGCTCTGGGGAGGAGAGGTTAGTAAAGGTTAACTAGCAAATGTGTATATGGAGACTTAACCTATGAATGTTTGTAGCCAGCGGCGAGATCCTCATTACGGACACAACTCCTAAGTAGCATGTGTGTGTGACTGGCATCAAGCATTTGTCGTCTGGATTCTGTGGCTGTGTGACACTAACGCTCTTCCTGCTTCATTGATTTCTTCAAGGAGTAATCATTCAATTAGATATGAGACTATGGAGAGATCAAATAAGTGAAACATAAATGCATTTATAACATTTTCATCAATTCTGAGACATGCTACCTAATCCCTTAAAATCACAGATTTTTCTGTGGTTAATTGGACATCAATTCGATAAAATGGAATTGCCTGCAGGTGGTGGTTCGTTCGGATCAATAGTCGGTATCATATCGTGTTCTGAGTACATTTCATCTCTTTCCAGCCTAGTTGGACGATCTATTCCGAATTTAGCTGGGGTTATCTACGCTAGAATAAACTGTTTAAACTAAACTACTTCTGAAATGGTTACTCCAGGCTGGCTGAGTCATAAACGGTTTATCAGTAGGAAGGAGATTCATCTATTTAGTAGTAGGGTAACAACAGATCGTTTATTTAGGAAATCATCAACAGATATTTATCGATTTTCATGTACATTATTGTAGATTATTGTGAGCAGACAAACACAGTCTTCTGATTGGTGGTTTCTCGCTGAACGTCAATCTTTCATCCATTTGTGGCCGTTTATTGAAGTTCACATTATCTATCTGCAAATTGTATCCGCCTACGCAAAGTCTGCTCTGACTGGTTGTTGAATCAGTCTTTGTTCTTATTTTTCTCACGACCAATCTTCGGGTGGTAATCATTGACTTGAGCTACTGTCTACCGATTCGGCTAGCAGCCAGCTCTCAACACACTCGTCGCGCCGTCAAAGACTTTCGACTGAAGTTGGTTCGGTCTTCTTTGTTTTCAGGGGCTTTGTTCGTTTGTCTTGCTGTCTGGAATCTCGTTGCTCGCTGATGTTCACCTGTTTCTCTTTGTTTACCATTGCGATTGTGTCTGCGTGACCCCATCTCAAAGTGACCCTATGTGGTCCTTCCCACTTTGGAAACTGTTTGCCTGACCCTGTCGCACATTCGTCGGTATTTCGCCTCACACTTTCATATGCTGCTTTCTCCCGACCTCCCAGCAGCGTCCCAAGTAACAGCCTCATCGCGAACAGATCTGGAATGCCACTCAACTGCGCAGAAGCCTCGAAGTCCTGCTCGAAGATCCATATGTCTCCATCGAAAGCTGCAGGGCACAGGCTCTCCATTTGTCGGTAGGCAGCGACACCAAATGTAACAACAGAATGCAAGTGCCAGGCAACATATCGTTTGTTTAGGAAATCAACAGATATTTATCGATTTTCATGTACATTATTGTAGATTATTGTGAGCAGACAAACACAGTCTTCTGATTGGTGGTTTCTCGCTGAACGTCAATCTTTCATCCATTTGTGGCCGTTTATTGAAGTTCACATTATCTATCTGCAAATTGTATCCGCCTACGCAAAGTCTGCTCTGACTGGTTGTTGAATCAGTCTTTGTTCTTATTTTTCTCACGACCAATATTGGGGACGTAAACACTGACGTAAATTACCAACTACCACTTTTGGCTAGCAACCAGTTCTCACCACAGTAGTAGAGTTAACTAAACATCTTACCATCAATGATATTCTCTCATAATGCCCGAATAAGAAATTACCGTTAACAGCATACACGGACTCATTCGCAGGCATAGAATGCTTAAATTCGCTATATTTGTATTCTGTATTCCATTTTATACTAAGTCTAATGAACAGCAAAGAACAGAGTTGAAGCAGTGATGAGAGTAAAATAAAAGGAAACTGTATCTGTACTTCAATATGTTTTCGTTTAAGATCTCTTCAATGTGTTTGTCTGTGCGCGCATGTCAGTAGCATAAAGTGGAACACATAGCTTGCGTTGTTGTTCTCCCAATATACGTACCTATCTACATTGTCAGTTTTTCGTGTTCTTTGACTAATAACTTCTTGATATTTAGTAAATCCCTCTACACTCATCCCTCTCAGAAATTGTAAACGAAAATTCCGTCCCAGTGGCGGAATAGTCAATGAGCTCGTCTTGTAACTGGTAGGTGTTGGGTTCAATCTCTGACGGTGTGTGCTGGTAAAAAGTCCTAAACTAGGACAAAACAGATGTCCAGTACTCTCTGTGCTTGTCTTCATTGATTCTCTAACTAAAAATTGATCCGTGATGGAACTTGAAACCTACTGAAATCATTATCACACTTACTATCTGATGTTTTTCATCAATATCTATAGCCTATAGTTATAGTGGTGTCACAACATCGAACTTGGCACCGAAGTGCAGCAGTTCGAGTTGCCACGTTCCAAATAGCACACAAAGGTAGACAAGAAGATGAGTGAAGAGAATCAATAGTGTTTTGACAAGTATAAGAGTGAAACAGAATGAGTAATGATAGAAAGGAATATGAAGGATTACAGAGACTGAATACATCTGCGTAAGCCATTGACAATGATTTTGAGCCATATCACCTATTGTCTCCATCCACCATTGATTCTTAGAGTCCCGAGGGCCCCAACCAGTCAGGAAGTCTGCATCTCCCTCCCTACCTGACTCAGTTTAACTGTCAAGGATTTCATGGATTGATGAGGCCATGTTTTTGTTTGGCATGGCACCACTTACTCTTACCACTTCCAACCTGCACCTATATCAGCTAGTAATGCCCGTCCGTCGGGGGAGGCGATAGTTAGGCATGCGCAGCACGTAACCTAGCCATCTCAATCTGTGTAACTTTATAGCCTCTTCGATTGATTTTCCCTCTTTGCCCAACACTCTACGCCTAACGTCAACATTACTTGCCTTATTATGCCATCTAACGTGAGAAAGAGATCGTAGACATCTATGATCAAAAACAGTCAACCTTTTCATGTCTCACAATTAAATTGAACTAATTTCGGTGCATGGCAACTCATAGTGGAATCCAGGATGCGCACTTCGTCCTATTTGGGACTTGTTACCTGGACGTACCTGCATTCCCAGTGAATGATAGTAATGGGCAAAGGAGGGTCGAAACGCTTTGGTTTTTGAAACGATGGGTACTGGATGCGACTCTTATATCTTTCTCTTCATTTCCTTGCATCCCGAGGGGAACATAGGGCTTTAAGTTTTGATATCGCCTGTGTTGTTTTTTCGGCATGAGGTTGCTAGCTTCAAGTCCATCCTTACTTACTCTCCGGGATTCCTACCGGCCAGATGAGGTGTTTATTTATTATTATTTATTTAAACGCAGAAAAAAAACTTGGTACAATATGGCACCAATAATAATAAAACAAAATAGATAAAAAGTAAAAATATAAGTAGAAAACGGGTAAAGAACTTCATGTGGAAGGAAAACAGTCATGTTTAACAAGTTAAAACCGTATTCGTTAACCATCATCAGGAAGGGAAGAAAGAAGGAAATTGCAACACGTTCGCCATTGATTACGATTCTTGGCCATATCCGAGCCATCGATTCGGGCTATCTCGCGGACCCCAACCAGGGAGTCGTGACGCACCAACCGATGCTAATCTAGCACAAAACTCCTGCATCCCACGACGCCACGTCATGGACTGACCACCCCTCCACCTTTTCCATCCCGTCCCAGGGCTAGCGAACAGAGACCACCGGTATGGAAGCCTCTGGGATGACATTCGCAGCACGTATCCAAGCCACCGGAGCCGGTATTTCCAGATGACGACACTCAATGAATGGTGATCTCCACTGTGTTCAAACACACGCCGCCGAACCTCAGAATTACTCACGCGATGATGCCATCGAACGCAAGCAATCCTGCGGAGACAGCGATGATCGAACACGCAGAGCCGCCGCACATCCTCAGCCTACTCGGAGAGGCCAGGTTTCACAGGCGTAGAGCAAGACAGCCCGCACCGAAGCATTGTATACCCGACATTTGACAGCCAGGCTAACGTCGCTAGAGCGCCAGAGATGGCTCAAGTTGATATATGCCACCCTAGCCTTCATTATACGGTTGGAAATCTCATCAGTCACCCCTCCGCCAGCACTCACACAACTACCTAGATACACAAAATTATCAACAACTTCAAGCGGTTCATCCGCAAGAGTGAGTGCAGGTACAGGCTCCTGCCAATCTTGTAACAGTACTTTGCACTTAGACGGTGCAAAGCACATACTATACACACAGACACTGATCGCCAACTGATTAAGTGCGATTTGGGCAGCCTGCATGCTATCGCATAGTAAGACGATATCGTCTGTATACTCGAAGTCGAAAAGTCTATCTCCAGGTAGCAGATCTACACCACCTTCACGCACATCCTTCAGAGCTGACTCCAGAATGTTATCCAGGAATGAGTCTGCTGAGAATCGAGCCACTGCCATGTGCATTGATGGCGAGCGTCCTATCCCTGAACTACGAACGCGCACCGTTCTAGTATAGACCACTAGCGCACTGAAATACGTGCATTCTTACACACCAGATCAGAGCTACCTTTCAGATTTCAAATAAATTAGTAAGTTAATATACAATATAACTTATCGTTTTCTACTTGTGAATTTATTTTAATAGATTAAAAAAAACTGGTGGAGACATCCATACATTGCATTAGTAGCTTCAGGTGAAGTGAAACGATGGCTTATTGCAACTACTAGTATGAAACCCGGTGACATAATCCGTTCACATGTGGATATTCCAACTATTCCAGGTAAAGTGTGTAACATTTATTCTATTGATTTGTCCATCCATATATGTATGTGTCTAATCGAGATGTCCTTTTAACGATCAGCTTCGGATAATCAGTTTTGTAAAAAAAAAGTTGTGTTGTAAAAAACGATGGAGCTATGATTCGTTGATCTGGGCTCTATACTTCCGACCATCGGACCATGGGTTTGAAACCCACCCTACCTACGGAGGTTCAGGTGGTGAGGCTTCAATGAGGCTCATCGCCAGCTACATGGGATTGATACAGTTGGTTATTTTGAGTGATATCCCACTCTATTCAAAAAGGTAAACCAACACTACTTCACGTGGGTTACTGACAGGATTTTTTAAACTTTAATATGGGTTCAGATATATAAATATGCATATTATCCGCAAAAATATCGATTAGCGGAGAAATGGATTTAATGATCGAGACGCCTGTGAAACCACAAAAAAAAGACAAAGTGTTGCCTCTTCTACCGAAGATATGTGCAAATTGTGATTCTAATCACATATATGGTAGACGTATCTGTGTATCGAGTGGCCAATATGTAATTCCTTTACCAAACTCTCTTGTCTTCTACTGTTACACTGGTACCTCTAATCCCTGTCACTGTGGAGCTGTATCATTGGTTTAGGTGCTCGACTTCCAACTAAGTGGGTCACAGGTTCGAAACCTGTCTCACATTATTGAAGTCTGGTCATTCAGATGGTATCACTAGCCCTTACAAACATAGATATGATTCATTACCAGCTGCGTGGAATTGGAAATGTTTGTTGAGTAATATTTCATCTTAGCTAATGCCATCGATGAACTCTGACATAGTGCCCCCCCCACTTCTTTAGTCACGACTTCTCGTTACAACTTCAAGACATCGTACTTAATCAGTTGGCGATCAGTGTCTGTAAGTATGGTATGTACTTTGCACCGTCTAAGTGCAAAGTACTGTTACAAGATTGGCAGGAGCCTGAACCTGCACTCACTCCTGCGGGTGAACCGCTTGAAGTTGTTCATAAGTTTGTGTATCTGGGTAGTTGTGTGAGTGCTGGCGGATGAGATTTCCAACCGTATAATGAAGGCTAGGGTGGCATACATCAACTTGAGTCACCTCTGGCACCGTCGCGACGTTAGTCTGGCTGTCAAAGGTCGGGTATACAATGCTTCGGTGCGGGTTGTCTGTGAAACCTGGCCTCTCCGAGTAGGCTGAGGATGTGCGGCGGCTCTGCGTGTTCGATCATCGCTGTCTCCGCAGAATTGCTTGCGTGAGTAATTCCGAGGTCCGGGGGGCGAGTGTTTGAACACAGTGGAGATCACCATTCACTGAGTGTCGTCATCTGGGCATGTGCTGCGAATGTCATCCCAGAGGCTTCCGTACCGGTGGTCTCTGTTCGCTAGCCCTGGGACGGGATGGAAAAGGCGGAGGAATGGTCAGTCCATGACGTGGTGTCGTGGGATGAAGGATGTTTGTACTAGATTAGCATCGGTTGGTGCGTCACGACTCGTAATCAATGGCGAACGTGTTGCAATTTCCTTCTTTCTTCCCTCACCGACAATAATTGACGAATGATTCTCGAACTTGCTACAAATGACTGTTTTCCCTCCAGATGAAGTTCTTTACCTGTTCTCTACTTATATTTTTTTACTTTTGATCTATGTTGTTTTATTATTATTGTGTGGGGCCCATCTTTCTTGGTGCCATATTGTACCAAGTTTCTCTTCTGCGTTTAAATAAATAAGTAAATAAATAGTGCCGTGCCTCTGTCCCTTCTTCCGATTCATAGTGAATCCTATCTGTTAGGTTTGCAATGTGGCAACCCCCACCTCCCTAGTCACGACTTCTCATTTCAACTTCAAAACATCTATCCATCAGTAGCTATTAAGTGACACCAGAAATCAATAGTCAAATTATGGATTTCTTGGTCAGCTGCATTCACAGTATTTTTTGAAATCATTCAGACTTTTGCATAAGCAAGTCAAGTCAGTCAAATTCTTTTCTTTTTCTCCTACTACTGCTTCAGTTGAACCAAAAGAAGGTGATGCTTATCCTATCGGTGCATTACCAGTTGGTACAATGATTAGTCAATTTGAAATTAGACCTGGTCAAGGTGCAGTATACTGTCGAAGTGCTGGAGCTAGTGCAGTTGTTCTTCGACGTGGAAAAAATGTCGGCTTAAAGTCTATTGAAGAGTTATCCGCTTCAACAGGTTCTAATGATGAACTAGAAGATGATGATGTTGTATTCGTGAGAAGAAATGGTAATTCTAAGGTATATCGACTTCTGCCATCTTGTATGTGTGTAGTTGGTCAAGTTTCGAATCATCATCATGATCAATTCAAGTAAGCTGGAATTGTATTCATCATTTATTTTTTTTTAAGATTCTTAATTCTCACCGTTAAGTGATAATCTGTTCATGAATTATTATTATTGTTGTTTCTTTTAATTCCTAAAGGAACATAGGGCTTCAGCCGTGCGTCTCCATTCCGTTCGGTTCTCTGCTAGAGTCTTCACCTGGCTCCAAGTCTGCCCACACGTTTTCACCTCCTATTCACATGACCTCCTCCAAGTCACCCTTGCACTGATGACCAACTCGCCACTTCTCTTTCGGGTTCCAATCGAGCGATGGCTTGTCTAGTGATGTCACTTGATGGTTTGTTTCCTCAGAGTATGGCCCATCCACCTAACTCCATTTCTTCCTGCCTATCTGTTTCACAATCGGTTCCTGCTGTGTTGGTTCGCTCCCAGAGATCTCTGTTGCTGTACAATATTATTAAGTTCCTATAGGGTTTTAATTTGTCAGTTATGAAAAGTAGAACAATCATTTGAATAGTACAACTGACTCAACGACTGTATGGCATTCAATCAGAGTTAAGGCGGAGAAATACAGGCGACAATTAAGGATAACTAATGCTGTTGAGGGTTTATAGAATAGATTTAATCTCGAAAAATTGCTTAAAACCATGACATAACTCTAACCATAAATCCTATCTCGCTCGTAACTACAGTTGATGTGAACCTAAATAGTAGAATCATTTGAAGGAATACCGACGCTCCTGTTTCTTAACTGAGAGTTTCTCTTGAAATATTTTAAAGTAGAGAGTTTGATGATATTTGATAGTTGGAGGTAATCGGCCACAGGAAGCCTTGATTGACCTAGGTTTCGTGCTAGTTGGTACTCATCAGCAAGGCGTGTCTACATCCTTGAAGGAACTCATGTCCCTTCTGAGGAGATTCGAACCATCGTCACCCAGTGCTGCAGTCAGAGACGTTACCACTGAGCCAGCTATTCGGGCTCGCGATTGCCTCCAACTATCAAATATCATCAAATCAATGTGCACCGTGATGGCGAGCTACCTAGAATGGTGGCCACATTGCAAATACCTGACTGATAGAATTCAGTCTGCACCAAAGAAAGGACTAGACATGTCACACTAGTTACTAGTGTCCAATCATAGTAGGAAGTTTGTTTAATACTGTCACACACCTTTTTCAAACGGCGTTTTTCACACACTATATTTTTGCACCAAGTTTGGTGTGAGGACAAACACTCGTCTACGTTAGATGTATGGGTGGGTCGCGGTTTATATCATGAATCGACAGAAGTTAAAAGTGATGGGACGTTGGATTTCATTGTAATGACTGAATAGTCAACAAGGTCGCCGTATAACTTGAAGGTTCTGGATTTGATCCCTGATGGTGGGAGTTCATGAATGCGTACTGCTGTAGAGTCCCAAACTGGGGCATAAAGTCTTCCACTTTTTTTTCATTCCTTCACGTTCCCAGTGGAACATAGGGCTTCAGGCTAGAGACTTAAAGTTTCTGTAGCAGTGTTTATTTTTAAAGGATGGGGTTGCTAGCCTCATGCCCAACCTTTCCTCTTCACCAAATTTAGTTCTGGCTCAGCGAGGTAAAGGAGTGCGCCGGCCGGGGATCGAGACCCGGACCATGTGAATGGTCGGCGAGCGTCCTAACCGCTATGTCACCGACAGTCTTCCACTACACACTGGTTTTCAATAGTTCTCTAACTGATATCAATCCGTGGTCAGGCTTGAAAAAAACAGCAAATCACATCCCTGCAAACCAGGACGGAGTTTCTTGGAATTCTAGTGAGAAGTCTTGACCACTGGGGTCCATCCGGTTGGCAGGGACGACAAATACTCACCAATGACATTGATTGGTGCTAGTCGCGCTAAAATCATGAATTGGTGGAAGTTAGAATTCGTGGGCTATTGAGTCGGGAGTGGCAGTGACTAAATGAGCTTACCTTGTAGTCGGAAGGACCTGGGTTCAAACCACAGTGGTGGCTACGTACTACCGATGAGTACCAAGCACTAGGACGGGGACAACTGTCCAGTACTCTCCATGCTGGTTTTCAATGTTTCTGTAACTGATATCAATTTAGCGAAAATATTCATTCAGACATCTATAAAACACAAAATAATCAAGCAAACAATATTCTCTTCGATAAATTCCTCTTCTGGCTCTACAATTATATATGAATGTTTACATACATAGAATATTCTAGAATAGCAGTCAATAACAATATTAGTGCTTTTTAAATAATGTCGATTTGTAAGGTAAGATTAATGCAATTACAGTTCATTAACGATGCTTAAATTATAATAAGTATGAAAAAATAATAACAAATAGAATATCAACTAAAATTAAGAAATTTCCACAAAAATTTATGATCCTTCAAATCTAGATGGCCAAGGTAAGGATAATGTCTGAACTAACTTCTTTTGAATGCATAAATTAGGCTTGTTAATATGGATCCCAACAGCCTCAGCAATATTTAGTAGTCGAACTCTTAAGGCAAAATTGAGATTCGTAGGTATCCGGTAAATGACCCTGAAAGCATGGTGAACGTCAATCTTGTGTTCTGTCTCCACAAGATGAGATAGAACAGCGCTGCGAATAGATTTTGCTTGCAGAGTGATTTTCGGAAATTCGACGAGAAACACGCCTAATTGTACGGCCTATGTAACTGGCTCCACAGGAGCAGTTAAATTGGTAGATACACATTGAAGAAACGAAATTAGGCAGTTTGTCTTTTACTCCCGAACGCAAAAGAGTAGTGGTTTTGAAGACACAGCGTAATTCAGCAGCAAGGAATGCTCTTTTTACCGCATTTCTTCTAAGGCGTTGTGTTAGTATCTAGCTGATGTTGGCCCCAAGGAACTGCATTTGTAAGAATAAGGCCTTTTTTGGAACTCTTGGTACCATGAGCTGCTTTGATTTTAGATTCATATATTCTTATCAATAAACTTTTCTGGATAACCATTTTCACTTAGCAACCGTTTAATATTATTAAGTTCCTCATCAAGACATTCATCCGAGCAAATCGCTCTTGCTCTGTGAACCAAGCACTTTATCAGATTGCGTTTGTATTTCAAAGGCACGAAGTTGAGAAAATGAGTATAGTGACCCATTGATGGTAGGTTTTCTATATACACTTCTTCTTATTGCGCCATCCTCTTTTCTGGTCATAAGGACGTCTAGAAATGAAATACTAGAGTCTTTTTCTTTCTCAATAGTAAATCGCATTGATCTTACTTTACAAATCGATATTATTTTTAAAAAAAACACTAATATTGTTATTGACTACTAATCTAGAATATTCTGTGTATATAAAGTTGTATATATATGATTGTAGAGCCAGAAGAGGAATTTATCGAAAAGGATATTCTTCGCTCAATTATTTTGTGATCAAACTTGAAAAATGTTAATATCAATATGCAAAACCCTCAAGGTCTTTATAATACCCCAAGTATGTGTACATTTTATGTACTGATATGGAAATTACTTTGGATGGCACGCAGTCGATATAAACTGACGGAATAAAAGGATGTTCTATTACTTTGTTCAAGCCCTCGTTTTTTTCTTCTAATTTGTTCAATTTCATCGAGGCAAAAAAATGGTGTATATTTCCTTAAACATCCAATCAAGTATGATGCGGTTGCATATATTATCTCTGTCACATAATCTTTCTCTATATTATTATTCTATACGCAGATTTCGTAAATTCGGTGAAAAGAAATGGCGTGGCATAAAACAACGCAGTGGATTATTTCAACGTAAAACTGGTAGATTCGGTCGTAAAATACGACCAATTGGTCCACCTATCGATCTTGTTACTCATGAAAGTTCAAAAAATCAATTTATATTAAAATGTTCCTATCCAGGTCTATCAGAACGTACACGGATGAAAGAACAGGCTAAATTTGAAGCGCTACATCCTCGAAGTATAAAACGACCACAACTTGTACCTAAGCCACACAATACACTGCCTGATAAAATGCCAAGATATCGTTGGTGTTCTTGGTCATCTGTACGATGATAAATAATAATAATAATAAAAACAGTGATTCTTGTACATTCAATTTTCCAATATAATATAGCTACGTGATATAATTGTTGGAGAATACATAATGAATAGTAAAACGCACACGCCTTCTTATTCATCCATCCTTTTTAATAATTACTGTACAAAGAGTTATGCATATAGTACAAAAAATGTTTCTCAAATAATAACAATAATAATAATAACAATTTATTCAAAACCATGAATGAACTAAATCCACGGCAATGTCTACTGTATCCTGACGATGACGTTTATAGGAACGAGGCAGATCGAAACGAAGTTCTGCAACTACTTTCGCTTGAGCTCCAGCATTGTGTATTGTACGCAGAACGTGCTGTGAAGTTGAAGACAAATAAAAGCAGGAGCATGTGCATAAGTTATTCTCAAACACATAACATTCTGTTCAAAAACTGTAAGGATAACCGTTAAGGAATGGAGGAAAATTACCTTACAACCACACAATCGACAACATTTCTGTTGTTGAGTCGTCTCTGTATGTGTATTTGAGATTTTTGTCGAACTTAGTCTTCATTATCACTTTGTCACTTTGTTTTGAAGTGGGAGTTGGAAAGTGTCTTCCCTAAACCATTGATGATAACCTGTCGTCATTTCTTAAATTGGCTGCTGTTTAGCCAAGCGTAGTATATTAGTCTTGTATTTGTTAACAGACATTAAGTGCAATGTATAATCCTATGTGAAACTCAAGTGTTGCTTTGCAGGGATCTGATTTGATTGGTTACAGGATTTCATCAGGAGCTGATATCGGTTGGAGAACCATTGGAAAACCAGCTGGTTTGGGACTCTTCATCAGTACGCACCCGCCGCCAGGGTTCGAACCCAATCATCTTACGGTCACAAGGGGAGGTCGTAGACCATCAAGCCACTGGGACCCTATCCAATGGCTAGTCCATGAATTCCAACTTCAGATAATTCATGATATAGCGTGACCGATGGTTCTCTAGCCGATATCAGCTCATGATGAAATCCTGTAAGCTATGTGGAACTGCTGAGTTTAACATAATACGTTTCAAAGTCAACTTAAAATTGTAGCTGTTTCTCTCCATTGATAGGAGCTGTGGCTTATTGGTTTACACGATCGACTTACAACCAATGAGTCACGGTTCGAACCTAGCTCCACCTACCAAGGTTTGAGCAGACAAGTAGTATCACTACGACTCACATGCGATTTTGAAGGTGGGGTCACCTGCGCTTATCTAAGTGTGTAACTGATACTACCTAGTGTAGTTTATCTTTTTGTGAAACCCAAATGGTAGAGTATTAACCCCTCGACTACTTATTCGCTCCACATTAGACAACTTAAATGGTAGGGACTGGGTCTCAATCCTTAGGCTGGCATCATCGGCTAGTGAGTCTTGATATGGACAATATCATTCAAGCCTTGAATGGCACTGTTTGTCTCTATTTAGTAAACAATTAGCTACAGGCGTTATCAAGGTGTTGTTAGTGTGAGGAGTCTAAACACAGGCGAAGATTATCTAATCCTATAAAACGACAGAAGTTCCGAAATATTGATCTAACAAGGACAGATACCACAACACATACGTCAGTGTTTGGCATAATTTGCTAACACTACATATTTATATTTGTAAAAGTTAACTGTTATTAATAGAAGCGAATATTACAATATATACTATCTCAAAAACTCCATATACTTACATTTCTTGTAGTGGTTTTATGAAGAGAATATACATGTGAATCAGCAATCGACAATGCAACATGTAAGAATGCCATGTCAATACCTACAGAATATCACCAATTAGTTAGTCACTTATATTTACCATTTTTCTCCGGGTTAGTGCCAAAAGGAGGATTTAAAATGGCAGTATCCACAAGTTTACGTTTATTGTCACGGAAAAGGCGTGTAACATCACATAAAGTAACATTTATACTATCATCCATCATTTCGTATGCTTCTAAATTGGACTGGAAATCGTTTACAGCGTCGTTGTCAATTTCAAAGCCAAACACACAACTGATATCTACGGTTGGAGTTAATGGAATGATGATGACCTACTTAGCTCCAAGTAGTTTGGCACCAATTGACAACATTCCAGTACCGCAGCCTAAGTCGGCGACTGACATATTTTCCAAGGCATTATCAGCCATTTGAATATTAAACAAGATATCAGCTATGAAAAAGAGAGAGAGAGTTTATTTTGATTAGTTTATCAACTAACCTGCAACGTGAGCTGAAGTACAGTACTGTTCAAGTTCAAGCTTTGGGTTTCGGAATGATTCGACATTTTCCAGATAATAATGTAACTTTTTCCTATTCAGCACACACGACATAGCATGACTACAGGTTTTTCACCAGAAGTATTATACCTATATAGATAAGTGTTAAAATAAAAAAATGTTTAAAATCAATAAGATAAGTGTATTTAAAAATTCAGAAAAGTGGTTTAATGTAACAGATCTAAGATTTCTTAAAGGGTATTTCCATTTGTTACATTTCTCCGACAATGAGGCCTTCAACGATGATAGTGTTCCTCCTGAGATAAATGGTCCTGTGACTTTCTGCTTTTTTAAAAATAGTACTGAAGCTTTCTGGCTAGATTGGACTTCTGAAATTTTAGGGCGGAGCTACGGCTCATTTGTCTAGGCAATCAACTTCCAACCAGTGGGCAGCGGGTTCGAACTCCACTCCATCTACCGAGGTTTGGACAGCCAAGTAGTATCACCGACCCACATAATAAGAATGGCTCAATGCCAACTGCATTAGATTTGAAGTGGATGTTGGGTAACATTTCATTTCTGAAAGTTTACCACACAGACAGTGTTGGAATTAATACATCCGTATACCAGTTGAATAACTGGTTTCAACATAGGACTTTGCACAGAGGTGCAGCACTTTGAGTTGCAAGAGGTTAAAAAGACATAATAAACAGAAGTGTGAGGCAAAAAGAATAGTAATATGGAAGAGCAATACAGCTTCATTGGATATGGCAAATCACAAAGAGTGAATGCATCTGCGCCAGCCATTGAGAACGGTTTTGAGCCATATCACCAATTGTCTCCAACCTTCACTGATTCCTATCATTTCGATGACCCCAACCAGTCAGGAAGTCTACACCTCCTGACGTGGCTTAAACTATCTATTACGGAATTTATCGACTGATGAAACCATGTTTTGGTTTGACCACCACTAGCTCTTTTCCAACGTGGCAACTCGAACTGCTGCACTTCGGTGCCAAGTTCTATGTTGAATCCAGCCAGCCAGCTCTTTTCCAACCTGATCCTATGTCAGTGGCTAACATTGCCCGTCGAAGGTGGTGGCTGTTTATACGTAACACAAGTCTTAACCATCTCAAATGATGTAACTTCACAACCTTATCGATAGATCTTTCTTCCTTACCTAGCACTCAATGCCTGACCTCAATGTGCCTCTATTATACCACCCATTATGGGAGATAGTACGCAGACACCGATAACCGAAGACAGCCAGCTTTTTCATGTTTTCCACTTTCAGTGACCATGTCTTACAGCCATAAAAGAGGACGGAGGGAACTGCTGGGCAATATACAAGTCCATAAGGCTCAGCAGTTCCCTCCGTCCTCTTTATATGGCTGTGGGACATAGCCACTGAAAGTGGAAAACATGAAAAGGCTAGATGTCTAGCTGTATACCAGTTGCAGACTTCACATCCCAATTCAACAGACATAATTTAAGTATAAATAGACTATGGACACATTAGCGATAGTTTATGAGTCCCTCTTCAGTCCCTTATTTCGGTATTTGTGGCTTTTTTTCCAACCTCCGTACCTGAACGAAATTCACAGTTAAACGGTTTCATCCCCTTCTGACTATGCTAGGTGATAATCATTTTACACAGTTGCGATTATATTCTACAGCACGTGGATGATTAAAAGTGAATCGCATGTACAACAGACCCTAAAGGCCAGGTAGGTTTGTGCTGAAAGATAGTCAGTTGAACGAATGCAGTAAATAGGAAGATTCAAAACATAAAATCACCACATTTTTGGGATAAAGGATGAGATTAGTGATATCCTTGAGAGGAGTAAGTGCAGTGAACTACAAACAAGACCGAAATCCGCAAGTATAATATAAATATCCACAGGCTTATCATTTCTGCAATTTCAGTACTGAAGAACGATCTGAAGTTTTCTCCGGGCAAGATGCACGAAGTTCTCAAAATCAGAAGTTCATATTCTACAGGCTTAGAAAAATATCACAATTAGTCTGCTATGCCTATTATGTAGGCCTAATCAGTGAAAATAGCTATTCATTTGACTGTTGTTACGATTAAGGTTCCAGGAATAACCTCTTTCAAATCAAAGGACTTGAAGTGGATATAGATGTGACCACAGGTCCAGACAACCAGCGTCCCAAGTGTCCGAAACACCAGCCGATCAAATGAATGGCGTCTAAGCATAAAGTGCCATTTTTTAAATAATCAAATATTACATATAGGACTAAACATGTGTTAGTAATGCTAAAGAAAGGGACAGGGAGAAAGTAATTTATGAAAAGCCTTATGGGCGCAATGTGGGTGCGTGTTAAATTACAGTTCCAAAATTACCAGTGAGTAATGTTTCCATTTGCCAAGTAAATTCAGAGTAAAACTTTTCAATGAGATGCAACATATTTGCCCAAACACTGAGATTTTGCCCCAAAATCACTCCATATTTTTCACTTTTGATATTCTTGTGCTGTATGTCACAGGTAGTGGTAAAGTGTCGTTTAATCAACCAATTAAAAATCAAAATTTTATTTTCCAAAATCACTAGAACAAAGGCAATCAACATGCTACAGATTACTTACCTACAAATATGAAATCAAATCCTCGGTTTGATGTAGCGAAGACTGTTAAACCACACAACTACAAGGTAGTGACCTTTTTATGTCCAATATCCAATATCGTTTGTACGAGTTGGTATAAATCAGTTTGATTACTTTGTGCTTGCCTCATGATTGTGTGGTACAGGTTCCTGATCTCTGGTAAACTACTGCGTAGCTCGTCCGGCAACGACAGATTTCAGATTTATTGGTTGAAAACAGAAGGCTCGGAGCCTGTGTTAATCATTTTCCAGTAAATTTCTGTGCTTGTCTAAACCCTTCTTTGCAAACACCACTTCTTCTGGGAGTCGGTTGCAAGAGTTTGTGACTCATTATGAGGACTAGTACTCAACAGCAATATGATTTCTTCTTCGGTGTTGAATTCTCCTGCTATGTCCTATGGTGTGTTCCGACCTGGTGAAAAGGAAAAGAGAGAATAAGTCAGGTCCGTAGTCATTATTTAATTTTTTAAACATTCCTCTCTGCCTACGGTATGGCAGGGAGAAGAGATTTAAACTGTCTAGTCTTTCCTCGTAGGACAAGTTAGTCATGTCGAGAATCATACATGTTACCTTTCTAGGATACGTGAGTCCCTTTTAAGACAAGGACTGGCTGACTGGATGTAGTTTTCTAGTCTTGACCTTACCAGAGATGTATAAATGGAGGTGAACATATCTCTGGTGATTCTAGCGAAGACTCAGCGAATTGCCTATAAGGGCCTGAGACTACGTGCAGCCACCGCGCGATAGTGGCTGTGGTTTTTAAATCGTGGCTAACTATGACCGCATGAGTCTAAACTGATGGAAGCGTTATTCCCTCTAGTGCGTAGGAGCTGATGCTTGCTTGCACAATGCGCGTGGTTACATTTCGCTAAGCTGATCGGGAACATCCATTCTCTGGACTACTCTGACAATTTATTTTAAGGTCTTTTTGCAAGGTGAGCGTATCACTGTCGCCCTTCAGCTCTCTCTAGGTTTTTAAGTTATCTGCCTATTGAACCATAGAGGAATCGATGAGGGGAGATAACTCGCTGATATGTAAAATAAATAGATGTCCGAGTACCGTGCTTTGTGCCACTCTGCTACGCACTACTTTCCAGGAGAAGAGTTTTGAGTTGATCCTCACAATCTGCCTCTTACTTATGAGGAATTCCCTAATCCAATTTAGTAAGCTGCCTTTGATACTAAAGCCTTCCAACTTCATGAGTAGTCTTTTGTGAGGAACTTTATGGAAGTATTTACCGAAGTCTATGAATACGACGTCAACGGGTCTTCTGTTGTCCCTTGATTTGACCCGGCTTTCTCTTGCAGTGAGGAGATTTGACAGGCATGAGAAGTTTCTTCGGAAGACATGTTGTGCTCTGAATAACAAATTGTTGTTTTCCAGATATGCCATGATACGTTCCTTGATGATTCTTTCCAGTGTCATGATTAAGGGGCTGGTGAGACTAATGGGCCTGTAATATGAGGGTTTTTGTCTTGATCCTCCTTTGTGGATGCGGGTTAATATGGTGTATTTCCAGTCACGTCACAACACTCCATTTAGGAGAGAGAGCTTGAAGATTGGGATCAACGAGCCGGCTATGTAAGCTAGTAGCTTCTTGAGAAGCCTTGGTTGAAGATTATCAGGACCCATTGATTTCCCTGCATCTAGTTTCATTAGGCAGTTGAGCTCGATATCTTGGTCGGCGTCAGTGGAATCTATCTCGTGTTCCTCTGATGCAGCCAGAGCTGATCCTATGGGGAGTAACGATTCCCGTGTAAAGACTTGGGATAAGCAGTCTGCCGTTACTTCTGCTTTTTCTTGATTTTTTTCGATTGTGTCATTGTCAATGGTCAGGTTTGGGGCGGAATCAGATGCTTTAATCCTGAGGTTAATGTAAGAGAAAACTTTCTTAGGTTGTGTCATTGCATTCCGAGCCAGATGTGCTTCGAACTTGTTCCTTTATTGGTAGATTTCTGCAACGGCTTTATTCCTAACAGTGTCGTATAATTTTTTGGTCTAAGGAGTCTCAAGTGTGGCAAACAGGTTCCAACATTTGTGTTTACATCTGAGTAACCTACGAAACTCTGCATTTATTTAAGGGGCAATGTTTTCAACCGTTTCGGACAGACCAAGGGATGTAAGTTTCAGTTGCTTGAAGGTAAAGTTGTTTAAATTGGTTTCATGCGGCTTCTACTTGGAACTCTGGGTTGATGTACCAGTTCACTAGGTTGGCAGCTGAGACGATCTCATTTATGTCAGCCTTCCAAACGTTTGGTCGAGGTGGGGTTTTGGCACATGCTGCTTTTGCTGTGAACTTGAAAGTTAGCACAGAGTGAGTACTTCTTTCCAAAGGGGGAAGATATTGTATGAGACCCATATCCTCACCATGGGAGAACACTAGATCCAGAGTTGAAAAGGAGTGCTGTGAGTCATTGCGCGCGGTTTTAATGATATGTTGAACTGGGGCTAGCGAAATGCTAGATTCCAGCAGTTTATGATCAGAGAAGTTGTCTGAGGATGGCTTTCTAAGGCTTTTCCGGTCAATTGCTTGGGCGTTGAAGTCGCCAACTACGATACTTCGACATTTTGATGTCCAGGAGTCTAGCTTCTCTATTAGGAAGTCACCTGCACTGCAGTCAGGACTGCGGTATATAGCATTGGGGTCAATATCTTGGCCTATGCATTTAAGTCAGCAGCGTAGAAGTTCGCACGATTCACTTTCGTGAGCGAGTGCTTCGATGCCACGCACGGTTGAACATTTCTGAAGGTAGATGACTACGCCACCTCCTTTGCGACTTAGTCCTTGCACTTCGATGTTTCGCAAGTTAACTTCGTTATCAGTGTAATCGGGCGTGAGCTGTCTCTGTGATGATAACTGCATCCAGATTTCCGGAGTCTAGCATATTACCCAGCTCAGTCCGTTTGTTCAACAGGCTGCGTGTGTTCGTGTAGCAAACTGTCGATTCAATTTGGTGCTTTCCGTCCTACCAACAGAGGATTTTGGGATCATCAAACTTTGAACCTTGACAATCAGTCAACCCCTAATTTTGAGGTTTCTTCTCAGTTTCAGCGTCGTTCGCTTAATTCTAGGGCCGCAGAATGTCTTTTGACACGGTCTGATAGGCATAGGTACAGTAGCTATCGAACAGTATAAAACAGCCACCAGGCAAAAGATTTACTTGATTAGGTATGCACAGATATGGAATAAACTTCCAATGGAAATGCGTCAAGCAAGTACATTGGCCTCCTTCAAAAAGGCGCTTAATGACAAACTACAAGAGTTTGCAAACGATAGTAGTTCTGGTTCCTATCTGAGACCCTTTTAAAATTATAGGTCCATTTAATGTATAAGCTTAAATACTACACCTGTTGTTTTTTGCCTATATTTATAATTCTAGATAAAACATTAACGGTTAAGATACGTATCCTCAAACAGAAAAGAAATCCCGTTTGTAAAACTACTACCCAACACAATAAGTGGAATAAAATGGACATAAACCGACAACATGAAAAAGGTATAACTCACCACAACATCACATGGACAGATGAACGCTCGTTGGGCACCATATATCCTTCACCAACTGCAACCCACCTTTCCTAAGATAACGTGATGAACTTATATCCATAATGTTGCTGAGCAGTTAATATTCTCAACTCCTGTCGGAACAGCTGAATTTCATAAACCTTCCTCACGCTAAGAAAATACCCACAAGCAGTAGAAATCCATTAATTAATGCGTCCGAAGCTTATGTACTTACTCCCAACAATGACATTGAAGATCAAATGAGATAAACACATCACTGATTTCAAAAGAACACATCAATGAACTATAATTCGAGGACTCTGCACACAACAAAGTTATGTATGAATATTTACTTCAAGCTTTATTTTTTTCCCAGGCACTTATAATCCATCCACCAAAGACCTGGTATTTTGTTAATGCGAAGACAATACTCCTGTATTTCCTGTTGCGTTGCACTCACTGACAATCTAGCAGATTTTTCCAACTTTGCACAGAAATGATTGTATATAAGTGAAAAGGCTGTTTTATACTACTGGGATTAACATTTATCAAGTGTATGTATAATCTCCAGCGAACATGTAAGGCATATCTTGCTACTGCCTGTAATTTGTGATTGAATTATATGGTTCTATTTCTGTAACAATTTGATGATGCCTGTAAACTGGCGTCCCTCATGTACTGTACTATGAGAATAAGTTTATTTATTTGTTTATTTATAAGTTGGCACGGACATATATGCCTGATCCTTTAAGAGTTTGAGAGTTGCTTAGAATGGCATTCCTCTCCTCTTTGGAGTTTAGTACGACTTTGAAAAGGCGTACAGGCTGATCTTCTGTAGTCAGGCTTTTGGCCGATTCTATACAGGCTGTGTATGGTTATGCCTGATACTGTTATCGGCAGTAGCTCATCTAAAGGCTGCTTGGGAAAGTTAAGGTAACGCTCGAACCTGCCCCTGGCATCGGAGGCCGCTGATTCTTCCACTTTGTGGAGAATGAGCTACCTGTCAGAGAGATCCGGTTCGCTTGCAATGGCTTTCTTGCTCTGTGGCGTAAAAGTGTCCTCCCGTTCTTTGTGAACAGTGTAGCCATTATGTTGTAACTTTCTGCGAGAGGCTACATCAGGTCATTCATTGGCGTCTTCCTCGCTAACCGTAGTCCATTGTATCCGCCTGCTATCTAACAGTGTGGACGATACGTGATTTACAAGTCCCTAGGTGTCTTGACCTATGAGTTTTCAACCCCCGGTAGGCCTCTTGTTCGTGCCAGTCTTTCCATTACTGTCACTGGAAGGCTTATACGGTATGGTAGGGTTAGCATGGGTGTCTGTAATATGGTGGGTGCTCTTCTGTGGTGAAGGGCACTCGCTCCCTGAGAGAGATGCATCAAGAACGTGTACTGCTTTATCGATGCCGCTAGTCACATTATTGGTGTCTGAGCTGTAGTCACTCTTCCCTCGTAGCGGAAAACCCTTGCAGTTCAGGAGCTTTAGAGCCCCACTGAGAGTGGTAACGGCTTCCGCTATGCGAAACTTAGTCGTACTACAGCAGTCATTGCACAGTTCGCCAAAGGTTTTCAGCACCACTTTTATGCTGCCGGAGTTAGGTTTGTGCACATGCTATAAAACCATCTCTTGCAGCTATCACAGTGCATTCCTCCAACTGGAAATTGGCACATAACTCTTCCACAGCTGTTCCTTTTGGTGGGCATGCTTTTCAGAGTGAGTTGAGACGAAGAGATTCAAATATGACTTTATATATCACCTCTATAAATCAGTGATAAAGAACCGATGAGTGCACAAAAATGTATATATATAACTATTAAGCTAAAAGAAAACAACTTCCTATAATTAAACAAACTCGAAACTGTAACATAAACTATTTTCGATCAGAAAAAGTTGGTTTAAAGTTAATCTATAGACATTTGGACACAACAAAAGCCAAGGTCACCGAAAACAATGCTTTATAAATCTGTTGATTTCTTTTAGGTTGTTTTGCCAGTGTTTTGGTATGGTTCTGTATGTCTGGCAAATCGGGACATCGTTCGCCACAAACACTCTGGCTGTTGTGAACATGGAAAAGAGTATATTTTGAGGGGAATGTGCTTTTTATTTCAGCAGATTGTCGCTGCTGGGACTCGCGGTTTTCTTTTTCTCATGCATGCCCTAGTTAGGTCGAAAAAGGTGGTAAATGCAATATTAAGAGATTGGAAAGGAAAGGAAAATCATTAGGTGACACAAGCAGAAAATACAGCCAAGTTAGGGTGTATAATACAGATAATCTTCAGATGTTTATTTTTGTCGAATAAAGGGCTTCGGGCTTGTTGTAGTTCTTTCATTTGTGCTCGTTCAACTCTTTCATGAAACTGTTATCCCACAGTGCAGATAACCTATGGCATTCGGTTCCAAGAGTGATTTATCTGGTGGGAGGAACTGTAAGCAAGGCGGCCTGCTTGAATCACTGTACTACCAAAATGCTGGGATCCTGGAGGGGAGTGTCCTAGTATTAACCTTGCCAGGTATGCGAATGAAGTAGTGAACATTTCACGAGTAATTCCATTAAAGGCTCTCATTATTGTTCATAGACAAACAAAGCTGTGAGTTGCAGCTGCGTAATTTCTAGATCACTTCTATTAACTCTGGGGAATTGAATTCCTCTACATAAGTGACATTCGCGTATCTTATGTGCACGGTTGTACACTCCACTAACCTAATGGGATCTATCTGTTATTTGGACGTTTAATGGGTGGTTTACAAAGTATGTAGCTGTCATCCTTCAGACCACTACATACTGTTAGATCATTTGTGAAGTAAACCACTGTTGATCTGATGGGCATATGTACAGAGAAACTACGAAAAGAAGATAAATGACAGAAGTAAGTGGATCATGACTGTGGGCTGCTTACAGTTTCAATACAATCCTCCAGAACAGGAATCCTTCAAAAAAAGATATGTGCTGATCTTTCGTCTTCGTCTATTCACTTAACTCTGAGGACAGGGAGTTTGAACGAAGACGTTTAATAATGTCCCTTGCTTGACAGTCCGGGGACGCAACGCAGCAACCCTCTGGTAGGATTTCACTCTGGTGATATAAGCTGTAAGAAACTATGTGCACTATTTTCAACATTTAGCTAGTTTTGGGAGTGTACAGAAACTGCTTACAGAGCCTGCCATCATACCATCAGTTTGCTAGTCCATAAATAGCCTTATCTGTCCTTGTATTGTTGTCCACTAAAAGGTTAGCTTCTCTTTCCAGGAATGATGGTGCAATAACGTGAAATTCTAAACATGGTAACTGACACAGTTGGTAAAACTTCATGAGCGACTAGGTGCCTGAACATGAAGTAGCGGAATGTAGTTAGTTGGTTGCCTCCTTGTCCATTTTTCATACAGACTGGTTTCCCCGCGCAACTACTTAAGAAAGGTACAAAAGGAGCTAAAATAAAAAGTACTTCACTAATAATAAAGGTAACTCATCACTGTTTCGCGACAGAAAAATGCAGTTTGCCGCAAAAGTATCTGTTCGGAGGTGAGATTAGATTGTAAGTATAAAATCATTAGCGAATAATTCCGCAAAATTACTAACTTAAAGTTTACATAAAAACGGAATGTTTACCTACATTTTTTAAGTTACCTGGTTGGGCAAACGGTGGACTGTCAAGCATCTGCAACATTCGGAACGCTGTCATGCTACGCTTAGCTACTTGAGCAGAATGAATAGCTCTACTCCTCTTATCCCGAAGTATATTTCACATTTATGTATGGTCGACTTGTTCTGTTGTGGCTTCCGAACACTTAGCTGATCTGGGTAGCAGAAGTACAATAGAAGCCGAAACAAATACTCTTGCTTTTGCATGTGGGTGTACCTTGCATATCCTTTGATCTTCTCAGTGTTAAGGGAGAATTGGCAAAAATGTATCATCACAGACTTGAAGCCTTCTATCCTTAAGTAAATATCTATATCTGAATGAGAGTTACTAGTATAAAATAATGCTGGTTTTAAAAAAGATCTTCAATGTGAGATTAATATAATTATGGCGTATGTCTTCCGTCGTCGTATTTAACAATGAAGCCAAAAAGTTGCATATAATTGTTTAAATCCACCATTGTTATAATAGTGTGAGCTTTTAACGCGATTAGTATTTAAATGGGTCTGGGAGTTATCGCATGTTCTCACAATGGACATGACACAATTTCGCGATTCTGCCGAACTTTCAGATTTTACAGTTTACATAAATAATGAAAGATTTAAACTTCATAAGTTTCCGCTTTACACGAAGTCAGATTACTTCAAAGAGATAGCTAGCAGCAATCCTGTTTGTCAAATAAGTGATTTTCCTGGTGGTTCCAAGACTTTCTCTGTTATTGCCGATTTTTGTTATGGTAAAGAAATAAGTATTTCGTCTCAGAATGTTGTTTATTTGTATGCTGCCGCTGAGTTACTCAAAATGAGAGGAAGAGAAAATATGCTAGAGATATCGAAGGAATTTATTGATAACATATTTCGTAATGCCTACGAAACAAAGGAAATTTCAGATTTAATATGTGTTTTATGTTCAGCGTACAGTTTGAAGTCCGATGTGGTGAAGAAGCTGTATGATGAATCAGTTGAAGTGTTGTTGTCTTTATGGCTTCATGAAGAAAATGGATTCAAACGGCTTTATACTGGTCATAGCAAATCATCATCAGATTGCAGCATACTACACGATGACCAGTTTATAGCGGACTATCTCGTATACGTACCTTTAGGGACTATTATCAAACTGGTTGAATTAGCTAGGGATAAGCGAGTGGATGAAAAGATTATTTTGAGTTTATGTGCCAAATACTTAGGTAGAATTTTGGATCATTTTGATGCTACAGTCCAAGATAAAGGTGATAATGGAAAAGCTTCAGATGCTCAAAACCTTACGGACTCTAAAAACGTTAAAGCAAAAGGTATTAATTTATTTATTATATCACGCTCTTCTAGATACTTCATGTGATCATAACCATCCATTTTGTGGTTTATGTCTACTAGTAAAGATTGACCATCAAAAGAAACTTGAAAAGCTCTATGAGGATAATCCCAGCCTGTATGAAACCCTTAAAAACTCATTAGAACAATTCGAAAATGTTTTTGAAGTACTTAAACAACCAGTTGATTTGTCTGATTTCATTAATAAAATATGGATTACTAAGGTAAAATATTTTCTTTTTAAATTTATCATTTTTATTTCTGGTAACTTCCTATTGGTATTATTCATAAATACTACAGTGTCATTGTTTTATTGTTCTCTCTTGGCTTATTAATGGAGTTAATTAAAAATGATTCTAAATGAACAGACAAGAATGTCTCTCAGCATGTACAACAAGACACTGCCGGCTAATATATGTTAGTGTATTGAGGTATGGAGATTAAAGTCATGTGAAATATTGAGGCTTTCTTTAAAATTCCTACACTAAGTTTATGCGACAACTTATTAATCTTAGTTAAGTATAATATACCTCTTTTTGAGCTTAGTCTAAGCTTTAATCAGCTTATATTGCACACTACTTTCGATTGTAAATTTGCTTGACTTTATAGCCATTTCTTTGAAATGTAGACTCTTTTTAAAGTTTACATTGATGACTTACTGTATTGTCATTGGTGTATATTTTTATTCATCTGCAAATTTAGAGGAAAACTATTTGTGCATAAAGTGAATTTCAATTATCAAAATATGGAACTTTTTCTAACTTCCTAAATAAAAGGAATACGATTTAAAGATAATTTATCTGTGGACGACCCATTATGGAGCTCTGAGGGATAGTTTAATTCCCTGTAAACTCTTAGTTGTGTTTAAAGACCTCTCGGTACTGGTTTGTGAAAAAAAACTGTATATTTTTTCTAATTCTCCCGAATTTAATTAGGGAGAGAAATAGAGCAGAAAAGTATTAGAAGACTACTAGTGAATAATATCCACTCTTTGTAGCAAAATCTTCGATAATCCTGTCATTACCACTTGGTAAGAAACAGACATTTCATCATAAGCAACATTCTATTATAATCACCGTGATGACTTGTAATGGGTGTTTATTCTTTTCTGATTCACTAGGTTGTGTTTGCTATTCATTTTATATTGTACATTCTTTTTCACCACACATCATAAATAAACTGTAAAACGTAGTTTCTGATACTTGAGTATTCTCCAATGAGTTTAATTGGGCGCACATACTATTTCCATGAAATACTGATGGGATTTTGAGTCTCACGAAGTGTAGTCCCTTAAGACCTTTCTGATTTTTATTAAAATACCAAGGCCAGCATATATAACATGAATGCTGTAGGAACTCAAAAACTCTACTTATTTCGCGATTCATGCTTCAATACTAATCTCTCTGCAGCAAAGAAGTTTACTGAAGGGTTTTGAAGTCAAAATTTTCACATAGGAAAGACAGTAGAAGGTAAAAGGAGGCTGTGTAGAAACAAAAAATCCTACAACAAGCTAATCAGTCACATCATTCTAGAATAATTTTTAAGCATAAACCTAGATACATTTATTTTGCTTCATCAATTACTTGTTCCGTATATCTGAAAGGAACTTACTAAAATGAAAAATGGTTTCAGCAATTCACTTGCAGAAGTGGTGAACAAAATGACTGATTTTTTATTGAATTGTATTTTTAAAGTGGAGAATGAATTTATTTCCTAGTATGAAATATAAGCGAGGAAGGTATACCATTTGGTTAAAACACACGCCATTTTCTTGGTATATTACCACTATTCCTTTAAGTCCCCAGTAGATCATCGGGCTTCAGCAACACGCCTCCGTTTCATCCTGCTCTCTGCTGTCCTCCTTAGCTGGTTCTACAGTTACCTATAAGCTTTCACTTCCTCCACACACGGTGTCTTTAATGTCACACTCTTATCTACGCCTGTTTCGTTGTTTCTCATTTGGGTTCCACTTGAAGGCCTGGTGCGGCATGCCACTTTACCGTCTCCTCAGTGTATGTCTAATCAATCTCCATTTTCTTCCACATATACATCTTAGACAAGAGGTTCTTGGCTAGTTTTCCTTAATTTCTTGATATAAACACAACTAATAACTTGTGCAGTGTAATTGTAACAGCAGAAGACGAAAGACTTGGTATCTCTACATAGCCAAATTATGTACACCCTATCTTCAACTCACCATTTGCACAGATCTCATGTATTGTACTATTTCAGCCTTCATATTGTATTTTCTTTGTGTTCCTTTCAAGTCTCCCATGTATCTCCGCAAGCAACTCTGTATCATTTGCTTTCTCTGACATCAAATCTATCTCCCTACTATTTGATGTTTTTATGCCAATGAATATCTCCTTAAAGATATATATACTACTGATAAATCTTATCAGTACCATACACCCACATAATAATTACCTTTCTATGTCTATTATTTCAGGCATTGATACTAACAGATCCAAATCGTGTAAAAACTAAATGTCGACCAGATGTTTTAAAGATAGCCAACAAAATACTGTCAAGTTTAGATGAAGAAGATTATGATCAACTGTCTCCATCAGTTCTTAACGATATAATTTGTGCTAATGATACAAAGGTTGTCAAACAACAAACAGTAGAAGAAATTACCAGCCTTTCAAGAAGAAGTTCTAAACAACGACAAAGTTTTGCTGAGGGTGATACAAATGAAATTCCCAACAACTGTAGAAGACGAAGCAGTATCAAAGAACAACAACCGGAAGCAAACACTAGCGAAAGTAATGCTAATACAGTGGAAACAAAGCTAGAATTACCAGAAACTGTTCGACACCAGATTATTAGATATATGTATAGGAAGGCTGAAGAACAAAAGCTTACACTGGAGGATTATATACAATTTCTTAAAAAGATTCAAGCGTCAAATTCACAAACTTCAGTAGACGATGATTTGGTGAATATTTTGAAAAAGTTAACTGAGTCAGGTATGTATTAGTGAAGGGTATTCAAATTGAAGCATTATAAAGTAACTCTATTCTTTATGTGTTTTATACCCGGTTAGTTATTTAAGAATACACGTATATATTGATTGCATCAAGATGTTCACTCATGAGTGACACATCGACGAAAACTTTCTTTTGGGCGGGAAATATCAGTATTTTTTTTATGGTATTACTTCTCAAGAATTGAAACCCCTTAGGAATAATAATAATAATCTACTTTATTCCAAAAACAGTACTTATAGTACAGAATGGAATTCTCAGTATTTGTCACAATATTGTATCTGATTTACTCAAAATAAATATAAAATTTAAAATTAAAACAAAATTAATCGGAGGAATTTGTCCACATTTACGACATAATTATTAGATATAATAATAATAACAGTGAGTTTATTTCAAACAGTATTGTCGATTCAGTTTGGAAATTTTAGCATTTTATAGATTATTGAATCTAATGTTCTGTTGATATAGTATAGTGAGGGGAAAGGCAAAATTAACAGTTATAACACAGCTTAAATGATGTTCACACTTATGAAAAAAATAAACAAAAACAAAAAATTGAGAGGATTATAAATATAAGAAATACAATGACAATAAAGTTTGGTGCTGTGAGGGTGAAGGAAACGGTTGATTTAGTGGTGCAAAGAAGGTTAATTAGTTCATGCCTGACACTATTTTCATCACATAAAGTACGTGCTATCAAATATGGTAAAGCGGAATTTTTATACTTAGACGTACGTGCATAAATTCTTCTGAAAAGACTTCTTGTTTTACCTGAGAAAACATAAGGTTGGAGCTGCGGGTAGAGTGGGTGCTCAGAGTCTGACAAAATTCCTTTAGCGAATTTGTTGCATGATATCAAGTGCCTATCAGTGACAATGTCAACGATATGGCCCAATGGGATACCACTCGTCTACTGACAGTCTTCAGAGTTCTACGAAGTATGACATAGTCTTTTTTAAGCAATCCAGGAGAGAATAAGCAGGGGTGAACAGTAAAGAAGAATAGGTAAAATACACGAGTTGACAAACTGTAAGAGAAGTGGTTGAGTTATGCCTGAGTGCCTTAACTTCTAATGTAAAAAGTCAGACGAAATATTCTTTTAGAAATCGCTAAGACATGGGAGGACCAGGATAGGTCAGAAGAGAGAATTAATCCAAGGTACTTAACTTCAGACTTGGTTTCTATATCAGTATCATCAATTTTGCAAAGGTCAAAGGAACCAACGGCTTGATTTAACTTTCGTTTACATCAGAAAGTGAAATTAACAGTCTGACATTTGGAAGGATTAAGTTTAAGACCGTTAGACGAAGACCATTTGCTAACTCTTGATAGAAAGCTGTTCATCTCACTACAGTCTAGATGGGAGTTAACAGACATTGAAATAGTTAGATCATCGGCATACTTAACAAAGTTCATTTCATCAGAGTGAGGCAAGTCATGCAAGAAGAAAGAAAACAGAAAACGAGAAAGGACAGCGCCTTAAGGGACACCAGCCTCAGTAAGCAACGAAGTGGACGACTTTCCCGACATACAGTGTACTGCTTTCTTTCTGAGAAATAAGAATGCAGCCATTTTACAACCCAACAGTCAGTTTGAGTTTCAGCAAGCTTGTTTAACAAAATGTCCCTAGGTACTGAGTCGAAAGCAGATGTGTAATCTAGGAAGGTACAGCGAACAAATTTAGCCCCCTTGTCTAAGCTAGAGATAATGTTATGATACAAGACTGCAACTGCATCTAAAGTACTTCTACTGTGTTTGTAGGCGAATTGGTTGGGATCGTTAAAGGCTTTAAGTGAAGGTTGAAGATTAAGTAAGAGTAACTTTTCCATAGCTTTTAGAAAAGGGGAAGTAATAGCAATAGGTCTAAATTTAAAACATGTCGCAGTAGACGACTTAGGAATAGGTACAATTTCTCTACCAAAATGATAAGTTTTATTTTGACGCATAAGCTCCTCGAACGGACGCCTCTATATTACTGGGATTAATAACTAAGTTTGATTTCTTTGATAATAGCTAGAGATAGAATCCAGTGAGGTACAGTATTTCAGCCGATTTTTGTATTCTTTGAAGAAGTCCATATGGCAAAATCAGGCTGGTTAATTTTATCGAGTTATTTCAACGAGAAATCACATCTATGAATCAATAATAGTGATAGGGGATAAAACTATGAGGTATGAGGTGACGGTTGCTCGTTTCTGGCTCCCATCATTCTCTGAGGAGCAGGTACATTCAGTTGGCGAGTCCAGAAACACAGGGTAAAGTGTGTCCTAGTTTCTACTGCCACAAAACCATCTAATAAGTACTTTCTAGAATCTTTAATTTATGACTATTTATTTATTATTTTATAGGTCAAAAACTTAGTGAGGAAGACAAAAAGGAGATAATAAACTACATTAAATTGAACAACTGTACAGCAGATACATTAAATGACGTTCTGGGTATGGATTTATTCCCGCCTAAAGCAATTGCCGAAGCAGCTTTGTATGTTGCAAACCAGGCACAGGTAATTTGAATTTGTTTGAACAGAATATTTATTGGTTAAACACACTTTTACCACTGCGTAGACAAAAACAGAATAAAGGCGTCAGTATATTCTAAACACATTTAAGGCATATTGATAACACTATACAAGTAATTAAGAACTATGGAAATGAGAGTTGAGTAATTTACATCTCAACCATTATTTGCCCTTATACTACTTACAATCTAAGTCAAAAAACCTTTAAGTCTATGTCAGAATAATACCCGAAAAACTCTCCAATGATGTACAAACTAGTCAGGATGAGTGAATAAGTATTCAAGTTAGTTGAAAGTATGTAGTAACCAGTTGTCATATTTTGTTATGGATTATTTGAAAAAAAATTAGAATAATATCTTGAAATGCCGAGTTAACTGATTAGTTCACAGAGAATACTTGCTGATGGTACTGGCTAGTGGTCACGCGATATTGTGAATTGGCAGAAGTTGGAATTCATCGACTGGCCAGTGGATTGGGTCCTAGTGGCTTACTGGTCAACGAGCTCACCTTTTAACTGGGAGGCCCTGGGTTCGAATCCATGTGATAGGTGCGTGCTGATGAGGAGTCACAAACTAGGATGCAACGGCTGTTCATGGTGAAATCGTGTGACCGATCAAATCCCTAAAAACCAGCACTTGAATATAAATTTTCGGTAACTTCTTCATCAGGTTCTACAATTATATGCATCCATAATGATTAAAAATATGACATTTATCGACAGCATTAGTGTTTTTAAAAAATAGCATCGAATCAAGCAAGAACAACAGTTTTTGCAGAATAAAGTTGTACCAACATTTATTTCGTTGCCTTCTTATCAGCTGCTTACAGGTCGAAGTCATTATTAAGTATATCTACAGAAACAATTCTAACGTACTTGCACCGAGTTCATTTTCAAACAAAAATCAATCAGTCAATATATGCATACACTGAAAATATATACATATATATGTAATACTAAACACAATTCCGAACCATAATAATCATACACAATCGAAACTTTTCAGCATCTCGCATTCAGATGAAAGAGAGATGAAAATATCCAGTTACCAGGGCAAAGAAAGACTGATAAATCTTTCTTTCTGAACGCAGGTGCTTGATGAAGATGGTTTCAGCAAATATGAGGAGAATTGAACTCTTTTGCCTATTGATGATTTTGAACGATTTTGTGACGTCCACCTCATAACCCGTGTGAAGAAGATGTCTGGCGATGGCACTGTTTAAAGCATTTGTTCCATTTAGACATAGGATTTTCGGCACATGTTCAGAAAATCGGAGGCATTGTATGGAAGATCTGAAGTTTAAAATGTAAAACAAATCACAGTGGATAAAAAGCCAGTCTACATTCAACTTGATTATAAAGGTGAAAACATTGCAGCAATGGTCAACAGAAGGCTGAGTACGTCACTGGTCAGAGCCTATGCTGCAGCTAAGCTCGTTCCCGTCTATCGAACAACTTGCTCTTTGATGCAATCAAAAGTCAAAAGATATCCTTCCTATGTTAACTCCAATTGTATATACAAATTTACATGTATATACATTTTATTACTGTATGCATATATTGATTGAGTAATTTTTGTTTGAAAATGAACTCGGTGCAAGTATGTTAGAGTTGTTTCTGTAGATATACTTAATAATGACTTCGGCCTGTAAGCAGATGATGAGAAGGCAACGAAATAAATGTTGGTACAACTTTGTTCTGCAAAAACTGTTGTTCTTTCTTGATTCAAATTCATTAAGGGAAGTAAATGTATGAAACATCGAATCAGTGAGATCAATTGATTAGAGATGAAAAGCATCTGTAAGTGATAATATACATCAGCGTAACATTGAAAACTTGACTGATAGAATTCAGTCTGCATCAAACATAAGACTGGACACACTACACTAGTTACTGACTAGTGTCCAATGAAAGTATTCAGTACAGTCCCCTACAGGAGCTCAATCACTAGCCCGAATAGCTAGCTCATTGGTAACGTTTCTGACTGCAGCGCTCACTGGGTGACGCGGGTTTGAATATCAGACGGGGAGAATGAGTTCCTCCAAGGTTGAAGATACGCCTTGCTGAACGACTGGTGAGTGGCAACTAGCAAGAAATCTAAGTACCCAAGGTTTCTTGCCAATTGCTTTCAACCATCTAATAGCAACCTCAGTATTACTCATCGTATCGTGCCATCCAACACGAGAGAGGGAGAGCGAGAGCGTGAGATAGGATCCAGGGGCTAGCACTTTCGTCATAGCTTAAAAATTCAAAGCCTATGCCTGCTAAATCAAGAGAATCTATAAAAGTACAAGCAAATGTGTATGTAAAATTTAATTAGAAGTGAAAGTTTTTTTAATGTAAAACATCATTATAAATAGTATAAAATATATTTTTTTTTAATTGATTAAAAATGCCCATTAAAATTTTCAAAAGAATAGACACGGAACAAAGAGTACTCTTTTCGATAAATTCATCATCAGGTTCTACAATTATATATACATGCGAGTAGTGAATGAATGAATTAGTCTTATGTACGACATTATTGTTTAAATAACATCAAATCAATAATATTGATAAATTACAGCTGAACAGCATCAACATAAAATAAACTGAATGTCAGAAGAATTAGGAAAGGTAATGGTACAAATTCATGAGTTTATAGTATCTACTGCGGGCCAGGGCAGTAGTAGGGGCTGGACTTGTTTCTTTTGGACACAGAGCGCTGGTTGTTTGAGGCGAATTGCAATAGCCTCTGCTGTTTGGAGCAAGCGGTGCTTCGACGATTTTGGTAGTTTGTTAGGCACCCGGTATATTATGGAGAAGGATTCATCTACGCTGGGTTTGTGACCGGTTTGCACCAGATGGTCTAATATCGAACTGTTAATAGTTTTAACTACACCTTTACTTAGCTATAGTGGGATATGTTCTCGAGCACAAAAGATCAAGTTCCTAGAGCAACGGCCAACATAACTCGCTCCACCATCAGCGCAGTTGAATTGATAAATACAATTTGAAGTGGCCAGTCTAGGTACTTCATCTTTTAGTCGAGGTAGCACCATCGGTCTTGTAGAGAATAAGATGTGTAGTTCGCCAGCATTAAAAGTCCTTTGAACTGATTTTCTTAATTTATTTGTAATTAACTCACTTGGTATATATATTTTCAATATTTTATTTCAGGGAAAACAAATTTGTCCTTTAGCTAAGTTTAGAGGATGTTCAGAATATCCGTACATAGGATTACGTAATTCTTATTACACAAAACCATCATCTTTACCAATGCGAGGTAGATCTCAATACAGAGACAATTTTCAGTGTAGTTCACATTGTTCAAGAACACTTTTCCCTTCTTACAGTAATACATCGCGTAGTTCATCGTTGAATGCTCGTCCATCAAGTGGTTGTAAAGACTTTCATTGTCGTCCACCCCTGTTACCGTGTTATCCTTTTCAACCATATCCAAATGGCAGTAAATATTGTTTTGATACATGTAGTGCAAAGTATTCAAGTAAGTCAATTACAGTTTGGTTACTTATTCACTAATGAAACTTCAATTTTTTCTTTAATTATAATAATAATAATTTGCTTTACTCCAAAACAACTGGCTGAAGAGGCTGGCAGTGAAGACAGGACTCCAGGTGAATACAGAGAAGACGGAGGTGATGAAGGTAACCAACAAAAGGGCAACAGCAACCAGTACCAAGCACCATTAGTGGGAGAGATTTGACAGAGGTCACTTCCCTCACTTATGCGGCCAGGAAGCATTGTTTCAAACACAAGCTGTCGGAACGGATGAAGATGTGAAAGCCAGCCAGAAGTGGAAAAGCAAGATACGCCTCTATCAACCTGAAAACAGTTTGGAAATCTTCTGCACCCAGATAGCCTGTATAAAGAACAAGATTTGGATTTTCAGCGCAGATGTTCAGCCAGTCAATTCTTCTTTATATGGGTCAGAAAATTGCACGAAAAGTACTTCTAATACACTACCTCAAACTTTTACCAACAGCTGCCCCTTTTGTTGACTCCATACTGAAGATCGAATGGTTGACCGGAAACAATTAGCAATAAGAAACTCTGGCTGGGAACAAACCAACCAAGAGCCGATTGCTCAACAAATATGCAGGAGAAAATGAAGATGGGTCAGGCATACATTGAGAAGGCCGTCGAATGACATAGCGTGCAGTGCAGGCCATCACTCGAGTGGAATCCCAATGGGAAGCAACGGGTGGGTCATAAGTGTGATGGTGACATGCAGGATATCGTCTGGGGAGGAGGAGATGAGAGATTATGGGCAGTAGTGGCCCCAGCCAGCTGAAGAGGTTAGCAGAAAATAGAACAAAGTGGAGGTGTGTTGTTGAAACCCTGTGTTCCACTTGTAACTGAAGGGAATAATAATGATTACTGCTAAACAATACTTATGATACAGTGTGAAATTTCCAGCGTTTTCTAAAATATTTTATCCAGCTTACTTGACAACAGCGAAGAGAAAACAGAAAATAATAATAAAGGGTCTATGCAACCAGGATTTATAAGAGAAGCTTTTTTGGTATTAGTAGTGATATAGCAACACAGTAAACCGTAGGTTTCACGCCTAACCAATGTCATCGGCTTCGAACCCCAGTGGGTGCGTAATGCCGATGATCCCCATACCAGGATGAAACAGCTTTCCAGTACTCCCTGGTTTTCAATGGTTCTCTAACTGATATCAATCCATGATCAACTCGTAAAAATAAAACTAATCCTTACAAACCAACTATAGATACTTGATATGCTGATGACATTGGTTAATTTGTAATTATTTATGTTTTCTTAATAGTAATGGTAATATTGAGATTATAAGTTTTTATAGGGATTCGGATTACTTTCACTTATTAGATTTCTCCGCCAACCGACATCACTTAGTGAGATTATTGTAAACCAGGAAACACCACATGACTGTTTCGTCTTATTTTTAGACTTTTCATCAGTGAGTGAGTACCCTTTACTCCACCAGGGATCGTGTTGCAACGGAGTGTTAGTGGTTTTATTGGTTCCCGTCCATCTTGACTACAATGTGCCTACAGACACAACACTGTAGCCAACTGATCACTTGGAAATATTCCCTTACATTGAAGTAGACATAAAGGTTATATTTCACTGCAACAGTCGCGACAACAATAACCTTTATTATACCAAATACAGGGTATTATATGTAGTTTACACAACCACAGAAGTCTAAACCATAAATATCTAATCAATATGTTATTGATTGCATGACCTTGAAGATCCTTCAAAATAAACCAGTCAAAAACTGTGAAGTCAGATTATTATCCCAGACAGCGCATGAAACAGAACCTCATGGTTAACAAATTTTAGTCCGTCCTAACCTATCGAATGTGGGACTTTTAGGTTACGATATCCAGCTCATTGACCATTCAACAGCCACCTGGGCTGGTATTCAGTGATCCCTGAATTCTAACTTTGCCAATTTGTGATAAGGCGCTACTCTCAACCAATGCTGAGTTGTCAAAATGCTTGGTTGCATGGAGGATTTCATCATGAGTTCACATCAGCTAGAGAGCCAGTGGAAAACCTGCAGGGAGTACTGGACAGCTGTTTCGTCCTAGTTTGGGACTCTTCATCAGTACGTGCCCACCGGGATTTGAACCCAGAACCTTCTGGTTACAAGGCGAGGTCATAGACCATTGAGCCACTGGGACCCGATCCACTGGTCCCAAACTAGGACGAAACAGCTGTCCAGTACTCCCAGGTTTCCCAGTGGTTCTCTAACTGATGTCAGCTCATAATGAAATCCTCCATGCAATCAAACAAATCCCTACAAAACCAATACTTGAAAAAGCTTGGTCTCGTAATTCAAGGGTCCGGGATTCGATCTCTGGCGAAGTGTCTCAAACTGGGACAAAACAACTAACTGTCTAGTGCTCCATGATTTTGTCGATTGATAATTTTAAAGGATTTTGCAATGTCCACCTCATGACCCGTATATAAAGGAGATGCCTAACAATGGCACTATTGTAAGCATTTGCTTTCTTAAGACGTAGGATTTTCCGTACATGTTCAGAAAATCGGAGGTATGGCCTTCTTTGTGTTCTCGCAATTTAACTGCTCCCTCCTTTTACTAATAAATAGACAAATAAAATAGTAAAAATAATAAAACTACGAAAACGAAAAGGTTAATAGGAGAATTATATATCCAATAATAATAATGCTGGCTATAAATTGCTGGTTATTTAAAGATTGCAAATTACGTTTATAAGCTCCTTTTTGACACTCGTTTCTTTATAAAACATTCGTGCTAAATATGGTATAGTTGAATTTTTATGTTTATTTGACGAACGAGCATAACTTGTTGTGAGATTTCTTTTGGTTTTAACCGAAAAGAAAGGAGGAGATAGTTATTAATAAGGACAGACAACAATCAGCATAAATGGAAGGAACCTGAAAGAAACAACCTCCTTCACCAACCTACCTGGGAAGCATCGTTTCAACTACAGGCAGACGGAACTGACGAGGATATCAAAGAAAGAATCGGAAAAGCAAGACAAACTTTCACTACTCTCAAGTCTGTGTCGAGGTCAACACTCAGCAATCAGCATCAAAAATAAGATCCGGACTTTCAACTCCAATGTGAAGTCAGTCAGTGCTACTATACGGATGGATCAGAGACTTGGCGAGTCATAAAGAGCATCTCAAACAAACTACAGACCTTCATCAACAGTTGTCTTCGCTCAATACTCAAGATCAGGTGGCCGGCCAGAAAAGATCTGCAATAGAGATCTCTGGCAATGAGCGAACCAACCAGGAACCGATTGTGAAAGAAATAAGCAGGAAGAAATGGAGATGGATTGGCCATACTCTGAGAAAACAAACCACCAAGTGACATCACTAGACAAGCCATTGCTCGAGTGGAACCCGAAAGGGAAGCGGCGGCGAGTTGGTCGTCAGTGCAAGAGTGACTTGGAGGAGGCCATATGAAGAGGAGATGAAAGTTTATGGGCAGACTTGGAGCAGAGAACAGAACGCAATGGAGACGCACGGCTGAAGCCCTATGTTCCTCTAGGAATTAAAGGAAACAATAGTAATAATAATAATGTTCAGCGTCCTAGAAGTTGACTTTAGCCAATCGCTTGCAAGAATTAAAGTGTCTGTCGACAACAACATCAATATCAGTTGGTTGATTCAAAGACACAGCACTAACCTGTTTATTCAATGAAATTCGAATATTCAAGAGTTCGTTTGTAGGGATTTGATTCTTGTTTCAAGTTTGCCCGTGGATTAATATCAGTTAGAGAAGCATTGAAACCCACCAATGAGTACTGGACAGCTGTTTCATCCTAGCTCGGGATTTAATGGCAGTACATACACACACACCGGGGTTCGAACCTAGGACTTTACGATTACAAGGTAAGCCTGTAGACCATTCAACCACTGGGATCCGAAAATTAATCTGGTGCTCACTAGTGACACTGACTAGAGGACAAAGTTGTCTGGATTTCTAATGATAAGCTGTGACCAGTGAGATCTGCCCAGATGGACATGAGGACAAATACTCACTCACCAGAGGTGAAATTGGCTGGTGCTAGTCGTGCTAAAATCACGAATTGGTGTAAGTTAGAATTCATGGGCTGACCATTGAGTTGACACCCAGTGAATGAATGGTCTAAGAGCTCGCTTTGTATCCCGGAGGTCATGGGTTCAAACTCCAGTCGGTGTTTACTGTCGAGGAGTCCCGAACTGAGGATGGAACAGCTGTCCAGTTCGCTCTTGTTGTTTTCAATGGTTCTCTAACTGATATCAAGTTCGTGGTCAAACGTGAAATTAGGAGAAGACATATTTCGGTAGAAACTATCATTCATTCCTACATGACAGCATTGTGTTATCTGTGGTGATTGCAGTTGTATCTCGTAACTCACCTAGTGTAGAACACCGAACAATTCCACTGCTTTGAATATTCTTCACCCTCATTCATCAACTAGCAAATCAGTCTATCTGTCTGTTTTCGACATAGAACTTTGCACAAATGTGCGGCAGTTCAAGTCGCCACACTCCACTCCTTGTACCACACTAAGCAAGAGAAGAAAGTAGGAAAAATGCATATTACAGACAGTAAACAGAGGTGTGAGACAAAGGAACAGTAATAACGAAGAACAAAACAGTTTCATTGGAAATCATAAGTCACAAGGAGTGGATGCATCTGCACCGTCATTGAGAACGAGGATTTTGAGCCATGTCATCAATTGTTTCCAACCATTGGTTTTTACCGTCCTGAGGAGCCCAACCAGGAAGTCTACACCTTCCTACGTGGCTTAGACTAACTGTTGTGGATTTCATTGATTGGTGCCATGTTTTGGTTTGACCGCCGCTAGCTCTTTTCCAGCCTGACCCTATATCAGCTAACATTGCCCGTTGAGGAAGGCGATGACTAGGCATACGTAACACATGTCCTAACCATCTCAGTCGATGTAATTTCACAGTCTCATCGATTGATTTCCCCGCCTTGCCTAGCACTCGACCGATGCCTAACCTCAATATTGCTCACCTCATTATACCACTTCACGCGGGAGATAGAACGCAGACACCTATGATCGAAGACAGCTAATCTTTTCATGTCTTCTGCTCTCAATGGCCAGGTCTCACAGCCATAAAGGAGGACGGAGCGAACTGATAAGCAGTACACACGCCCTTTGGTCGATAGTCACGGATATCACGTCTACACCAGAGACGGCGTAAACCGGCATATGCGAAACTAGCCCTCTGTATTCGTGCTGAGATTTCGTCAGAGATCAACCCGTTGTTGCTGATGGTACTTCCCAAGTAAGTGAAGCGGTCAACGTGCTCTACCACTTCACTTCCTATTTCTAATCTAGGGGTTGGTGTAGTCCAATCCTGCAACATCATCTTACGTTTTACAGGGGCGAATCGCATGCCAAACATACGAAGATTGCTGCTCAAAACCAGCTCATAGAGTTTCATCAACAGCTTTAGTAAGCTCTATAATACTTCACACATTAGAATATGCTAATTTCTAATTGTTGAACAGTTTGGCGTTAATTAATTATTATTATTTCAAAATAAACTGATTTCTAGTATTTTCTAAAATTTTTTTTCAGATCCATCTACTATGAATAATAATAATAATAGTAACTATCTAAGAAAAAGTTTCAATAAAGGCAATATACATTATCCTGCTGATACATTCAATAATTTCAATGATTACTCAAAGTCATCATGGAGACAAAAATATCTCACAACAACAACAACTAATAATAATCTATATTAAATGAAGAAATTGAAACATTCGTTTACTTTTTCTAGAAAAAAAATAAACAAGTGACAATCGGGAGAAACTGTTGCTCATGTCTATCTTAAGCTGTTATTCTTCTCTCTTCAATTTAATATAAGGGGGACTTAAAGTGCTCAGTTGTATTTTTTTCTTTGCTGTATTCTCAAATGTTCAGCAACAGTTAATAAGTTCTTTTTTTGACTGTATGTGATATGTACACATATAAGTATACCTGTTCACCTATTTTGTCCTGGAATTCTCTAGTAATATGACTGAGTATATTTATAGATATGTCAATACATCTACTAGTTTCTCAACTATCTCATGAAATTATTTTTAACCTGCTTTCCCCACCACCCCCCCACACACACAGATAGACATACAAACCTTTGCCCTTCATTGTGTTTGTTTTCTGATTGCTTAGATCAATTGACGATCAGGTATCATTCAATTTATGATCATTATTGTGTCATTATTATTATTATTATTGTTACTGTTAGATCAACATGAACATTTTTTAATTTATTTTTTTATAATTGATTTATTCAAATTTAGAAGCATATATATACATATACATTACTTTAATAAAACAAACTCTAACAATTATTACATAATCTCAACTCTCTTTGTTATTTCTTAATCACAGTTAACTAGAATTACGTACATTGTAGGCGATTGAATGATTTTGACTAGGGAATCAAACTTTTTAGAATTACATAATGGTCATAAAAAAGACATACATAATAAAGACAAAACAAAGAGGAGAATAAAGTTTTCATCAAACTCATGTTCTTCATATTTCCCGCCTCTTTGTTGTTGGTGTTGTTGTTATTGAAACATTGATCAGTTGAACAAGCGCGAAACATCACAGAAGGAGAAAGAGAAAGGGAGTCTGTGAGTCAGTGAGTTAAAAAAAAGAGGAAAGTTCTCAAAGACAAGCTGTGAGAAAAAAAGAATACATACAACAATAATTAATTAGTAGAAGAATAGAAAACCTAAGAATAATTAAATTGAACTTTTTAAATGAGTTTAAAAAGTATGCAAACAAAAAAACAAGTAGAAGAAGAAGAGAAATTAGTAGTGAGTGGTGTAATGGTTACGTAATCAGCGATATTAGTAGTATAGTAGTAGTAGTAGTAATAGTAGGTGAAGTTTTCATTGGACAATTAGATTAATTGTGTACAGAAGTTTATCATCATTTTAAACAAATGAAAAGTCAACTAAATAATCCGCTTCTATTGATCATTGAATAATAATAATATTAGTAAAATAATCTATTGGTAATCTAATTACATCAACAGATAGATACATTATATATATTTACATATACATAAATTCATACATTATTATACACATACATGCATGCATGAATGATAATGAAAAGTAAAGAAGGAAAAGAACCAGCCACTACAGCAACAACAACAACTGCAAGACGAAGAAGAAGGAAGCACTAGTTGAAGTATTCATTCAAACACTGTAGGGGAATGGACAAGAAGATTAAGTTAAAGGGGTTAAAGTTGGCCAAGTGTATGTATGTATATTGGGCAAAAGTGCTCAATACCACCTTTTTCACACATACACACACGCATGCCTACTATTCGTCTGTTTCATAATTCCTATTTTTTTTTGCGTTGTTGTTGTTAAAAAACACGGTCATTCAATTGTTTATTACATTGTTTAAACAAACTAAGGGAAGGAAATAAAAATTGAACTGTACTGTTATACATTTATATATATAGATGTATACATGTATATAGTTATTATCATTATATTTGATTAATATCTTTGTATTGTAATATAAAATGGACCCAATATTGTTTTACTGAAGACTTTGCTGAAATTAAAAACAATACAATGAATGATTAGAATTGCTTTTTAAAGTTATATATGCTACATGAAAGTTAACATATATATATATATATATATATATATATATGAATACATATGATTCAGGAGAAACAAGTCATGTATTGATCAGATCGCCACATTACGGATCATCGCTGAACAAAGCTTGGAATGGTTGGTAGTCAACCCTCTATCTCAACTTCATCGGCTTTGAAAAGGCCTTTGACAGTGTCGATCGAGAGGTGATTTGGAAACTACTTCGCTACTATGGGCTGCCACCGACAATTATACATCTCATCCAACAGCTGTACGACATGCCTGCATGCCAAGTAATCCACAACGGGAAACTTACGGAATCCTTCGGAGTGAGGACAGGAGTAAGACAAGTTGGCTGCCTACTATCTCCAATGATTTTCCTGATTGCAGTAGACTGGATAATGCGACAAACAGCGGCGGGCAATGAGGAAACAGGCATAAAATGGACTCACACAAAAAACTTGGAGGATCTGGACTTCGCCAATGATATATGTCTGATTTCCCACAAACTGGAAGACATGCAAGCGAAGAGCAACAGGTTTGCAAAAGAAGCATCCAGGGAAGATAGGAAGGACTTCAGGTGAACGTAGAGAAAACAGAGGTGATGGAGATTCCTGGGCAACACCACCAACAGCAACAACATACAACAATCAGCATAAATGGGAGGAACCTGAAAGAAACAACCTCCGTTACCTACCTGGGAAGCATCGTTTCAACTACAGGCGAGAGGAACTGACGAGGATATCAAAGCAAGGATCGGGAAAACAAGACAAGCTTTCACTACTCTCAAGTCTGTGTGGAGAACAACACTCAGCACTCAGCATCAAAAATAAGATCCTGATTTTAAACTCCAATGTGAAGTCAGTGCTACTATACGGATCGGAGACTTGGCCAGCGCGTCATAAAGAGCATCTCAAACAAACTATAGACCTTCATTAACAGTTGTCTTCGTTAAATACTCAAGATCAGATGGCCGGCCAGAAAGGATATGCCCAGACATCGTCGAAGCATCTCCCTAAGAAGCTGACATGTCAACCTGAGACCGAGCACTTCGGTCCAATCAATCCATGGGAAAACCTAAAATTCAATTCAATTAGCCTGACCCATTGCACAAGAGGTGGCTCTCGTGGCCCAAGTGGTCTAGTGAATAACGCATTGACGTTTGAAACTATGGGAACTGGGTTCGAGCCTCGGTGGAAACGTCATCAATGACTCACAGGGGAATGCAGGTACATCCACTAGCTGACGAGTCCCAAATAGGATGAAATGCGCGTTATCCTGGATTCCACTGCTAGTCACCATCCCCACCAATTAACTTCTAATTCCAAGAAACCCTTGTATGTGGTGACTGTTTTGTCCCACTAGCCTAGTGCATAGCATTTTATCATTTAATGGTTAAGCTACTTTCTGGTTTCAGTAGATTACACAATCACTCAGTGTGATGCAGATACAATCAGTCTAACGAAATTTAGACTGGATGAAATGTACGTCTTAGGTTCTCCTGTGAAACATAGTTTTTTTTACAAACAAATGAAAACGATAACAACAACAATAACAATAATGATAATGATAATAATAATAAATTACCTAATAATTATAAAAATTCCATTGAGCTTCCATTACGAGTTAGATGATATGTTGAATAATTATTGATTTTTGATAAATCTTCATTTAAATTTGATAAAATAGGCTTTGGTGCAGGTGGTGGTGGTGGTGATGGGGCTAAATGTCGTAAAGGCAGATCACAGTTTTCAAGATATGTCCAATTTTGTTTGCCTGTTGTCTTATGATCCATACTGAGATCAGAGTCTTTTTTACTATGACTACTACCACTACTACCGCCAATCAACTGTAAAAATGAAAAAAAAAACAAGGTGAAATACAAAAACGAAAGGGAATTAGAAAAACAAAGACCCAACCCAATATAAGTGATAATAATGACTGACCTTTTTACAGAGGATAACACAGCTCAGAAGAGTGATTATCAGTAAGTTGGCCCGTGTTCTAAGCGACAGAGACAATGTTAAGCGTGAAACCTATGACTTGCTTTGTTATTAATAACATAATTTTAGGCTATTTTATTTCAATCTTATTTTGTATTCTATAGTGAACTTCTTCTTAAACATACTTAGCTACCTAAATTATTAACATTGGCTTACTTTTTTGTACTTTACTCTATTTCCTTCTTTTGTGTATCTACTGGTTCCGACTATATTAGCACTATGAGTATTACAAAATTGTCCTGTCATTAACCATCATGTAATTATTCGTTTTGTGGTTGTTTTTTCTTATTTTTTAAATTTTTTTTCGGCAATATTAAACTGACAATCATTGGTTGTGAACGCCATAGTCACCACCTTTAAAAATTTTGTATTATTCAGGATTACTCACACAACCACTACAAACACTGCATTAGACCTGACAATGGAAAAAAACAAAACAACAACCCTGGAGTGTTATTTTATGATTGTTTAGAGTTGTTTCAACCAAATTAACTGATCATCTTGGCGATATACATTCTTAAATATCATTTCATAACTTCTTGTATGACTATAGCTTTACTGTCACCATGCATAATCACATCATTGCTTCCACTACCCAATACTGAGATATTATTACTTGATGTTCATTTTCCTTTCTACTTCTTGATATTTTTTGCATTTTTTTAAAAAATTATTTTGTGTTTTTCCTGTTTGTATTTTTTGCTGTTGGTGTCTTTATTTTTATTTTTTTGAAATACTCCTTTTAAACGTTGGATAAAAATTAGATGCAAATATTGTAGATATGTGCTGAAAATTCCACACTGTACCACTAGTACTGTTTCTGGAATAAAGCAAATTATTATTATTATTATAAGTTGATTTTCTGATTCAGTTTCAAGATAGAATTTTGCATTGATGTTCCCCAGTTCAAGTTGCCATGCACTCCATCTAGCACACAAAGTTAGACAAAAGACAGAGAGTGTTGTACAATAATGAGCAATTGTCTTCAACCATTGGTTCATAAGCATCCCGAGGAGCTAAACCAGGCAGTGTACAACTTCCTATATGGCTGGTTGAGACGAACTGTTCAAGTCTTCATGGATTGATCCCATGTTCTAGTCTGACCACAAATAACTCTTTTTTTTTCAAAATTTAAAAACAGTTAGTTCCCTTTATGAATTTAGATAAGGCAATAAGAAGGAAGACCTAATTTGTCTGAATCGTGTGTGTAATGTGTTTGCGCAACACACATTTCGAACAATCTGGTCATAGGAATATAAATGAAGACTGGATAACAGAGGGCTAAACTTCAGTTGAACGACTACCATATCAGCATATTTCTAAATTGAAATGTTTCTCTATACAACAACATGTGTGTGCATAAATATAAGAGTTTTTAAAACAACAAACCACAGAGTGCTGGAAAGCTGTTTCATCCTAGCCTGGAACTCTTCATCAGCAGTAGGCACCCAAGACCTGCTTCTGGTTACAAGGCGGGCTCGTCGACCATCCAACCACTGGGAGTCAATTCAATGGCCCATTGGGTGCTATCCTAGTGGCTGAATGGTCTACAAGCTCACCTTGTAACCAGAGGTTCTTCGGTTTGGACTCTGTCTCTGGGTGCGTTCTGATGACGGGTCCCAAACTAGGATGAAACATCTGCCCAGTACTCGTTGATTCTCTGGTGGTTCTTTACATTATGTCAGCTCGTGACCGACCCTGTAACCAATCATATCCCTGTAAATCAACAGTAAGTAACAGACAATACACTTCAGCTGGTTATCCTTCACTAAAGAAGAGGAAGGTGGCATAGCGGTTGGGACGCTCGCCGACCATACACATGGTCCGGGGTTCGATCCCTGGCCGACGAGGCACTCCTTCACCTCACTAAGCCAGAAATAAAGCTGGTGAAGAGGAAACGTTGGGCATGAGGATAGCAACCCCATTCTGTAAACCTCTAGCTTGAAGCCCTATGTTTCGCTGGGGAACGTGAAGGAATAAAAAAAAGAAGAAGAGGAATGATCGATTTTAAAATGCTCAATTTCTAATGACCTATCTAAATTCTTATTCTGTGTGATAACAAAATAATAATTATAACGTCAAAAGACTTGATTTATTTGAGATCAATAATGTACAAATCAGGTCATTATAACCCCGTGCACTGCAGGATTTTCACTTTACTATAGTAACTGTATAATAATATAGACACTGAAGCAATTGTAGTAATCAATATAAATGAAAATGATGGGGTAGGTTTGTAGAGCAAGTAGGTGACATTGATGTGTTTGTATTCTCTTATAGAAGGATAATTTAACTGAGAACCTCCCAATGTCTTCCTAGATAACACATTCACAGCACTAACTGTAATAATGAAGTGAGCTTTGAAGATCAATCGTGTTCAAGATCACCAGAAGAGATGGATGGTTAATAATACATTGTCATACAAAGGATGACAAGAGCTTATGTCATAGTAAAGTTAGCACTGCATATGTATTGTCTAGATAGATTATAAGAAATTTGCACAATTCAACTATACACAGTAGTCTCAAAGAACACAACTTGTGTTTGAGTATTCAATAAATATTCAGGTTTTGGTTTGCATGGGATTTGATTTGATTGGTTACAGGATTTCATTATGAACTGAAATCTGTTAGAGAACCATTGGAAAGTCTTGGAGTACTAGACAGCTGTTTCGTCCCATTTCGGGACTCTTCAGTAGTGATAACAGACATAATCTCACCAGAGGTCGAACCCTGGATCTTCAGATCACGATATCAAACTCGTTGAACATTCAACCGGATTTCAGTGATCCTCAAATTTTTCCTTTTTCAACTCGTAATATGGGTAAAGTGGCTGCTCATCCAGAGTATTGCTGAGAGTAGAGCCATATCATGAGATGACAAATTTAGAATTCAGAGGTCACTGAGTTACAGCTCAAGAGGGTGAATTATCAACAAGCCCTGAAAGTTCCGAGTTCGATCATCAGTGAAATCACAGGTGTGCATTGTTGAAGAGTCCTACCGATCTACCAACTGAAATTAAATTAATTCAAATCCCCTCAAATCCAATTATCTAAATAAATATTTCTTCTATTGAATGCTAACTTCGTGACTTTTCTCCTCTTCTCATAGTGTAGTTTCATTTTGTTAAGAATCACTAACTGAGCCCCGTTGGTGAATGTGGCTTAAAAACTGTTCTCAGATCGTTGGCATAGATGCATTCACTCTTTGAGATCTTCTGAATCCATCAGTATTTTCATTATTCTCTACGAAATCATTCATTCTTTCTAAAAATGCTGTCTGTTGGCATTTCTTTTTCTCTTTTCACACCTTTGTGTGTGTGCAGCCGTAACAAGTCTGCCACGTTTCTGACCCGCATCGAAGAACTGACTTCACATTTGTGTTGAAAATTCGAATCCTGTTCTTTATTTATGCCGAGGCTGAGTGCACAAGACTTCCAAACTGGTTTCAGGTTGATGAGAGCGTATCTTGCCTTTCCTAATGATCAAGTTTTGACATCAGTTCACCTGTTCTCCTTGTGGTTGAAATCTTGCTTCCTATCCAGATAAGTGAAGGAAGGAAGTGACCTCTGTCAAATCTCGCCCGTTTTTGGTGATTTGTGCTGGTTGTTGTTGTTGTTGGTGTTGCTGTTGGTTGATTGGTTGGTCGGTTAACTTCATCACCTCCGTCTTCTCTATGTTCACCTAGAGTCCTGTCTTCGCTGCCAGACTGTTCGGCCAGTTTGTTGACTTTCGCCTGCCTCTAAATCTTCGAGTTTGTGTGACATTAGCCATATTTCATCTGGGAAATCCGGATCTTCTAGAGCCTTTTATCGGCGGTCCAGCGTATTCTTGTCGCCTCGCTCCTCACAGTCTAAAGCATAATCCAGTCCACCGCAATTAAGAATATCATCGGTGATACTACTATTCTGAATGAATAGTAAATGTTTATTTATTTATTTGATTATCTGGAGCAGTGAACTGATCAATTTTTTTGATAAAGACATATCTTAACTAATGATCTATGATTTTCAAGTATTGGTTTGTAGGGATTTGGTTGATTGGTTACAGGATTTTCATCATGAGCTGATATTGGTTAGAGAACCATTGGAAAACCTGCCGGGTAGTACTGGACAGCTGTTTCGTCCTAGTTTGGGACTCTTCATCAGTACGAACCCACCACCTAGGTTCGAACCCAGGACCTTCTGGTTACAAGGCGAGCTCGCGTACCATTAAGCCACTGGAACCCGATCCAATGGCCCATGAATTCTAACTTCTGCCAATTCACGATATAGCGCAACCGCTAGTCATTGTCTTCGGCGAGTATTTGTCGACTCGGTTACCTCGGTGCTCGGTAGTTACCTGGGGTTCCAGTGGGAAGTCGTGACCAGTAGGGTGCAGCAGGTGGTCGGGTGTGAGGACAAATACTCGCCGAAGACATTGGCAAAAGTTAGAATTCATGGCCCATTTGATCGGGTTACAGTGGCTTAATGGTATGCGAGCTTGCCTTCTGGGTTCGAACCCCGGTGGGTGCGTACCGTTGAAGAGTCCCAAAATAGGACGAAACAGATGTCCAGTACTCCTCGGCAGGTTTTCCAATGGTTCTCTAAAAATGTCAGCTCATGATGAAATCCTGTAACCAATCTATGATATGTTCAAATAAATTTTGGTTGTCTCGTTGAGCGATTGGACCGAAGTATCTGGCCACTGTTGATATGTCGACTGTATCGCTTGAGAAAACTTCACGTTTCCATGCATTGTTTACATAGCCTTATGGTTTTAATGGTTGAACAGTTGAACTTTATTTGACCGCATCAACGCTTGGCATCAGTTTATTTTAAACTCAGCCTGGTTTTATTGCTTCCTTCCTTGGGTATATTCTGTTTACAATCCATGTCATCGAATTCCATGAAATCTGGACCGATAGTACGTGTTTTTTCAGTGACTAAGGACCTCTTGAATCTTCAGAGCACGAAAGACTTTGCCTTCTTCAAGAAGTTGACGAGATACAGGCTTAGGTTAAGGTGGAGTTATACAGGCTTACAGGTGTATTATTGTATGTCCTGTACGCCAGAAGAATACAAACACAGCCGTGACAAAATGCATTCTGAAATGTCTTATAGTGTATGCAGGGATTTTGGTGGCTGGTAAGTCGGAACAGTTGTTTAGAAGATCCCTCCTAAACGATCTGATTACAATGTTGATACTTATTTAAACATCCCAGTTAACTCCATTATTATGATATATATTTCAAACGTCCGTATATCATATAGTGATCCTTATTATTTATCTTTGGTCCTGTTTAATCTCTAATTTTAATGCTTATCTTTCTGGTTGTGCGATGATATTGATAATGTGTTGCTATACGGCTGTGATTTTGTTTAAGTGAGTCAAGGTCATTCTGACACTGGATTGCCTGTGGGAATTGTTTGGTGCGTGATTCTTGCTGACAGAGTCTGGATTCCACCTTTCTGGGAACATTCCACTTGATCTTACACTTGATTTTAGTTAGATAATTCTGTTGTATGGTAACTGCTATGTATCTGAGGACTGATTTGATTCGTCTATCTGTCTAACAGCATTGTTGAGGTGATTTTGACTATTTGATATTCTTATTATCGTTATTTAATAGCACCACAGATTTTATTGCAGATAATCATCTCTTTGCTATCGTTGGGACATTTTTGCACTGCACTTAACACAAGGAATTTCTGGTTAGCTGTACAATAGAACGCAAAGATCGGTTTAATGCATTCAGACCACAATACAGTATCTGAGGTTCAACATGACATAATATAGTGGACTGTGGCTAAAAGTGGAACCCAGACTGCATATTTCGTCCTATTTGGGGTTCATCATCCGAATGATGGTGTTCTCGCAGAGACTTGAAGCCAACGCCCATCGTTTCAAATGATAAAGCGTCATCCAACTAGACTACTTGGGTCACAACAGGTTGAATACTTAGGTTCAATCATTCAAACTGATACCTGTCGCACAAGAGGCAGATCTTATGGTCCAAGTGGTTAGGTGGATAGATAATGCTTTGGCGTTTGAAACAATCGGTACTGGGTTTGGGTCCTAGTGGAAACACTATCCCATACTGGAGATTGCAGGCACACCCTGCTGACCAGTCGCAAACAGGATGAAATGTGTCTCTTGGATTCCACCTCTAGTCACCATCCGGCAATGCAACGAAATGACCTATAATATCTGCCTGAAAGTACTTACAGTAAGTGGTGTTCAAAAATTACATAAATTATTTAAAAGTACAAACTCTATTATTATATTTCTGGTGATAGTTTAAGAAATATTACGTAATAGGTGAATAGAATAAATTATTAAAGATGTAATAAGAAGGCTTAAATTCTCTTAGAATGTGTTTAACCTTTGATTTAGAATTCATGGGGAAGATTTCTAGTGCACACGAAGAATTTCGGTGTAGTCACGTTCCCTCAGGAGGGATGATTTAACAGTAAGATATAGAAAATCAAAACAAATGATTCAGCGAAGAGACTCTTTTCAACGAATTTATCATCATCAACCTGGTCCGGTCGCTTGCCACTCGTATTCGGCGCATATGTAGCCCTGATACTGTGGAAGATGAGTTAAATCTTTTGAGGAAAATCCTAATAGAAAATGGATTTCCACCACGTTTTATAAACAAGAGTATACATTCAAATCCTAAAAAACGTGACTTATCAAACGTACCCAAGAAAATACTTTAGATGAACTTGAAATTCAAAGGGGACTTAGCTTCCGATATCATGAAACGAAGGATATCACAGTCCCTGAAAAGAACATTCCCTGCTGCATCTCTGAGAATAGCCTTTAATAATCGACCATTATTGTTCAATAACCTGAAGGACGAGAACCCACTGTTGACCAACTCTATGTGTGTTTATCAATTCACCTGCTCGTGTGAAACTAGGTAAATCGGTCGTTCGACTCGAGTTTTTTCCAAGAGGGTACAAGGACAATATCCTGCATGGTTACGAAAAGGTGGAAGTAGAGAAATAATAAGCGCGATCATTGAACATCTGGTCGATAATGATCACCCTATCTCTATAGCCTCCGCCTCCAGAGTCATCTACAAGGCAAAGAGTAATTTACCCAAATCCCTACCCACCCGACTCATCTGTAATCCTGAAGCTTTGGCTATCGAAACAGAAAAGCCAGATCTCTGTGTGCAGAAAACGTTCGTTCAACCCCTCGAACTTTCATGGTCTTAATCCCTCTATGCTAAAGTATGGTAATCCCCAATCATATTTTAGCTCTACCAATTTTTCATTTTTTCATTTTTTTTTCTATTCGATTTGTATACTCTTCCTTATTACGTCAATTGTTACTATTACTACTCTCACTTTTAATTGTCCCCGGTATTATTTCACTTGTTCCACTTGTCATTCTAAATCAATTCCTTTTTTGCAACATTAAATTCTATGTTACCAAATTTCACACAATATTACGTAACGTTTTTATTTTATTCGATTTGTCTACTAATCTTATAATTGCACACCCTTTTTCAAGTTCTATCCATCCTATGAATTATTCTATATATGACATTGATTTGCTTTGCCACTTGACATTTAACTATGATTATAATCACCAACATTTTAGTTTTAATTGCACTTCATATTATTATTATTTTATGCATTTACACCTATGATTGCATCCCCTCACCAGATATAACTTCTTAAAAACCACATATCTATACGATTGTACAGCTTGATGATTAATTCGTTGAAAAAGAATCTCTTCGCTGAATCATTTGTTTTGATTAACTGTAAGAAGCTTTCATTGTCTTTCTAGACAGTGAACATCCTCAGAGCTGACTCTGTTATCGACCGAATACTATAAAAGCAGATATGTTTAATGATATTTTTAACTTTCAAAAAAGTATTTACAAACCACAGATTTTAAAGAGAACACAAACTGGACACATTAACCAACCTGGCTTAACCAGTTCTGTCGTGGAGTTGTAGGCTGTTTCATATGAACTTGTGATAATTCTTTCTCCACCATACTTGTTTGTTCATGATGTCTTGGTGGAGATATAATTGGTTCTGTATATTGTGACCAAGGTAATGAAGGATTTGGAGCAGGTCCATGTGGATCAATAGATGCTGGTTGATATAGGAGGATGGAAGTATCTGAGTTATTATTATTATTACTGTTATTATTATTATTGTTGTATGAATGCCTACTCCACTGTGAGGTGTAAGGGAAATTCGCTTCTCCATTTTTCGTCTGAAATGAAGAAAAAACACAGAACTTAAGTACTTATTCCCATACATAAAAGTTCATTCGTGGTTCAGAGGTGAAACGTTCGCCAACCACCTCCACGTAGTCCCGGGTTCGATTCCTGGCGTGCGCATTCCTAAGCCCCACCAAGCCGGTAGTAAAGCCATGTAAAGAGGAAAGGTTGGGCGCGTAAGGCAAGCAACCCCACGCAGTGAAAAAAGAAAACCACTGCTACCAAAAATTCAGAGCTCTCGCTTGAATCCCTAAGTCCCACTGGTGGTAGCTGAGTATGATTTTAAAATATCTGAATTTACCGTAACTGTAAATTATTTCCATCAGCTGTCTGTATGTCCTCCAGCATGATAGTCACACATTTAGCATGGTTGGCACACAAATCGGTATCCTCAAAAAGACGATCTGTGTGGGCTTCACTGGCTTCTTGGAGACCAATTATTACTGATCACTCGAATCGCAGATCAGTCTCGAAGTCCTGGGTGATCTCAGGAACCAGTAGTTTTGGGTTCTTTTGGTAAAGATGGATTTTGCGAACAACTTCACTCCCTGGTCTGTACCTGGGAGGTTTCTGAACGCTCCCAATAGTTGGTACACTCTTACAGGGAGGTTGCTTTGTGGGTATTGCCACCACTTTGATTTGTGAGCAGTCAGTCTGCTTTGTACAAGCCACAGACAAACACTGACAGATGATGAAGAAATGAGTACTCACAAGTCCCCAGTCGATTAGATTCTAATAATGAAAATATTCACCTCATATTTGGGTAGTTGATCAATCAGACATCATGGCAACAAATATGAATAGATAAGATTACAAAACAGGAAAAGAAATAAGCATCTGAGGAAAATGTATATAGATTAGTGAATTCGTAGGATAGGTAGGATGATACTGGGTGGTTTGTTGTAATTAACGAGTAACTATAGACCTTGATATTCCGCTTATTGGTTACTTGTCAGAAAGGTCCATCAGGGCACATGAAGGAGTCACTGTCACCGTGGAGATTAGGATTTGCGTCACACAGAGATTCAGTCAAATATGCTATCACTGATAGATAGGCAATGGATTAAACAGAATTTGATGTTAAGTGAGAAGGTAATAGTGAATAAGTATATCCACATATAAACGTACTAACCGCCGATAGGTTGAAAACTACTCTGGTCAGCTTAATGTACCATTCCCCAGTATTGGAGGAAGGATTCAAGACAGAAGTAGTTAGTTCACCTCTGGAAGGAAAGGAAAATCAACTCGGGTTGTTTTTTATATTTACTGTGTATTATTATTATTGTTCCCTTGGGTTCCTAGTGAAACATAGGGCTTCAACTACACGTCTCCACTTGCTTCTGTCTTCTGCCGTACTCTTCACTTGCATCCATGTTAGTCCACACTGTTTCAACTCTTCTTCACACGATCTCCTCCATGTCACCCTTGCACTGACGTCCCACTCGCCGCTTCCCTTTCGGGTTCCTTTCTCGAACACTGGCCTGACGCGCGATGTCACCCAGCGGCCTCCTCAGTGAGTGTCCAATCCATCTCCACTTTCTCCTGCATATTTGTTGGGCGACTGCTTCTTGTTTTGTTTGTTTGTTCCCATAGTTTCTTGTTGGTGATTCTTTCCGGCGGCCATCTGATCTTCAGTATAGAGCGACGAAGACAGTTGTTGATAAAGGTCTGCAACAGGCTGTTGGTAATATTCTTGGTGACCCGCCAAGTTTCTGATCCGTATAGAAGAACTGACTGACTTGACGTTTGTATTGAAAATCCGAATTTTGTTGTTGATGCTGAGTGACGAAGATTTCCAGATTGGTTTCAGGTTGATGAATGTGTTTCTAGCCTTCCAGATTCTCGATTTGACATCCTCGTCCGTTCCTCCTGTGGTTGAGACAATGCTCCCTAGATAAGTGAAAGAAGTAACCTCTTTCAAATCCCTCCCGTTGATGGTGATTGGCATATTTAGTCAGGCTCACAAGTGGAACTTGAATGAGGACTAATAGGTTGGGCACCCAAGGCCGATACGGAGGAGGTTGTATTAAGATGAAATGACAGAGTATGAGACAGGCGTAAAGTTTGTTGAAAGCGATATCAGAAAGTTTAATAATATTAAATATTAGTAACAAAAATTCCCATACACCTAGGTAAACAGATTTTGCAAATATGAATAGGAGACAAGTATTTGGAAAAAAAGCATTTTTAGTAAAAAAAATAATTTTCTTTTTGAAGTACTTAGAATCAGACTTATAAAATCAAAACGAACTCTTATTAAAGTGTATTAAATTTTTTATAGGAAGAAAGTATTTACTTTACAGCATGTGATTAAGTCTCGTGACATTTTTAATGCCCCATAGTGAAGGCGTATTAAAAGTACAGTATTTTGTGTAGTATAAGTGCAGACTCAATTATGGTTAATGTTATACTCATAGCAGTTAGAACTCAATAATTTGTCTAAAACACTTATACTACTGATAAAGTATATCAGTAGCTAAACTTTGAATCAGTTCACGATGTAACATGGAATCAATCAGGAAACCCTACAGACAGACACCTGACAATGAGTCTAATACCCACTTATGAACGACTGCAGGATTAAGATATCTGAAGTCCTGGTGAGAAGCTGTGACCAGCTAGGCGTGAGGACAGGTATTCACCGATGACACTGCCTGGCATTGGTGCTATCTATGATGCCAAATAGTCAGAAGTTAGAAATGATGGGCTGGATTCCAGTACAAATAATCTTATAACCTGAAGATCTAGTATTCTATCCCTGATGGGTTTGGCCATGGGTGTGTGCTGATGACATGTCTCAGATAAGGACGAAACAGGGGTCCAGTACTCAGTGTTTCTCAAAATGAAGTCAGTTCGTAATCAATCTTGGAATGAATCAAATCCATGAAAGCTGATACTTGAAAAGTCATGTGAAGATTATTCATAAGGCGACGAGACAGACATGATTTTGTTGAAAAGGATCAAATGGTTACAGGGAAATCAATGCATCATTACTGCATTTCAAGAGGGAAAATAGTTACATATATTTGGTTTCCTTGATAAATTTCGATAAAAAAAGGAAGACGAAATTTCCCGTCTTTATCAAAATTTATCAAGGAAAAATAGTAGTTTGAAGTTCGATTTCAGTGTAATTTAGGCGAGTGTACACTTTTGGCTAAATCAGTTAACTGGTTCACCAGTCAATGAAGGAGGGGGGGGGAAATAAACTCCATCGAAACTTATTTTTAAAGTGTACATTTTTTATCTATTTTAATTTTATTCCTTTATGTACCTTGAGGAACATAGAGTTGGCTGGAAGAGACGAAATTAGACTGTTTATCTTTTACTCCCAAATGCAAAATAGGAGTGGTTTTGAAGACGTAGCCATTGGGATCGACATTAAGAAGCCTGACTAATGTATCCAAAAGAAGCTAGTTCAGACATGGTACTTAACTTGGCCATCTAATTTCGAATGATCCACAACTTTTTGTAGAAATTTCCCTAATTTTGGTTGATATTCTATTTGCTATTATATCTTTTTTATTATTATTATAATTTAAGCATCTTTAATGAACTGTAATTCCATTGTGATCTTACTTTACAAATCGATATTATTTAAAAATCACTAATATTATTATTGACTACTATTCTAGAATATCCTGTGTTTATTAACATATATAAATATACATAATCTTAGAGCCAGAAGAGGAATTTTTTTGAATATAGCTTGATTCCAGACCGTATTTTTGGTAGAAGTATGGAATTTTCAGCATGCGATATCTGTAGCCCAAATTTTGCAGGCCAACCAATCGATATCAGATGTGCGTCGGTAAAGGATCGAACTCCGGATCGTTTGCATGGTCGGCGAGAGTCCTAACCTCTGTGCCACTGACGCACATCAAAAAGGATTTTCTTTGCTTAATTATTTTGTTTTTCATAGATGTCTGAATGAATATTTTCGCTATATTATTACCCGGTTCTGTTTCGAATACTGTCATTGAGTGTAAATTGTGCAGGTTTTGAAAATAATAATGAATTCTTTTCATAAACCGGTGCCAGACTGGAATCATCTCAAAGTCATATTTGCATAACGCTGAACAGTAGTTTCAAACTAGGGCAAAACATGTAACATGCCCATCTGGACTCAATTGTTTCCTTTATATGATGTCTATTGTCGATTGAATAAGTTCTGATGAAGATAAGATGAAGAAGTCTAAAGTGTATTCCACAGCCATGACTTGACCATTAAAAGGGGGAGTTATGCAGACGCCAGCTGTTTTTCACCATAAATATCTGTCTTCTTTTTCTCATTTGAACTGAGGCATGGATTACTTACTAAGTAAGGAGGGGTAGTCAACAGATGAGAATGTGAAACTACGTCGACCGAGATGGCTAAGGGAAGTCAGCGTGAATGGTGTTAGCTGATATAGGATAGGTTGAGAAAAAATACTACACGTGATCTTTCCAAATGCCTCGTCATCTAATCAATGAAAGGCTCATCAGGAGGGCCCTACATGTGGTGCGAGGACCGTCATCCTTAGACCATCGTGTGTTTTCCAATATTGGCTTCTCTTGTTAAGTCTACATTTGGCTACGAAGTTCCGTGCAGTGCTCTGAGTGTCAACGTGAAGAAACTCAACTGGGCATGGGAAATGGCGGGACAAGGGTTATGGTTATATATGGCAGGTGCTTCCGCGTGGCGACCGCTGGGTGGGGCTTATCGGTGGAAAAACCGAGCCCCAGCTAAGACCTGTCACTTGCATGAGATAACATCCGTGTCCGGTAACTCAGTCTTGATGAAGCGGTGGGCCGTCCTCGGCTTCATGCGTTGTACGGGCCTTGGCGGTCCAAGATCTGTTGGATTCTTGACAAGAGAGCCGGGACCAATAACAACTGGTTAACTACGGAGGACTGGCACCTCCAAACACGAAGCCCGGTAGGGCAGCTGTTAGCCGAGGCTAGTCTGAAGTGGTGTCTTGTGCTTTGGGTTATGGATTGGAGGTTGGGATCTCGGCCATGTATCAGGTTTGGGTATGTGTCCCTGATATAGATGTTCTGGTGTTGGCGCGAGGTGGGCTGCCCTATGGTTGTAAAGGTAATGGAAAGAATAACCTACGTCTTTTGGCGGGCCGCATTTGTGCTAAGTCGCTACTCAGGTAAAAACCATTAGGTTTGGAAAAGAGATACTAGGGAATCAGAAGAAGGTTTTGACGGTTGATTTGAGTCACACAGTGAGTTAAGTCTAAGAAGTTTATAGGAAGCTGACTATTTCCAAATATTGCGCTCCGGTTTCCAAACGTCAGAATATGTATTCAGTAAAGTATTTAAAAATAGATACGTCAATTTGTGCGCCGGTGGCACACCAGTAGAATGCTCGCCAACCGTGCTGGTGGTTCGGAGGTTGATCCTTAACCGACGCACTCTTTTACCGCCCTAAGCTAGTGATAAGACTGGTAAAGAAGGAAGGTTGGGCATGAGGCTAGCAACCCCATCCCTTAAAAATAAACCCGACTGCTACCAAGGCATCACGCCTCTATCTTGAAGCCCTATGTTCCACTGAGAACATTAAGGAATAAAATAAAATAAATAAGTATAATGTCAATTCCTGATAGTTCAAACATATATAATATGATTTAATTTTAAAAAATTTCTATTAATCTTCATAATAATTACCTTCAAATAATTCATTCTTGCATGTTCCTGAATGTCAACTAATACTGGGGAAGATAACTGACTTGCACTTGAACCATATGTATTTTCCTTTTTCTTAACACCTGAAGGTAATTGTGGCAGTTGACGCTTGTAGTGTCTAAGGCGTAGAGAAGGTTGAGAAGTTTCTGGTGTAGGTCGTGAATCTGGTAAACCTGCCATCCAAACAGGCTTAAAGAGAGACGGAGAGACAGAGAGAGACAAATAGAAAGCAATTAAAAGTATATCTATCAAATGAAACAGGAATTCAAACGACAAGTATCAATAAAAATTTATGTTAGAAGACAGTTTGGTTGTCCATGAATTTCCCTGTGATAATTAATAACACTGTGGATTTCGTCATAAACCAGCATTGGTTAGGAAAATCACTGAAAACCAGGGAGCACTGGGAAGTTGTTTCGCCTCAGTCTGGGACTCTTCTTCGTGCCCACCCACTGTTCGACTAAGAATCGGACCTGGCAGCTTCAGGTTATGAGATTAAGTTCGTTGACCTTTCAGCTACTTTCTTCAATGACCTTTGGATTATGAATTTCTCAATTCCTGATATTGCGTTACCCTCAACCAATCAACCCTCGCTTGGTATCCACTCCACCTTGACATGGTGGATCCCATTTGGTCACAGCTTCTCAGTACAGCCTCATAACATCCACGCAGTAGTCATCAATGATCTGGAGATGAATATTAAGATCATGATCTCTCTAAGTGATGCTGGTTCGTGACAAAATCCATGCTGAAATTATTCCGAATCCTTACCAAAGCGTATCATCTAAAATTTATTAACAAAGTTAATTTGTTGAAAGTGTTTGAGTTAGAATTCTAAGATTGATGTGTATACTGTGAGGCATAGTGTATTCTATACTAGAACAGCTGAGCACAACAGTAAGGAAACCCCGTGAATGTGATAAACAGAAGAACATAATTCACAAGGTGAGTGCAGGAAATCGGTCAAAGTTTCACTGTGAACTTGAAAATCTCAAGTAGAGAAAGGAAATTTCATCTAAAAACAATAGGAAATGTTGTAAAACGACTAAGCATCATTGAATGTATTTGGTGGGAAGCGGCTGGCCAGCCTTGTCTTCTGATATTTCGATGGTTCAATAAAGCACAAGATATTGAGGGTGAATAGTAGTCCTATTTGGTAATCAGATGAGTTGCCTGTTTCCTTGCGTCCAACAGAGACAAGCTCTGTGAGCTATAGGATCCGGTGGACCCAATTAAACAAAATAATATAATTTACAAAATACCTTACAATGACTGTGAGTTAAGTCAACTACATAGGTCAAACTAGTAGATCAGGAGTAGTGAGATTGCCTGTCAAAACATAAGAATTTAGCTAAGGTTAGAATGATTGATCCCACGAAGATAAGTAATTTAGAAAAAAAACTCAGCACTATATTGCACTGCATGCATTATCACACAACCACAAAATGGGGTGGTGGGAGAGAGTTAAGATTCTAAGAAGTAATCTATGTAGGTGGAGAGAGAGGTTGATTACTGAATCCTGGTTCATTGAGTGCACACCCAACACATGCAATAGAAGTGACTCAATGCAAATACCAGAAATATGGAAGATATTATTACCACCAGTCAGTCAAATCAGAGGAGGATAATAAATAATCGCGAAATTCTATTTCAATTTAAGCACATCACAACATTCTAACAAGTTACTTATTTATTCTGGCTATAAAAACACTCGTCCTATTTCCCATCTGATTGTAATTGATTGATAACACTAAAATTATTTCCGAATATACTTTAACTTATACTGATTTTATTCAAATATCTAGTCAGTTTCACTCATGTATATAAACGAAGCAAGAAAGTTGTGTGAGTGAGTGACTTGATATGATTATGAGCAGCAATAAATTGTGCTCGAAACATGGTCATCAGTTAATATTACTGTATAACAACACTGTGTGATTTATCAAAATAAAATTTTATCTACAATGGAGTAATACTTTAGCACACTGCTCAAGTTTTATACTTATATCAATAATACATGCATCCAACATTTTTTCTACCCACGCCATAATCTATTAGGACTCCTGAGTATTTTAAGCAAAACGCTTAAAATCACGATGCATATTAGATGATTCGAGAAGGATTGAGGTTAAATAGTTATTAGTGTGACAATAATAACAGATTTATAAACAAAATATTATAATTATAAGTTTCACACTGAAGCGATAATTAAAAGTTTTCGATAAATATGATAGATCCATTGCATTCTGTTAATGTCTCTTCAACAGTTTGTCCACCTTCTGTTGTCCATCTTTGCACTGAGTCATCACCATTCTGCTTCATCATCCTCTTCTCCCCTCTTCTATAAGCTTCCACGTATCCATTGACAGCCATTCTTTATCTTGTTTTTTGTTTCTTCAACTTAGTGAATCTAATTTATAGACATTAACAGTGTCTCAAGTTGACGGTGTAAGAAGTTCTACAATGCAAGCTGAAGATAGACGCTGCAGTGGTGCGTATGCTTTTGCATCCGGAAAGATCCTTACGTTTCTCGAAAGTGGATTTAAACTGTTGTCTCCAGTTAGTTACCTACCATAGCTGAAAGATACCCAAACTGCTACATCTACCTTCCCATGAAAACTCCACAGGCTTTTCAGACAATTGCATTGGAAGCAGGAATAGGTTTCAGCTAACAGTCAAAATGATCTGTGCATTTTAGGGAATACAAGTGATTACTTAAAAGCGGAAGTGGATCGTTATTATCCATATAAACGTAGCTAAAGTGTGCATCCGCTGCGGTGAGATCCAGTTTGACCAACGTTGTGTCTTTTCACCCTCAAAGGCTGCTGTTAGATAAAAACATGCGTCCAATATCTCACATTACAGTAGAATCTTAGCCGTAGAAATGTCGTTGGCTGTCAGAACCAAAGGCAATGGAGCCACAAGTAGTCGGGTCCCTGTAGGCATATCTCACACTTAGGTACTTCCGCTACTCACAAATAACATTTCATTATCCCTGGCGATGCTTTTTGCTGAAGCCTTTGAACACACTCACCATAAATCCAGAACTTCAGTTATTTTCTGCACGTTCACTGTTCGAGGAATAGTGGCTAAGTAGGGGCGAAATTAGACGTGTTTACAGGGTTATTAACAATAAAGATATGACGAATTTCTGACACGCATTTTCAAATGTAGTCCAAACGGTATAATTTGCGTGATCAATGCCTGTCCGTAGTATTGTCTATGGTGAACGAAAAGGTTCTGCAATCCTTAATAACGGTGATTTCGCAGCCTTCACTTCAAAGTGCAACTAATATGTATTGCAACTGAGATTCAGATAACTTGTCGGGGAAGACAGCTAAGTGTCAAGTTGTGGATGGTCAGGTGCCGTAGCACAGTCTTGTGAGATATATTAAAACTAAGCCGGCACCTGGTAGTAATAACTTAGTAGCTCCTACTATGACTATTTTCGCCCTTCGAAGCTCCGGGGTCATTTTTACAGCCTCTTAGTTGCCTTTGGGCAAGTATATCAGTGCAGCTGAAATGCATTCACACTGAAGACAAGTCAAGATTCTGTTTTTGTGAATATATTCCATTTGCTGTTCTCGGTTGGTAATCACAATCAACGGGTGAAATCTGAAGAAAGTCACTTCTTTCACTTATCTATCTAAGCGGTATTGTTTCAGCTACAGAAGGCTCTGAACACCTTGAGGAGCAGGAATCTTTGAATGTTTGGCATAGGATTCTCTCCTGTTAAATTAAAGATGATGCTACAGGGCTGGACTACATCGACTCACTCCTAGCCTAAAGTGGTTGGTGGGGTGTGTTGACCACTTCACTTATTTGAGAAGTTGCATCAGCCAACACCAGTGGGTTGATCGCTGGCTAAATCTTAGCATGGATACAGAAGACTAGTTGTGTATATGCCAGTTTACGCCATTTCTGGCGTAGACATGTTATCCGCCTGTCGATCAAAGAAAGTATGTAATTCTCAGAAGTTGGTTTCATCCTAATTTATGGCCATGACATACGGTCAGTGAAAGTGGGAGACATGGAAACGCTAGCTATCTTTGGTCATAAGTATCTGCGTTCTATCTCCCATATCAGGTGGTATAATAGGGTGAGCAATATCGAGGTTAGGCGTCGAGTATTAGGTAGAGGGGGAAGATCTGTCGATAAAATTGTGAAACTATATCAATTGAGATGGTTAAGACGAGTTTTTGATGTGGTTGTGTTCTCTGAACTGGATAGTTAATTTGCTAAGCTTTCATCACCCTACTAGGCGACATCTTCAGCGCATACTTCAATTTGAAGTGAGCTTTTTGATTTCTCCACGAGTTTATTAATCATCTCTCCTGGTGACCTTCAACGTCGTGATTGGTTACTTTTGTGTGCTTTTACACCCTCGAGGCTACTTGTATTGGAACTGATTGTTCCCTTGACTTGAACTTTGACCCTTTGTGTGTGAGGTTTCTTTCTTATCGGTTGATAAATTTTGTCTATTTCGATGTGTCTATTGACTGATGATTCACTGGAATGCCAAGCTTCTAAAAATTCTCTAGCATTCTTGTTGTTTCCTCTGTCTAATATTTGAACGTTGTCCCAGTCGAATTGATGTCCTTGGTTGTTTGTATGTAGTGATATGAGGAAGTGGATATCATGTCTTTTGACAGCTAGTTTATGTTCGTGGATACGAAGACGAAGGGGACGTCCACTTTGGCCAATGTAGTTTTTTTCGCAGTTGATGCAATCTATTTTGTAGATGATGTTGGTTTTATCTTCCTTCGCTGTTGAGTCTTTTGGTTGACATCGAATTGAGTGAAATGACTTTGTTGGTTTGTGTACGAAGTCAATCCCTAAAGGTTTGAAGAGTCTTGTAGTGATTTCTGAGATATCTTTTATATATGGTAAGGCGATTTTCTTTGTGCTTTCCTTGGGGGCTTTTGGTTTGATAGGTTGGCTTGCGAAGATATGTCTTTTGATGAAATTCCGTGGATACCCATTCTTTTGGAAGACGTCTATGAGATATCTTTCTTCAATTTTTCTTAAGATGGGAGTGCTGCAATGAGTCCTGGCCCTCTTGAATAGTGTTTGTATGAAATTCCTCTTGTGTGTTATTGGATTGTTGCTGTTGTAATTCAGGATTTGGTCTGTGTGAGTTGATCTTCTATAGACTTGAGTTTCTAATTCCCCTGTGGTTGTTGGCTTGACTAAGACGTCCAAAAATGGGATTTAGTTTTCTGATTCCTCTTCTCTTGTGAATTTGATGTCGTTGAAGACGTTGTTTATCAAGTTGTGAGCTTTATCTAACTCGTTTCTTTTGATAATTACAAATGTGTGGTCTACCTAACGTATCCAAATCTTGGGTTTGATCTTTGGCAGAATTATGTTTTCGAGCCTTTGCATCACTGCTTCTGTAAAGACGAGTGTTACACATAAACAGATGCGACAGGCAATGTTAGCCGATATAGGGATAAAGTTGGAAAAGAACCAGTGATCATTAAACCAAAACGTGGCATCAGTCCAAGAAACCTTCAAAAGATAGTTTGAGCCACGTGGAGAGGTATAGAATTCTTGGTTAGGGTTCTCGGGTTGGTAAGAACCAATGAAGGCTGGAGACAATTGGTAATATGGCTCAAAATCGTCGACAATGGTGCAGATTCACTCATTCTTTGTGGTTAGTGATATCCAATAAAGCTCTGTTGTTTTTCCATGTTACTATTCTTTGCCCCTCAAACTTCTTTTGAATCTCTTTTCACTCTCTTCTCTTGCTTTGTGTGCTACATGCAGCGAGAGTGGCAAGTTGAACTGGTTCACATCTGTGGAAAGTTCTGTGTTGAAACCAGTCAGTCATCGACAGGAGGCAGAGATAAGGATGTTAAAGTTGGACAGGATAGGAATAGCAAGAGTGACATTCATTGCTCTGAGATCAGTGTATAAAAATCTGTTTCACTCAGCACAAGGAACAAGATCAAGATCTCCAATACTACTGTCAAATCACTGCTTCCAATCGGTTCAGAGAAGTGGCGCATCACTAAAAACATTTCCAACAGGTTACTGCAAACCTTCGTCAATAGCGCTACCTTCACTCTATAGTGAGGAGACCATGGTGAGTCAGAAAGGATAAGCAACGAGGAATTCTGGCAAAGATTGAGTGGATATACATTGAGGAGACCAGTAAATGACATCATGTGACAGCGCCTCTAGCGGAACCCGAGTGACAGTGGATCCAGTGGTGACATGGAAAGGATCATGAAAGGCGAAAGTGGAAGCTCATGGGCAGCTGTGGTTCCAGTTAAGAAAAAAAATAGACTGCACAGAACAGTTTGAAGTGGAGGTATCCCGTTGAAACTCTATGTTCCAGTTGGAACCCAAGGTAATATTATGAATACTGCTCATTGTGCTCAATGTTTTTGTCGAATAAAAACATCGGTCAACAGGAATTTCAAAACCACTTTCAACAAATAATATTAATATGAAAATAAGCTTTTGTAAGTAAGTAAGACAAGGCTGCCTGCTATCGCCACTGACTTTCCTGATTGCAGTAGATTGGATAATGCGACAAAGAGCGGGCGATGAGGAAACAGGCATAAAATGAACTCACACTAAAAACTTGGAGGATCTAGACTTCGCCGATGATATATGTCTGATTTCCCACAAACTGGAAGATATGCAAGCGAAAAGCAACAAGTTGGCAGAAGAAGCATCAAAGATGTGGAGGACTTCAGGTGAACATAGAGAAAACAGAGGTGATGAAAATTCCTGGGCAACAAAACCAACAGCAACAGCAACAACAACAACAGACAACAGTCAGCATAAATGGAAGGAACCTGCAAGAAACTACCTCCTTCACCTACCTGGAAAGCATCGTTTCAACTACAGGCAAACGGAACTGACGACGATATCAAAGCAAGAATCGGAAAAGCGAGACAAGCTTTCACTACTCTCAAGTTTGTATGGAGGTCAACAGCACTCAGCATGAAAATGAAAATAAGATCTGGATTTTCAACTCCAATGTGAAGTCAGTCAGTGCTCATATACGGATCAGAGACTTGGCCAGCGCGTCATAAAGAGCATCTCAAGCAAACTACAGACCTTCATTAACAGTTGTCTTCGCTCAATACTCAAGATCAGATGGCTGGCCAGAAAGGATCAGCAATAGAGATCTCTGGCAATGAGCGAACCAACACAGCAGGAACCGATTGTGAAACAAATAGGCAGGCAGAAATGGAGGTGGATTGGCTTGGCCATACTCTGAGGAAACAATGCATCAAGTGACATCACTAGACAAGCCATTGCTCGAGTGGAACCCGAAAGGGAAGCGGCGAGTTGGTCGTCAGTGCAAGGGTGACTTGGAGGAGGTCATGTGAAGAGGAGATGAAAACGTGTGGGCAGATTTAGAGGCGGGTGAAGACTCTAGCAGAGAACCGAACGCAATGGAGACGCACGGCTGAAGCCCTATGTTCCTTTAGGAATTAAAGGAAACAATAATAATAATTTATTCATACCTTTGGTAGATCAATCAGCTCTTCCAACTTCTTATTTATTGAACCACTTGAATAACCAGCATTATTATTACCAGTATTATCGCCTAATTTATTCATTAATAAATCTCTTGGTATACTGGTATAGACAGTGAAATCGGAAGGATTGATCACTTTTCTACGCTTGATTGATTTCTGATCATCTGATATGGGATAGTAATTCGGTCTAAGGATAGCTGCACCAATCGATGGAGCTGGACTCGGCGTTTCTCCTCTTTGGATTAAACACAAGGCTTCTGGTTCTTCTGCCTCTTCTTCTTCTTCCCCTTCCATGTCTTCTGCGTCTTCATCATTCGAAGAATTTCTATCAGTTGTACGATAATTACGACTGTCGTAGTCCATATTATTATCATCATTGTCATGGACAATAGTTATATTCCTGAGGTTATTTTGTACCTTGTTCATTTGTCCAACATCAGCCAAAGCATCGATAGACTTTGATGTGGCATATCGTGTTGAATTCAATCGATACGAGGATGTGTTGCTGGGTAGTGGTGTTTGTGGATAAGAATTCAACGGGTGGTTCGGCATGTCATGCAGTCCAGATCTGAGCATTTGATCGTTTGATGGAGATAAAAATCTGAAAATAGAGAGTTTTGAAAAACACTTTATCCTTTTGGTAAATTTACATAATCTAGTTTTGGTTTGTAGGGATTTGGTTGATTGGTTACAGGATTTCATCATGAGCTGACATTGATTAGAGGAACATTAGAAAACCGATTTGGAAGTACTGAACAGCTGTTTCATCCTAGTTTGGGACTCTTCATCGGTTCAATACTCGCAGGTTTTCCAATGGTTCTCTGATCGAAGTCAGCTTATGTTGAAATCCTGTAACCGACCATATCCGTGCGAACCAACGTTTGAATATCGATTAGATGCTCATTAGTGGCTGGCCCTATTCAGGTAAGTAATTACCCGGGTTCTAGGGGGAATTCTTGACCAGTGAGGTACAACCGGTTAAGTGTGAGGAAAAATAGTCGCCAGGTATGAAATTGGCCGGTGATCGCGCTATATCGTGAATTGGCAAAGGTTGAAAATTCACGGACTGACTACTGAGTCGGTTCCCAGTGGCTGAATGGTTTACAAGCTTGCCTTGTAACCAGAATGTACTGGGTTCGAACCTCGGCAGTGGGTGCATACTGATGAACAATCGCAAACTAGTACGCCACAGCTAATCATTACTCTCAGGTTTCCCAGTGCTCCTCTAAACGATGTCAGTCCACGATGAAATCCTGGGAATTTTAATGAGGCATTGAGAAGACGCATATCGCAAGATTAATATCACTTTGTAGTTTCTTTACGATCGCTTTATAACCAGCAGGATTGACAATAATAAATTAAAAAGTTTGACAACCAATCAGGTTCAACTTTCAGGTAAAATCATGCAAACCAATTGATAGTATTGTAATAGGAATAGAAATAGACAATGATGGTACCATATTATTCTGCACAAACCACAGTGTTGTTCTTGCTTTATTCAAGGGGAATAAATGCTTGAAGTAAACTTTTTACTACTTATGAGTAGATAAACAATATTACACACAATATTACAAAAGATGATAGCCTCGATAGGCGTTTTGCATTAAATGTATTACAGCTAACCGTAGGATAGGGAATAAATACAAGTATTGGGACTGTGAGAATATAGCACAAATGTGAATTGTTAAATGTCTTTTAAATGAAGATTGCAAAATGCTTTGAAAGGAAATGAGAGTAGATATAGCAATAAGTTATTTTGTTTTTTTCATATTTTTTTCTGCGCCTTGAAGTTTCATTAGCGATAAGAATAATTTTCCGGAGTAGGGTCACTATCTCCAAGCCCAAACTTTCCTCTTTTTTTGCCGGGCTTAGAATCGATTAGTAAACTCGGTGTGACCTGGAGCGTTAGGAAACAAAAATTCCCAACAGCCTATTGCAGACTTTCATCATTTGCTGCCTCAGTGTTCCCTACTGAAGATCAGCCAGCTATAAAGGATTAGGAACTAAGAGTCCATCAGGAACCTATCACCCAAAAATATGGATTGGAAATATGATTAGATGGCATTTGAATGATATCAGGCGCCAGCCCCCCGAATGAAACCCGAAAAGGAAACAACGAGTTGACAGTAGGTGCAAGGATGAAATGGAGGCGATTGCATGAAGAGGACGATAGTGGGCAATTGTGAACCGGATAATAGATTTTAGAGGACATAGTGAACTGTAGATGTACTTCTAAAGCCCTATGTATCACTTAGAAGGGAACAGTCACAGCACTGTTAATAATAATAATAATAGATACAGAAATGAGAAGATGTGTATGAATTCATCCACATGGAACAAAATCTATTCATTTTCAATCGCTGTTCACATCTCTCTTTGGTTAAGCAGGCTCTAACAAGGAAGATTCCAATGGTTCTCTAACCAATGTCAGCTCATGATGAAATCCTGTAACCAATCAACCAAATCCCTACAAACCAATACTTGAATATCAATGAGATGCTCACTGGCGACTGGCCCTATTCAGGTAGGTAGTTACCTGGGGTTCCAGTGAGAAGTCGTGACCAGTAGGGTGCAGCAGGTGGTCGGGTGTGAGGACAAATACTCGCCGAAGACATTGGCAAAAGTTAGAATTCATGGCCCATTTGATCGGGTTACAGTGGCTGAATGGTCCACGAGCTCGCCTTGTAACCAGAAGGTCCTGGGTTTGAACCCCGCAGTGTGGGTGCGTACTGGAGAAGAGTCCCAAACTGGGACGAAAAAACTGTCCATTACTCCCAGGTTTTCCAATGATTCTCTAATCAATGTCAGCTTATGATGAAATCCTGTAACCAATCAACCAAATCCCTACAAACCAATACTTGAAGGAAAATTCAAATTTGAAGTATTAAATTTACACGTGTGATTTTCCAATGATATAACTTAACCGAAATGATTGGTTTTAGTTTGATGCATAGCCTCTTCGGACAGATGCTCAGGCAAAAACTTAGATCTCCAGTTTGTGGTTAATTAATTGACGAAGACTAGCAGTTGACATCTAGGCTGCTTGTTTCGTCCCGTTTCTGACTCGTCTGGCCTGGTAACATGGAATAACCACGGAAGTTTGACGAAGTCAAGCATGAGCACAACTGCTCACCAACAACATTAACTGGATGTGGTGCTATATATCGTCTTTTGGTGGAAGTTGTAAGTCATGGGATATTGGATTCCTTCATAATAGGAGTCTTGCCTTGCAGCCTGAGGACCATGGGTTCGATTCCCGATAGCTGATGTTTACTGTTGAACTGTCCAGAACTAGGGTAAAACAGCTCCCTGATGTTTCAGTTCTTGATCCAACTTGTGATCAATAACCTCTCCCCAACCCCACCCGCGAGAAGCAAGAATTAAAAATTAAGATTATTTAATAAATATTTGGTTAGGCCTATCATCGAAAGACAGTCATGATAAAAATACGTAAAATAATAGTAATAATAATAGTAACAAACAGTTATAATACTGATCTTCATAATGCTTAGGGATATACTTACCGTTTATTAAAGCCTCCATCATAACTATTATTGTTATTATGACTGATGTCGTTTCGTTTAACAGGCACATTAATATCATCGCTATTCAATCGCATGAAGTATTGTTGTTTGGCTTGTCGTTTACTGTCAACGGAATATCCACTGGTATTGTTATTATTATTATTATTATTGTCAATATGATTGTTATTATTTACCATTCCATCAATAGAATAATGACTGTCAGAATAGGCAGGGAATTTCTCGGATGCCTTGTTCTATAATAAAATAAAAAAGTAATAATATTAATAATAATAAAAATATACTATATATACTCTAAAGGGTAATGATAATAGCCTTTATACGGTATACGTCCTCTGAATCGATAACATATTCATATCGAATTCAAATAATGCCTGATTGCTTTTTTGTTGCGTTGCGTTGTGTTTTGTTTTAATTGTTCTACTTGAACATTGAACACGATAACTCATAATAAACACATTTATTCATTTATTCATTCATTCAATAGTGAAGAGAATATCATTTTTATTCATTATTCAATATCGGAATGAAATAAATCACATTCCAGTTCGTTTGTTGGCTTTTTTTTCCAACTGTTAGACAAAAATTCATAGACAGAAGAAGACAAGTAACTGCTACTACTACTACTACTATAAAGAGCCAGGAGAAAAAAGTGATTCAGGCTGAGAGATAAAGGAAACGAAGGGAATCACGTGGAATTACTTATAACATTATTATCATCCTGTCATAAATTATGATGAGTTAGACATGGGACGTATTCAGAATAGGCGTGTGTTTTTTTACCTTGTGTGTGTTATAAATCAGCTTAAATTTATGAGAGATGATGATACTGGCTATTCACCTTTGGAGTGATGAAGTAAGCTGTGCGAAATTCGAACTTTGGGCTGAATTGGGTTGAATTTAATCAGCGCTTTAGTCAATTAGTCACATTTCTACCATAAAGGTAATTAATTCAATTCTGCTTATTTAGTAGCTCATCTTGGTCTTTTAAATCTCACCTGTCGGCTAAAAAGAAACGTTGGAATTGCCTGCAACAGTGTCACTTGGATTTTCATAAATTTAATTTTAAGATATGGTGACATTTTAATTGAACCAAGAGCCGATTGCTTAGCAAATATGTAGGAGAAAATGCAGATAGTTAAGGTGCACGTTGATGAGGTCGTCGAATGACATCGTGCGCAATGCAGGCCACTACTCGAGTGGAAAGCCGATGGGAAGTGACGAGTGGGTCGTCACACTGAGGGTGACTTGGAGGAGGTCGTGTGAGGAAAAGATTAGAGATTATGGGCAATCGTGGACTCAGCTGAAGAGGACGGTGGAAAACAGAACAAACTGGGGATGCGTTGTTGAAGCCATATGTTCCACTCGGAATCCAAGGGAATCAAAAAAAATAATAATAACTTCTCAGTTAGCGCCCTTCTTAATATCGGAATGTTAGTTTTAGATTCAGGCATCAACAAGATTTACATGGACTGACTGATTCAGTCCCGCGATTCTTGTAATATTCGCGATACCTCTGTACCAGATGAATCAAGTAATTACCTAACTTGGTGTCAGTTTCTCTCCGCTACTCTTTCGCTCGTCTCAAATATTGTTTTATTTCTAAAGGGAAATAAGATTTACCGGTTAAACTCAGCCCCTTCTATTACAAATTAACCAATTTATTGATTCCTAGCATGCCTCCTTATCGTTCCCACTTGTTTTTCCCTAGACTTTTCAAAAACGACTATGCCATAATACGTAGGACTGTGAAGGTCGTAAGCAGGGCTAGAGGTATACCTCTGACCCAGTTAACTGAAAATGTTGTTGATGGACATTTAAATTTTTCCAAGCAATCCTGTAGAATACTGAACATCCTCTTTATTACTGACTTTCTCCTTGTATGTCTTCGGGGGTTAAACCAGAAGAAATTTCATGAGAGTTTCTGCTCACATGTCTGAATGCAAAAATTCAACATTTAAGTTTATATGAATAAGTTATCAGTTTGAAATTTTCTTTCTAGTCAAGTGATTCAACTTTCAATTCGAAAATTAGCTTAAAAATTCCCATTGAGTCATATGAAGAAGAGAAGACGTTCAGCAAAGAGACTCTTTTCACCGGCGAATTCATTCACATTGCTGTACGATCGCATTTATTTATAACTGTTTTGTGTGTGTGTGTGAGTACATTAGGTTTGTCAAGTTCAGATAACTAATTTTTAAAATTTTTTTATTTTAGCTTCATTCCACACAGTACTTTTGGTACAAGTATGGAATTTTCAGCATGTGATATCTGTAGCCCAAATTTTGGAGGCCGACCATTGATATCAGGTGTGCGTTGGCAGGGGATCGAACCCCGGACCATATGCATGGTCGGCGAGAGTACTGTTTGCTGTGCCACCGACGCACAAGAATGATCTAATACAGAAACAAGGTTAATTAGACAGCAACTAAAGTAAGATTGAGTTAGTAAGCTAGATGACGCAATATAATTGACTAAAATGTTTCAATTTAGGTCAGGGTAGCAACAGAGGTAATTACAACAAGTAGAGACTAAGTAAAGGTGGGGTAGAGAATAATGCCGTTTGAATTGGAAATAAATTGAGCAGATAAGTTAGATGACGTAACATAAATGACTAAAAATTGAGCGTGGGTCAAGTCAGTAACAGTGGTAATGAGGTGTAGGTAGAATTTACCTGTCGGGTATTAAGACAGATTACGTCCATTGCAAGTGTATTGATTGAACGAACTTCTTCTGTATGCAGAGTTCAGAACTTAGCAAGTGAATAGCTATTTCTTCTGCAGTTTGAAAAAGTCTGATTCGTACACCTTTAGGAAGACTTCTTCGTATTCCGTAGACGACTTTGAAGTTTGTTTGGGGTGTAGATTGATGTCCGGAATCTATTAGGTGTTCTAAGTTAGAGCTGTGGGGGGCATTGTTTTTCTCCTGTGCAAAACCATGTTGGTAAGTGTTCGGTGATACGTCTGCAAAGCGGACGCTGGGTACGGCTCGTGTGGAGCCAGGTATATCGACCCCGCAGCTCTAAATTAGAACACCTAATAGATTCCGGACACCAAGCCACACACCCCAAACAAACAAAGTCGTCTACAGAATACGAAGCAGTCTTCCTAAGGGTGTACGAATCAGACTACTTTCTGCCAGTTTGAAATATATATTAAGTCCTTTCGTTTACTATGCAATTTCTTTTAGGCATAGCTTGCATACTAAGATGTAGAATGTATCTTGGCGTAAAATGTTTCTACAGTATGTTTCTGAAAAATCTAAATGTAAAGTGCTTAGCCCTATCAATATAAAGGATGAAAGGTAAATTTGTTAGACGACATATACTACTAATTAGTATCAGCAGTTGGAAATTATTCACACAGACACAAACACTAGTAAATGTTGCCAGCCTCTTGGGTAGCTCAGTGTTAGAATGCTCGCTAGCCACACACGTGGTCTGGATTCGATTCCAGGGGGGGGGCGTTTTCCTAGACGTCTCCTACTTCACTATCCAACAGTAAGCCAGATATAAAGGGGAGGTTGGGTGTGTGTGAAGCTGGCAACAACACCACCGCTACTCAGACTGCAGAGCATGAAACTGTATATGTTCCACTGGAAATGTAGGCAATAAAAGAATAAGCTGTTTGGCATAATCTGTACACTTAAGGAAATGAGAAGCCTTCCTTTATTCCTTAAGAATCAATGTTTGGAGAATATATTCAGGATTTTCAAAAGCGCAAATGTAATTAGCTCCTGCAATTTTACAAATTTTCAAATTTCTCACTCATTTGGCTCAGCGTTAAGTTGTTTGCCTCGTAATCTGAGGGTAGTGAATTCGATGAAAGGTGTGGAAAAGAGTAGGGATTACCGCAGAGTCTAAAACATATACATATTGCTTAAATGATGGTGAGACTACCTGAGATATACTTGGGATGATGTACTGACGCTGTGATATACGGGAGGGGGGTGATGGGAAGTTGAATAAAAATCTGGGTCACATTGGGATTTTCGATCGGTTATCTTCGAACCCCTTTTCCAGTGCACTGCCTGGTAAGCAGCTCAGTTTGCTAAACTATACTGGTTTGTTCTTCGTTAGGTAACTATTCAGGTTTCTTTTAGACTGCTTCTTTCAGTGCTGTTGCAAAGGATGGTAGGTGCCAATTTCTACCTTAGACTGGTTAACCGTCTATATTTAGACAAACAGTGCTGAATTTCTTTTAACATAAACTTGCATTATTTTTACAAAGCCGACGGTATAAATGCGTAGAAAGTTTACTTCATATCATTCTGAACTGTTGCTTTGAAGTGATTCGATTGATTCAAAGTCTGATGACGAAATTACATCGTCCTAAGAACCATGAAAAACCGGAGAGTGCCGGATAGCTGTTTCGTTTCTGGTGCGCACTCTTCAGCATTTCTCACCCATAACCTCACAAGGGATCGGACCGAGAGCCCTCATGTTACAAAATAAGTTAGTATACCAGTGAGCCACTGGCACGCAGTTCAATCGGCCACCAATTCTAACTTCAGCCAATATAACACAAACCCAAAACCATCTAACTTGGTGGAAGTCGTCAGCCACGACGTCCTATTAGAACTTCAGGAAACTTGATCTTGTTGTATTAGTCACTAGTGAGCATCAGATTAATTTTGAGGTGATGATTTACAGGGATTTTGATTGCTATCAAGATAAGATCATGAACTCACTTTAGTTAGAGAACTATCGATCCCCGATGGCAGGATCATGTGTATGCAGTGCAAAACAAAGGACTAAACAGCTACTGTCTTATACTCCTCAGCTTTCAATGATTTTCTCACTGAAGTCGATGCGTGATTAAACTCGATGTCATTTTAACTGATTTAAATTTTTTTTCCGTTGTACAATTTAAGTAGCATATGCGAGTAGTACATATTTTAATGCAAAAAAACACAGATAACAGCAGACAAAGAAAGATAAACTACTTAATAGATTCACGTACATTGCCTTGCATTAATTTCTTGCCTTCGCCGAAACCATCCATTTCCACATCCCAATCATCTTCATGACTGCCTTGATTAATTGTTGGCAATACAATACGTCGTGTTATTGGAGTTAAATGATCTACAGTCGGTGTATGCGGTGCACTGAGCAGATTTGGTTTCTCGTTAACAGCACTTAAGTGATGATAATGATGATGATGATTAGGTATTAATGGTGATGATTTATTATTATTATGCGATGATTCTGTTGAATACTGCTGGTAGACATCATTGGAGGATTTTTCAGCATCCATACTGTGAGATATTTCTGACTGACGTCTTGAACTGCTGCCCACTCGTTGGATAACATTTTTCATAGAGTCTAATAAACTATGATGCTAAAGTGTGAAACATAGGAGATAGAGAGTGTGAGGTGAAAATTTTATGCACATATATTTTTGTAATCAATAGTAACAAAGATTTATGATTAAAAAAAATAAAACCAGGAATATTTCCATAGTGGGAGTGGTTTGAAATCACTTTCATAAACAGATAGGGCTTGTTAGCTCATTCGAGATGGCTTGACAACTGGACATCACTTTTCATACATATATTCCCCTGAATGAATTTGAATAAAAACAAGAACAATAGTTCTATTTCATTGGCTTCTCATCAGCTGCTGACAGGCCAAAGTGGCCAAGTTAAACTTTAGGCACCACTAACTAACTACCAGTGGAGTGCGACCGCACCAATGACCTTCAAACACCCACTTAACAAGTAAGTGGAACCTGGTAAATAATGTTGTCATCATCAATAAAATATGCTCATCAAAGCTTTATGCTATTAAATTGGATTTCTGGTAGGTTTCAGGTTAGGTTTGGGAAAGACTAAGTTACGCTTTAAGTGAAGGACAAGTTAGGGTTAGGTTCACGTAATAAAGGCGACATTAGGGTTCGTTTGAGTTAGATTACAGTTAGTTTAGGGATATTTTCACGTTAGGGTTAGGTGCAGGAAAGATTGGGGTTATTGTTAGGGTCCTAATTAATAACATGCATAGAATGTGGTTAAATTACTCTGTTGATATAAGAATAGAACTTGTGCACTGTGGCGGTGGAGTATAATTCCATTGTGGGTAAAATTTATTTTGATAAAGTCTCACAATGTGTTATACAGTAATATTTACTGATGACCACGTTTCGAACCGGATTTATTGCTCAGTAAATATTACTGTGTTACACTTTGAGACTTTATCAAAATAAATTTTACCCACAATGGAGTTATACTCTGTTGATACTCTAACCTAAAACTGAGAGCTACTTTTATCACATGTGAGAGGAAGGTATCCTCTGTAACACTTTTCCACAGTTTTTATGCATTTTTCAAAAATATATCTATTCCATACACAGAAATGCCTCATTCACGTGATTGGTGTGTTCGAGTTCATTCACTGATTCGTAGTAAGTGGTACTTAAAGTTTAACTTTGCCACCAAAATCATTATTAAGTATATTTACAGAAATAATTTTAACATTCATTTTTAAACAAAAATCAATCAATATATGCATACAATAATAACATATACATAATAATAGTAGTTAACACTTTATCCCAAACAATAATGGTCATACACAATGGAAACTTTTGACACTACTTAATCAGGTGAGAGAGAGGATGAAAACGTCCAGTTGCCAGAGCAAGGAACAACTAATAACCACTTGTTTCTGAACGCATTAATCGGGTTTCGGGCGTTTGGTGGAAATTGTCTTGGCAACCTTGAGGAGAATTGAACTTTTTTGGCCATTGATAATTTTGAACGATCTTGCGACGTCTACCTCATGACTCGTGTCAAGGAGATGCCTGGTGATGGTATTGTCTAAAACTTTTATTCCCTTTAGACATAGGCTTCTTAGTATATGCTCAGAAAATCGTAGATATGCTCTTTCTTCTGTCCTTCCAATGTAACTGCTCCCGCATATACGCGTAAATTTGTACCAAAAAAGGGAACAAATGCTTTAGACAGTGCCATCGTCAGGCAGCTCATTGACACGCGTCATGAGGTGGACGTCGCAAGATCTTTCAAAATTATCAATGAGCAAAAGAGTTCAATTCTCCTCAACGTTGCCAAGACAATTTCCACCAAACACCCGAAACCCGATTAATGCGTTCAGAAAAAGTGGTTATCAGTCTTTCCTTGCTCTGTCAACTAGATGTTTTCATCCTCTTTCATCTGATTATGTAATGTCGAAAGTTTCCATTGTGCATGATCATTATTGTTCGGGATAAAGTGATTACATGAGTATATTATTATTGTATTCATATATTGATTGATTTTTGTTTAAAAATGAACTCTGTGTGCAAGAATGTTAAAATTGTTTCTGTAGATATACTGAATAATGACTTTGGCCTGTAAGCAGCTGATGAGAAGCCAACGAAATAATAAATGATGGTACCATCTTATTCTGCAAAAACTATTGTTCTTGCTTTATTCGAACATCGCTTGTTTTATTCACCTGTAACATACATCCAGTGTTTAAACCTTGGGCTACCGTAAACTTCCATCTCTCTTTCTTGCATATAGTTTCTCTCGTTCAGTTTGTTTTAATCGATTAATATATGACCTCTATTGGTATTATCTACCCTTGTGTGTGTATTTAAAATGTTTACAAGCTTCTGATTTGCAAGTTCCTACTAAACTTGAGGAATGGCCTGATTGTGGTTGGTAATGTATCCCAATACATGAGATAACTGTTCTTCAGTTATGTCCTTGGATCTCAGAATGTAGTTGTTCTGAACATCATTACAATTGGCTTTCAATCAGATATCGTCGATATCTTGAAGGGGATAAAGCAGATTTGCCATAATGGAATGGTTTGTTCTTCAGCTCAAAGACCACTGTGTCACAGCATATGCTGTCATTTAATATTTTACTTGAAGATATTGATTGTACGAAGGCGAAATATGATGCAATAAACTCCAGTGAAAATTGCGGACATTTTATAAATACTGTCCAGAATAAAGATGTTAATTATTATTATTAATTCTGTCAGGGGCAGAAGAATGATACGAAACAAATAGAATTTAATTCAATTTAACTGCTCCTGTGCAATGAGCGAGTTACATAGGCCGTACAATTAGTCGTGTTTCTCGTCGAATTTCCGAACATTATCATTCTGAAGAGTGGTTAAGTAAAGGACAAATAAAATCTATTCTTGGCGGTATTCTATCTCATCTTGTGGATATAGAACACAAGAATAATATCAGCGAGGTGGCTTTCAAAGTCATTTACCGCATACCAACCAACAAATCTCAATTTCGCCATAAGAGTTCGACTACTAAACATTGCTGAGGCTGGCTGTTGGGAACCATATTAAGAAGCCTAATTTGTGCATACAAAAGAAGCTAGTTCAGGCATTATCATTACCTTGGCCATCTAGGTTTGAATGATCCTCAACTTTTTGTGGAATTTTCCCTAATTTTAGTTGATATCCTATTTGCTATTATATCTTTATTATTGTTATAATTTAATCATCTTTAATGAACTGTGGTAATTCCATTGTGATCTTACCTTACAAATCGATATTAATTAAAAAAGAACACTAATATTGATATTGACCACTATTCTTGAATATTCTATGTATATAAACATGCATATATAATTGTAGAGCCGGAAGAGGAATTTATCGAAAAGAATATTCTTCGCTCAATTATTTTTGTTTCATAGATGTCTGAATGAGTATTTTGGCTATATTGAAATAGAATTCTGGTTGAATTCTGATTGAAGTGAATCACTGGACATGGGATGTGACCAGTTATTTGCATAGTACATAGCTTCAAGTGAAAGTTAGTATAATGATTGTCCTCGAAGGGAACTCAAGCTGTTCACATCATAGTATGCATGGTTGATGTTGATAATTTTCAAACATTCATATAAATCTACAGAGTATTTTGTGTACTAATTGATTGAAAGGGGTGAGGAGAATAGATAGCGTATTATTTATTGACTGGTATAACCATGAGTACAGCCTTAATGTGCCTAAAACGTCATAAACGTATAAACATTATTGAACTATAGTGTCCCACATCATCGAAGACAGAACTTCATTTCAACGCAAAGAAGACAGATGTAGTGAAGGTGCCGAAGCAACCGAAATAAAAAGCACAAATCTGAATCACTGGGAGAAATTCAATGGAAGTTATGACCTAGGTGGCAGGAGGAATGGATGATGCTGTCAAATCCAGGAGAGACAAATGCAATTACCGTGAAATCAGTGCGAAATTCAGTTACTCTCAAAGTGAGGAAGAAGATCTGAATCTTAATAGGCAGAAGACAAGTAGTTCAGGGAAGAGTCTCTTTTCGGCGAATTCATTTTCATAGCTGTACAGTCGCAAATATTTATGGTTGTTTTGTATGTGTGTGCGTGTACATTAAATCTGTCAAACGAAAATACAATTAGTAAGTTCAGATGAATTGGATGTTGATATAAGAGAGTAATAACAAAAGTGATGAGTTGTCACAAACGATTGTTAAAGAAGAGTTACGTAATAACATGAATAGTTTGATGAAAGAGTTGTACTCAGGGTGTACATGGAAACAAAATATACGGAATTACACAAGGGTTTTAAGTAGAAAAATAAGCACACAAACAAAAGTTAATATTAGATGGTTGGAGGCAATCGGCAGGAAGTCTTGGACCTAGGTTTCGTGCTAGTTGGCACTTACGAGTCAGGAAGGCGTATCTGCAACCTTGAAGGAACTGATGTGCCTTCTGAGATTCGAACCCGGGTCACCCAGTGCTGCAGTCAGAGACGTTACCACTGGCGAGCCACCTAGCATGGTGGCCACATTGCAAACATGACTGGTAGAATTCAGTCTGCACCGAAGATAGGACTAGACACATTACACTAGTTACTGACTAAAAGTCAAATCAACAGAGTTGTTACCATGGGAGTAGAAGTGGTTGAATAATTTTCTTTTGTATGCACAGTTCTGGTTCCTCTAGCTTAATAGCTATGGCTTCTGCAATGCAAAGAAGACGGAATCGTACTGTCTTTGGAAGGTTGTTCTTCACTTTGTAGATTACTTTGAAGGAGGCGTTTGTTGAGATGGAATGACCGGTGGTGACGAGGTGTTTGATTGTTGCACTCCTTATGCAGCCACGCTGGATAGTGTTCTTTGACCCTTTTTGACAGGATGCGCGTTGAACGACCGATTTACCTGGCTACACAGAAACAGGTGAACTGATATATACACATAGAAGTGGTCACGTGCGGGATCTTGTTTTTGGGCTTCTGCAGATCAACGGGCGACTAGAGAACACTACTCTCAATGTTGCCGCAAAGAAAGTTCTTCTTAAAGAGGTGGAGATTCTTCTTCTAAGGTCTCCTTTGAAGTCGAGGTTCACATAAAGTATCTTTTTTGGAACGGATGCTGTCTTTTGCTTTTGGATTTTTTGTTTGATGTATGATCTGAATTGTCAACACTAATTTCAAGTTAGCCAGCGCTTTTATGTACTTCACAGACTTGGTGAAAGCAAATCACAAAAGCATTTCCAACAGTCTGCAGGCTTTCAGCATCAGATGCTTTCATTTCCACACTACAGATCAGATATCCAGTCAGAAAGGATAAGCAACAGAGAGATTGTCTCTTTTTTTTAGTTCACTCTTCTACCTAAATAAACCAAAATTGACCCATTCTGGAAATTCAATTGTTTCAGTGTACCACTAATGAAGTTAGTCTCCTAGTGGATGACATTTTGCCATTTGAAAGAATAGATTCCAGCGCGGAGTCTCAGTGCTAATACCACCAATCATTTGGGGGGATCGCCTACATTCAACTGACAAGTTTCGTATAGGATGAAATGCACGCACCATGGAATCCGCTGCTAGTTATCGCCAACCAAGTGACATCTCAGGGAATTGTTGAAATATTCGTTCTAGGAACCAGTATGTCAACAAGGACGTGGCATTTCGTTAAACTATTATCCATTAACATAAAATTCAAAGCTTTGTCAAAAGGGATCACTTGTCTGATGTTTATATCATCAATGAAGTCTACAGATGGAAAGAAGAGGGTTTTAGGCGACAAAATGTAAATAATTATAGGCATGATAGTGGTTTCAAATGCTTTAAAGATATTCATCAATGTATTTATTGAGTTTTACTTGTCATCGAAAACATACCATAAAGAAAAAATAAAAATGAATCAATCGATCGAATAAAGTGTCCACACAGGGTACTACTACTTACCGTGTCGCCTTCTCCTAGACTACCAGAACTTCCTCGTTTACTGGTTTCCTCCGATGGCGGTAACAGACTATTCGTCACATTGGTTTGTGTCTCAAGTAGGCTGTTCATTGGTCGACCAAAGCTCTTTAAGCATAAATGTAAATAAAGCAGGAATATTTATTATTGTTAAAGTTTTATTTTTATTAAGATTTTATGGTTCCATAGGGACTTCAGTTGGTTTCCTTGTAGATTACGTCATGAATCGATATCAGTTGGAGTATTGGTAGAAATTTAGAAGCACTGGAGAGATGTCTTACTCTAGTTAAAGACTCATTCGGCAGTGAGCATCAATGACGTCACGAGGGTATCAGAATTTTAACCCATTAGCTTTCTGTCCAGATGGCTCTTCTAGTAACAGCAAGGCTTTAGAGTTAAAACTCTGGATACGCTCCAGTAAAGAGTCCAGAGGCATGACGAAACAGTGATCCAGTATTCCACGGATTTCAGTTGCAGAAACTTGTGCGATCAAAGTCCATTAACCCAGTCTCTGTGCACAGATGGACACGGTGGTCATTTTGAACCTCGGAAAATACGAGGTGTGATTAGCGAGCATTCTATCCTTGGACCACCCACGCACAAGCGTTGTCTAGTAGACTGCCTGGGCCATGAATTTATTTCACTATTTTATGGTTATCATTCATTTCAAAATTCGGAATATTGGTTGGAGAACTTCATCATAAGCTGACATCAGTCAGAGAACCGTTGAAAACCTAGGAGTACTAGACAGCTGTGTTCGTCCTAGTTTTGAACTCCTCATCAGCACGTAACCACCGCCGGGGTTCGAATCCAGGACCTTCTGGTTACAAGGCAAGCTCGTAAACCAACAGGTTGATGGTGTGGCAGTAACTTATCGTAGAAGACCTTGTGAAGTGGTTGCGTTATGTCAATAATTGGCAGAAGTTAGAATTCATGTACTGGCCACTGGATCGGGTCCCAGTAGCTGAATGGTCTGCGAACTTGCCTTGTAACTAGGAAGTCCTAAATTCGGACCTCGGCAGTGGGTGTGCGTTGCTGAGGAGTCCCGAACTAGGCCGACAAAACAGTTTGTTCAGTACTCCTTGGCGGGTATTTTGGTGGTTCTCTGACCGATATCAGCTCATGATGAAATCTTACAACTATTCAAAATTAAATTAATTTAGATCTCTATATATATCTCATAATCTAAATCCTGTTTCCCTGACATCTGTTACTTGTTTTAAATTATAGCCAAAAAGTTGTTTTCTTATTTTTGTATGTTTTTAGTGTGAAAACAATAAATAATTTAACTATTTGTCACCTTGGGGAGTGTACATCGTGCTGATAGAAATTATTATTTCGCAGAACAGGTTTTTCATGTCCTAGGCTAAGAGCCAAACGTTTTGCGTGAGGCCTGGTGATACTACCCAGTTAGTTAGTTGCCTTAGCTAAAGTAGGTGGAGTGGGGTTTGAACACATAACCCACAAAGGGCTTAAAACCGAGTACTTAAGCCGATGAGTCACCTCCCCATTATGATAATGATTAATTATATTCTAACGATGATGTTCAACGGTGTTGTAATCCACGTTTTATCATTTGCCTTACTTTTAGGTCAACAATAGCAGGATGCAATGGACACAGATCGACACTAAAGGTTTAAAATCAAAAATGCAGTATAGATTGCATACTAACAAAACACTTAGAATAACAGATTCCTTCTGTATGAATGTGATCACTTATCAATACTTGACAGGTAGAACAATTATTATTCTCTAATGAACAACGCCTACATTTGTAGATACATGTGTTTAATAGATGAGTAAGAAAGATAAGGAAAGTATTTGACAATATAATCTATTAAACTGATTTAAACTATTCTTGATGAATAGAACTAAATTGATGCAGATGGTAGCAAAAGGCTTTTTTTAACTTCCAACATATTTAGGACTCCGTAGTTTCTGACTAATCTTTCTTCAATGCACACTTCATAGAGGAAGAAATCGCCTTTTGAATTTCGCCTCTGTACTATTGTAAATTCCGACCACTTGACTTATTATTGATGCTTTAATGAGAAAGATTCTGAAAGATTTTCAATACAGTCCAGTCTAGTACAGTGGTCCACAGAGGAGAAATCAGCAAAGCTTTTCAAGTGATGAATACAGGAGTTAGACAAGACTGCCTCCTTTCACCCACGAAGATATTCCTAATTGTGGTGGACTGGATTATGCGGTACATTGTGTATTGGGAGCGAGAAGATATGAATACGTTGGACAGATAACAAGACTCCAGAAGATCTGGACTTTGTGGACTATTTATGTCTAATGTCACATAAATTCAAAGACTTACAGGAGAAAACCACCAGGTTGGCAGTAGGACCAGAGAAGTGAGAACTTCCGGTGAACATACAGAAGTTGGAAGTAATGAAGCTAGCCTGCCGACAACAATAAGCATCAATCCCTATCAGCGGAATAAATTTGAAAGAGATCACTTCCTTCAGTTATCTAGGAAGCGTCGTGCCAACTACCGGTGACAGCCCAAATGAAGATGTCAAAACCAGAATCGCAAAGATACAGCAGACCTCCAGACCTCTTTTGCCTTCATCGTAAGGAACAAAATTCGGATTTTAAACACAGATTTTAAGTTTTTTCCACTATATAAGTCAGAGACTTGACGCGTCATCGAAAGCATTTTCAACATGCTTCAGGATTTTATGAAAGGCTGCCTTCGCTGGCTCTACACTGAAGACCAGATGGCCATCCAGGAAGAATTAGTAACATGTAACTCTGAGAACAAACCAATCAAGAAGCTATTATTCAACAAATATGTTTAAGTAGGTGGATTATACACAAGCTGGGGAGATCGTTGGATAACATTGCGAACCAGCCCGTCGCTCTATCGGGACTCGAATGTTAAAACGACGAGTTGGATGTAGGTCCTAAGGCAACGTAAAGGAGGAGGTAGTGTGGGAGAGGGATAAAAGCTAGCTAAAGATGACTGCAGAAAATAGGATAAGATGGAGCTCTACTTGGAACCCAATAGACACTAAGGCACAACTCTCTTGCACAAAAATGAACAGTATATGGCATAAAAACTCAAACAGTATTTGTAATCCAAGTAATTGATTTTTTGCACTTACCTTGAAAGGCATAATTGAGTGACGTTTACCCTGAAGTGAAGAAAAAAATGAACACTTTTGTGTAAATAACACAATAAAAGTGATACTAATAAAGGCCTAAAAGGAACTATGCAAAAGGTGGCACAAACAGTTACTCCCGTCTCTACAAAAGATCGTATCAGTGATCATAAGGTGACAAGGTTAGCTTGTTGTCCGTTGACCTACTAAGATGTAATTCAATGACCAGTGAATTGTGACTGCTATCACTTTTAAAACTACAGTTATCGCCAGTCAAATCAGATTTTGATCACTGTTCATGGTATTTTGTTTACTTTGTCTTGATATCTGCTCATGACCCAAGGATTTTAAAGACACGTCCTTTTATAATACATATACGTGCATCTTTGTTACTTTAATTTTGACTAATCTTCCTGAAGAAGTTTGGACCAGTTTGTTTGCCGGACAAAACGTTGGAATTACTTATTTCAATTTCACTTTCAATAATTGGTTTGTAAGGATTAGATTGGTTTTTACTAGTTGATCATGGATTGATATCAGTTAGAGAACCATTGAGCTATTGCTACTGGACTGAGTTTCTTGGAGTTCTAGTGAGAAGTCGTGACCAGTAAGGTCCATTCAGTCAAATGTGGAGATGGATGTCCGACTGACGACATTGGTTAGTGGTCGTGTTAAATTACGAATTGGTAGAAGTTAGAATTAATGTGCTGGCCATTGAATCGAGTCCTAGTGGCTGAATGGTATTCGAGCTCGCTGGAAGGTCCTGGGTTCGAACCTCGCAGTGTGGGTGAGTACCGCTGAAGAGTCCAAAACTAGGACGGAGGAAACAGCTGTCCAGTACTCCATGGTTTTCAATGGCTCCCTAACTGATATCAATCCGTGATCAACTCGTAAAAATTATAACTTTTACATAATATCTACTTCTCATTCGACGACCAATTATCGTGGGACTAGATATACAATGGAGAAGATTTGTAGCTCAGTTGGATGATATTGATGTAGTTGTGTTCTTTAAGATTGCTGGTTTAGTTGCGAAGCTTTCATTACCCCGTTACTAGGCAACATCTTCAGCTCATACTTCAGTTTAAGGTCACATAGAACTATTCGGTCAAATCTTGATGACAGTTTATGTAAAAGGATTTTATGTTTTAATCAATTTAAAATAGGTGTAAAGGTGTAGTGAAAACCATCAATAGTTTGATATTGGACCGTCTGGTCCAAACCTGTCACAAAGCCAGCCACTATTGAAGAATCCTTCTCTATCATCTACCGGGTGCCTAATGAATTGCCAAAATCATCATTGAAGCACCGCATGCTCCAAACAGCAGAGGCTATTGCAATTCGCCTCAAACTACCAGTGCTCTGTGTTCAAACGAAGCAAGTCCAGCCCCTACTACTACCATTGCCAGCCTTCAGTGGAGACTAAAAATTCATGAATTTGTAATATTATCTTTCCTAATTTTTTTTCTGACATTCAGCTTATTTCATGTTGATGCTATTGAGCTGTAATCCACTCTTTGTTCCGTGTCCATTTTAAAATAATCGACAAAAAAATATTGTCGCCATTATTCTACAGATCTGAATTCACATCAGGAATCGATCTCATAGTTCTATAGATACTGATCACCTAATTAAAAATGTAGTCAAAATATACTTAAAGAAATCTTTGTGTTACTGACAGAAATAATTCCATCGTTGCATTTAGCAAACTGGCTTAAACGTCCTCACGCAAGTAATCAGACCTTTTTTTTAAAAAAAAGTATCTCATATGAAAGATCACATGCTCTACCTAAAATCTTTGTCTAATCATGTCTGAAATTACAACTTCCGTGTCACCATAGCCTATATTTCGACATATTCATTAAACACAAAATAATCGAGCGAAGAATATCCTCTTCGATAATTTCCTTTTCTGGCTCTACAATTATATATATATGTTTATATACATAGAATATTCTAGATTAGTAGTCAATAACAATATTAGTGTTTTTTAAATAATATCGATTTGTTTAGTCAGATCAATGGAATTAGAGTTCATTAAAGATGCTTAAATTATAACAATAATATAAAAAATTTAATAGCAAATAGAATATCAAATAAAATTAGGGAAATTTCTATAAAAAGTTGAGGATCACTCGAACTTAGGTAAGGAAAAGGTTTGAACTAGCTTCTTTTGGATATATAAATTAGACTTCTTAATGTGGATCCCAACGGCCACAGCAGTATTTAATAAACGAGTTCTTAAGGCAAAGTTAAGATTTGTTGGTGTGTGGTAAATGACTTTAAAAATCCACCTCGTTGACATCAATCTTGTGTTTTGTATCCACAAGACGAGATAGAATAACGCCAAGAATAGATTTTGTTTGTCGTTTTCTTAACCACTATTCAGGACGATGTACGGCCTATGTAACTAGCTCATTGCATAGGAGCAGTTAAATTGAATTAAATTCTATTTGTATCGTATCATTCTTCTGCCCCTGACAGAATTAATAAAAATAATTAACATTTATATTGTAGACAGTATTTATAAAATGTACACAATTTTCACAGGAGTTTGTTGCATGATATTTCACCTTCGTACAATATCTTCAAGTAAAATATTAAATGACAGCATATGCTGTGACACAGTGGTCTTTGAGCTGAAGAACAAACCATTCCATTATGAGATTTATGCTTTGTCTCCTTCAAGATATCGACGATATCTGGTTGAAAGCCAATTGTAAGATGTTCAGAAGTACATTCTGAGATCCAAGGACATAACTGAAGAACAGTTATCTCATGTATTGAGATACGTTACCACCCACAATCAGGCCATTCCTCAAGTTTAGTAAGAACTTGTAGATCAGAAGCTCGTAAACATTTTAAATACACACCAGAGTATATAATACCAATAGAGATCATATATTAATCGATTAAAACAAACTAAACGAGAAAAACTATATCCAAGAAAGAGAGATGGAAGTTTTTCGCAGCGCAAGGTTTAAACACTGGATGTATGTTAGAGGTGAATAAAACAAAGTGATGTTCGAATAAAGCAAGAGCAATACCTTTTGCAGAATAAGATGGTACCATCATTTATTATTTCGTTGGCTTCTCATCAGCTACTCACAGGCCAAAGTCATTATTAAGTATATCTACAGAAACAATTTTAACATTCTTGCACACAGAGTTCATTTTTAAACAAAAATCAATCAATATATGAATAATAATAATATATACATAATAATAGTAGTAATCACTTTATCCCAAACAATAATGATCATACACAATGGAAACTTTCGACATTACGTAGTCAGATGAAAGAGAGGATGAACGACTGATAACGACTTGTTTCTGAACGCATAAATCAGGTTTCGGGCCTTTGATGGAGAATGTTTCAGCAAACTTGAGGAGAACTGAACTCTTTTACTCATTGATGATTTTGAACGATCTTGCGACGTCGACCTTATAATCTGTGTGAAGATGTCTGGCGATGGCACTGTCTAAAGCATTTGTTCCTTTTGGACACAAGCATTTTAGTACATGTTCAGGAAATCGTAAGTATGCCCTTTTTTCTCTTCTTCCAATGTAACTGCTCCCGCATATACATGTAAATTTGTGCGAAAAAAGGAACAAATGCTTTAAACAGTGCCATCACCAGGCATCTCCTTGACACGGGTCATGAGGTGGACGTCGCAAGATCGTTCAAAATTATCAATGAGCAAAAAAGTTCAATTCTCCTCAAGTTTGCTGAAGCCGTTTCCATCAAGCGCCTGAAACCTGATTTATGCGTCCAGGAAGAAGCGGTTATCAGTCTTTCTTTGCCCTGCCTGGTAACTGGATATTTTCATCTCCCTTTCATCTGAATGCGTAATGCTGAAAAGTTTCCACTGTGTATGATTATTATTGTTCGGAATAGTGTATAATATTGCATATATATATATATATTTATATATCATTACTATGCATATATTGATTGATTTTTGTTTAAAATGAACTCTGTGCAAGTATGTTAAAATTGCTGTTGTAGATATATTTAATAATGTCTTTGGCCTGTAAGCAGCTGACGAGAAGGCAACGAAATAAACGATGTGATGGTACCACTTTATTCTGCAAAAACCACTGTAGTTCTTGCTTTGTTCAGATGACAAAATTATCTGTCAGGTTTCACTAACTAGCTCAGTGGAGTGTTTCAAAGTCATTCATTCATTGCACCAATGCGGTAGCACTCTATCGGTGTGTACTGGTGCTTAAAGTTTAACTTGGCCATAATTAATTAATATTTACAGGATTTTCATCATGAGCTGACATTGGTTAGAGAACCATTGGATAACCTGGGAGTACTGGACAGCTGTTTCGTCCTGGTTCGGGACTCTTCATCAGTACGCACCCATCGGGATTCGAACCCAGGACTTTCTGGTCACTAGGCGATCTCGTATACCAAACCAGGACGAAACAGTTGTCAAGTACTCCCAGGTTATCCAATGGTTCCCTAACCAATATCAGTTCATGATGAAAGTCCTGTAACCAATCAAATCCCTACCAAAGAAACCAACACTTTAATTCATATTTAGTTCAGTTTAAAAAGATGATCAATAAAGGGAAACAATGGAAACAACGCATTAACAACTAACCTGACCATGAAGTAATGCCTTCTGTTCTTCAGCCTTTTTCTGTTTCCATCGACGAAACCATTCTTGGATTAAAAATGTTGCATAGAATTTACCAACTGTTACGTCATTATTACCTAATATATCATAATACACAGAGGTGAACAGAAAGAAGAAGAACACAAAAAGAGAAAAAGAAAAGAAAAAACATTATTAAGTAGATTAGAAGATGAGAGACAATTTGATTAGAGAATGAATGATTGATATGCAGATGAATGAAAATGAACAAATCAAACTAATGATGAAATATTAACTATATGACTACTAACACTACTACCACTACTACTACATATTTTATTTCACTACTCACAACAAACAAATAAATAAACGAAAAAATTTAATAATAAGAGGAAACTAAAGGATGGAGGAAAGGAAAGACAAACGTAAACAAACAAAAAAGTAAAATAAACACGAATGAAACTAGAGATTTTCGACACCAGATAGACACACACACACATACAGTTGCGCAAGTTGACAGTATCATTCTAAACAATGCATTATTATATAGCTAGCATATACTGTGGTGAGAGCTGTCTGCTAGCCAAAATTGGTAGACAGCAATTTACGTCCCATATCTTGGTCATGAGAAAGAAAAAACAAGGACAAAGCCTAACCTTGAGGAACTCAACAACCAATCACAGCAGACTCTGCGTGGGCGGATACGATTAACGGCAACAAAGAGACGACAGAATAACCTTGAGCAGGAAAACAACCAATCAGAAGACATTGCTTCTCTGCTAACAATAACTCTAATAATAATGTACATAAAAATCTATAAATATCTGTTGATTTTCTCAATAGACGATCTGTTGCCAGGCCCTTGTCTTCTGTCGTCACAATACTACTGATTGATTGAGATGAGTAGTAACACTACCACCCAGCAGTGGTTGTTGGTCAGATAGAGGTGATCTAAGCACCAGATAGCCGTTTGGCTCAGTTGGGGCCGAACCCATCAGCGGCGTCCCCGGCATGGTGTACCCAGTAGCATGTAGTTTTTTTTCGAATTTTCTTGCCTCCTTGATTACCATTTATGCTGGTATCAAGCAGATCACTTAGGTATTGTGATCGGTATAACTTGGTTTCTAAAGGAAACGACGGTGAAATTTCAACAATCGAACTGTGTGAACTGAACTGTAAACTGCTAACCAGTTGGCAAATTGTGAATTTAAATGATGCATTACACTATTCAGAATATTTCACCATTCCTTCTAAGTTCTGTGAGTAAAATCCTCTGTAGAATGCCAGCAAGAACTAATGGATTGATAATTCAGTTGGAATATGAAGGGAACTACGAAGAAACCATTAAGGACTAATGCTACATTCACTTAGGATCCGAGTAGAGCATAGGGCTTGAACAGCACATTATTTTGATCCTGTTTTTTGTAGTCCTCGTTAGTGGGCTCCTTGCTCCCTATTGTTAATCCTTTCTGATGGACCATCTGGTCTTCATCTTGGAGAGGATGAGGCTGTTGATAGAAGACTGCAGCCTGTTTGGGTTGCCATTAGTGACTCTGTCAACAAGTCTCTGAGCCACACAGACGCACTCACTGATTTGACATTAGTGTTGAAAATTCTAATTCATTTCCATACTGACTTCAGATTAATGTAAGCCTACTTGACTTTTCCAATCCTAGCTGGTTTTGGAACCCCTCATCTGTATCACTGCTTGTTATTTTTAAACGATACTGCTTTGATAAGTGAAATAAAGTGGCTTCCTTCAAATTTTGACGTTTTTAGTGGTGGCTTGCTGTCCTTATCACTTGTGGCTTCTCCATGTTCACTTGATAGATATCCTGACTTCTCTGGTTCTTCTGCCAACTTGTTGATTTTAAGCTGTAGATTATCACGTTTTTGTGACATGACACATAAATCGTTCGTGAAGTCCAAGTCTTCTAAAGCCTTCTTGGCAGTCCAACGTTACTTCAGTCTTCTTACACCCAATGGTCTGCGGCAATCAGGAATATCATCGGTGACAGTGGGTAGTCTTGTCTTATTCTTCTCTTTACTTCAAAGTCATCTCTGAGTTTTTTTTTATCGTGAATCACTTGACATGTGGCATCATCATATATCTGTAGTGTTAGAGCCATTTCCTAAGCCAGTTTTTTTCAAGAAGGCGCAAGAAAAGTATCGTCTATGATTATGAAGAGGTGGAAGTGGAGCTGTTACAATCGTAGCATTTGAACATATCTACTCAATACTGGTCACCTTATTCCTACATCCTCTTCCTTCTAACTTATCTACATGGCGAAGAATAAACCATTAAAATCATTGCGTGTCCAACTAATCTGTATTGCTGAAGCTTTGGCCATTGAAATAGGAAAGCCAGAGCTCAGTTGCTCCTTCCTTCATGGTCTATCTATGCTAAACTATTATAATGCCCATTTATACTTTGGCCAGATTTATTTTCGTTTTGGTTATTCATTTTGTATAACCATCCTTTATTATTTTGCTTATTATTATTATTATTAATTTCCCTGTGAACAATTTCCTCACATGTCACCTGTTTGTTTGCATAAATCCATTGCAGTGTTGTCTTATTATTATAATTACCACTTTGTTGCCTAGTGTTTTAATAGCCCAGTAATCTTATTAATTCTACACCCCACCCCACCCCGCAACTAAGCCATATACAGTCTAGGAATTATATTATAAAATACACAAACATTTATTTATCTCTAGATGTTTAAGTGCCATAATAATCACTTCTTACATTCTTTATCTACTTTCGACCTATTTTTTAAAATAATATCTGAAGATGTCATTAAACAGAAAAAAATCCTGGTTCTTTACTTTCCATCCTTATTGGTACTAATATCAACAAGGTCTCCTTGTTTGACTCCTTGAAGAAAAAACTAAAGACAAATCTATCTACATTTCATCCTGCACCCTCCCTCTATTACCTTATGCACTTTGTCTAAATCGTTAAAGGTATAATATGAATGGTAATATTCCTCTAATACCTCTGTGCTTGTGTGTGTGTGTTTTATATATATATAACGAATCCAGCTCAATGATGATTACTACATGGATGTTCTAAAGTTGCAGTGGAAAGTCGTAGCCGGTAGGATCCACCATGTCAAAGCGAAGTGGATGTTTATCCAAGGAATTGATTCAAAAGGCAGAGGTATATCACGAATTGCACGCCAAGTTCGACCTCGTAACCTGAAGGTCCTGGGTTCGATCCCTTGGTTATCGGTTAGTGGTGGTCGAACCCATGATGATGATGATGACGAGTCCCCAACATAGGACAAAACAGCTTTCCAGTGCCCTCTGCTGACAAAAATCTAACAACTGATATAACGAATCATTTTGAGGAATAAGGGGATGGAAAGAAGTGAAATATACGTCTATGCACATACTACAGATAATAATAAAATTCCTCTACACATTACACTACACTGCACACACGCACACATTCAATAGTAGTTTAAAATGTACAAATAAATATGCATGCGTTTATATAATATATATGTATAAAATAGCAGTTCTCATCTTTATTGTTTCCTTTTTAAGAAATATCGAAATTTCTAATGTAAACGTGCAGTATCCAAAAAATTAATAAAAATTAAAATTAAAAATTAACTAAACACACTGAGGATTAAATTTTTTTAGGAAAAGAAAAAAGGAACGGAACTACTCAGAAAGTTCAATCTCTCCAATGGAAACAAATCAATGAATTGTGCAAATATGTAAGGAAATTTTATTTCTACTACTACCATGCAATTTATTACTAATATATGTATGTGTGTGTATATATGTGTGTATGCGTGTATGAGTGTGTGTCAGCGTGTATGTATGTATGTACGCATATATATAGATAGACAGATATCAAACGAGGAAAGAAATAAGCAGGCTGAATTTCAGCCACTTAACTTTTTTCAAGTATTGGTTTGGTAGGGATTTTGTTTAATTGCATGGAGGATTTTCATCATGAGCTGACATCAGTTAGAGAACCACTGGAAAACCTGGGAGTACTGGACAGCTGTTTCTTCCTAGTTTGGGACTCTTGGCAGTAACTCATCTAAGAAGACATTGCGAAGTGGTCGCGCTATGTCGTGAATTGGCAGAAGTTACAGTTCAAGGACCATTGGATCGAGTCCCAGTGGCTCAATGGTCTACGAGCTTGCCTTGTAACCAGAAGGTCCTGGGTTCGAACCTAGGTGGTGGGTGCGTACTGCTGAAGAGTCCCAAACTAGGACGAAACAGCTGTCCAGTACTCCCATGTATGTATAACTGACGAAAATTTTCACAACTTTTTAGATGATAAATGATATGAACCTGATTTATCCCTAACTTTATTCTTCGGTAAACTGGAACAACCAAGTAGGCATAACAAGAGACTATAGAAGACACAGATGAACTCTGTTCACATTGTGATGAGTACAGCCTTCAGCCCTACAGCCTTCTTTTCTCAGTTTAAAATAATAAGTGTGTCTAGGGGTCACGCTATGTCGTGAACTGTCAGAAGTTAGAATTCATGGCCAAGCTATTGGATCGGGTCCCAGTGGCTTAATGGTATACGAGCTAGCTCACCTTGTAACCAGAAGGTCCTGGGTTTGAATCTCGGTGGGCGCATACTGATGAAGATTGTCAAACTAGGACGAAACAACTGTCCGGCCGTACCAGTAGGTTTTCCAATGGTTCTCTAACTAATGTCAGCTCATGGTGAAATCCAGTAACCAATCAAATCCCTACAAACCAACACTTGAATAGGTGTGTGAATATAATCGTTTATGAACGTTTTACAAGAAAAGGCGTTCAACTGAGTGTTACTGTTTCTGACTGCTTAATCTCATACAGGTGCTAAATTTTCACAGTGACAAAATGAATATTTGCAAAGATGTGACATCAGAAAGGTAAATTCTACATGGCAATTAAATAATATAGAAGGCGTTAATCGGGTAGATACTCGTCTCTACAAGATTCCTGCGTATTCTGTAGATGACTGAGGCATGAGGCTAGCAACCCTATCCTGTAAAAATAAACACCATTGCTACAGAAACTTCAAGCCACTAGCTTGAAGCCCTATGTTCCACTGGGAAACGTGAAGGTAAAAAAAGAAAGTAGTGTTAGGATA